CCCCCCACATTGCTGCGCCCAACGCAGGCTCACTGAAAGAAAGACCCCGAGCGAGGAGGGCACGGGTACGGCATGAGCGTCATATGAGTTGAGGTACGGGGCGGCGGATCGGACTCACCCTCCCGCCTATCCCATCGGCGAGGTGAAGATGAGGCTTGAAACATAAATTAAACCCCCGTGGCTTGTGCTCGGCAGCAACGGCAACGGCGGGCATGAGCGAATACCAATCGGCAGGTCCAGTCGGGACGCCGGATAGGCGACAGAGTTGCAGAGAGGTGAATATCGACGTGCTCCAAGTCCGATTCTGCTGGCAAGTTGTCCTTGTACGCCTAGATCTTGCAAGTATATGCTAATTGTAGTGGTAATATAGACAATCCATCCGCCGCCACCGTCGTTCCCATAACTCATACGCATCATCAAACCAAGCACAATGCCCAAGAATTAACGAAACAAGTAGATAATAAAAAAGCCAACCCGCTCGCCCCGTCCCAAACACAAGCCATTACACAGCGCCCAAGTCCCAACGCCCAGAATGGGTATAACCTCGTTCCACAGCATGCCTCCACGACATACAACCAAAAACATTTTCCCTCCTCGGTCACCATGTACAATTATCCCAACTATACATTGACACCGACCGTCATGTACGTACTCGGAGCCTGCGGGAGTAGTGCCGTCATGCTCCCTTGCTTGCTGCTCCCGCGCCGGCTTCTCCGTCTCTGTGGCCATGCGCATTCCCGCCTTCCTTCTTCAAGAGGCCGACCCGGCGGTCATGCTCGCTGCGCAGCTGCTTCTCGCCCGTCACGACCAACGTCTTGTCCTCGAGCGCATCTCCGAGCGATGGGTCACCCATGCGGAACTTCTCCCACAGAGGTACAATCCCATCTGCGGATGGTGGAGGCCCGTCGCTGGCGTCGCCGGTCGGCCCGCCATGGGCATGGCGGTGCGCGCGAGGGTGCAGCACCGCCGCAGCGGACCGGGGTATTCGCCGTGGCGATTCCGTGTCGAGGATCGAGTCCGGCCAGAGGATGCGCCGCGCTTCGTCTTCGGTCATTGGCGTGATGTCGTCGTCCTCGATGGCCGCCGTGATGACGTCGGGCTGCTTCGTCGGCGAGGTGCGCGACGGGCGGCGCATGTCCACGGGGCTTTGCCGCGGCGTCGTGGGCGACGTTTGCCCACCGCTCGGAGGGCTGTCGCTCTCTTCGTACTTTGGCGGGTCGACCGTTTGGTGATTCCGCGGGAGCTCGTGGACCGAGGCCGTAGAGGCACCGCTCAACGACTCATCATCAGAGTCACCCTCCTCGTCTTCCTCATCCACCTCGTTGATCGTGCGAGCATCCAAGTCGGTATTTACGACCTCCTCCTTGATACGGTCCGACTCCACCTTGAGCACCTTGTCGTCTTCGTGCTCGTTGTGCCTCAGCGACGCCTTTCGGATCCTGTCGGCCTTCAGGAACCTGCGTATCAGGCTCAGCTCATGCCTGTGATAGGTGTCGTAGAATCCGCGATTCGTCAGGGCCGCGGCGTGCAGGTCGTCTACGTCGTCCAGCGCCTGCAAGATCCGCAGCCGCACCTCGTCCGGGAATTCGGCGGCGACGGTGTGCGGGTCGTCGTGCGCGGCCATGCGTCGAAGACCGCTCGTCACCAGGACCTGCGGGTCCGCCATGCGGTGCTTCGACAGCGCCCAGCCGTGGCTCTTGCCACTCACGTCGTGCAGTGTAAGACCCGTCACGCTGTTGTAGATATCTGCAATCGCCGTGCGAAACGACGGGCCTGGGTCGCACACGCCGCCCTGGTGGATCGGTGACGCAGGGCTCGGCATCCGCCGCAGGATGTCCACCATCTGCGCGAGGCTCCGGGCCCTCGGCTCCGCCTGGGGCAGGTGTCCCAGCACCGACGGACGCATGATCTGTGGTAGGAGGTCCATCTCGTTGTATACAAGCATCATCCACCCCAGGTTCACCGCGTCACAGCCGTGGTTGCCCTTGGGACATCGCGGAGTGCTCGTCAGCGATGCCGCATGCTTCGGTGGCGCCGCCGGCATGTTGATATTCTGGCGTAGATCCGCCTGAGACAGCGGCTCTGGGTCGTCCTCGGCGGTCCGCGTAGGTGGCCGCAGGTACTCCTGAATTGTCGCCGTGCAGCTCGCATACACCTGTGCCACTTTTGCACACCTCACGGCCCAGATTCGGTCCTTGATCTTTTGCGGCCAGGGCTTGCTCTGGAGATCCCGCTCATCTACCAGGTTGAGTATGGCGCTCTTGGACATGCGCGTGAAGAGCTGCCGCGACCCGAACGCGTAGCTGATGACGAGCAGTCCGTCGGGCATGTCGTCGGCTCCCTTGTGCATCCACTGCGGCAGCCAGCGGTGCTCGACCACCAGCTCCAGGGGCGACGTGCTCCTGTAGCGCATGCAGCACTCGGCAATGGCCACAAACTGTTCAAATGACACTTCGCGCGGGACCATCTCATTGTGCATATGCGCCGCGTGCATGAGCGTCTCCATGGCCTTGAGATGGTTGACCTCGTACTGCGGCATGCGATAGAGCTTGGCCTCGGAGCCGTCCTTGCAGATGTACTGCGATGGCGGCGGCGGCAGCTGATCGGTGATGTCGCCAGCTTCGTGCAAGTACAAGCTGCCCGAGTGGCCCGAGAACATGCGCGCGAATATTGGTGACGTCTCGGCCAGCATGTAGGACGAAACACGGAATCGCAAAACGGGCTCACTACCGTTCGACTCGGCAGTGATATTCGCAAACTCGAGAATCGCATCGCCGCGGGGTGCGATGGGGAACTCTTCGACTGTCCGTGAGGGCAAGATGCCCGACTCGCCCGACTGGAGGACATGCCGTATCTCGCTCAGTTCCTGCTTGACCTTTTCGTAATTTCTGAACCGAATCTCATATCTCGGGAACTACTTCGCGTTAGCTGGCCTCCGTAAAATTGTGACGACCCTCGGGGGAGTAGTCCAAACTCACAAACTGGGGGTCGGCAGAGAGGACTCTCGTGACGCTGGCGTTGCGCATGCGGGTAACGGCTTCTCTCCGAAATCTTTTGCTGCTGAAGAGCTGGTCTACCATCTCTTGCGTCGCATCGCGCTCGTAGCTCTTGTACGTGTCGGCAAGGCTGACCTTGAAGGCCTCGGTCAGGGTCTCGAGGCAGTTCTTCCAGTCGCGAATGGCGGCGAGGAACAGCTCGTTGGTGTGCGGCGGCCGCACCACGCTCCCCGTGGCCACCTCGGTGAGGCTACGGCCGCTGAAGGAACTGCGCTGATCGAACACGGCACCGGGGCTGTGCGGGGAATCAAAGGACGAGTCCCGGCGCTGGAGCGAGTCGGTGTCGTTGGAGCCGGCGCGGAGGGGCCGCAGCTCGTCCTGGAGGATGGCGAGGCATAGGGTATGGCAGGTATCCTTGATCTTGATAAACTCCTTGTACGCGCCGTCGACGTGGTTTGGGCCAGCCGGGGCGGCCCGCATGCGCGCGATGAGGGTCTGGAGCTGTCTCAGGTTGCTCTCCTGCAGCTCGTTGAGGGAGCCCGAGTCGAGGCGACGGAGGTGGGCGAGGGAGGGGTCGGAATGCTCGTGGTCGTGGGTGGACGGGCGGGACTGATCGGCAGGTCAGTCATGTCTCACGAACAATGGGACGAAGAAACGCATCAAGACTCACCCTGTCGTCTCGCTTATCGGACCCCTTGCTGCCGATCTTGCGCAGCGCAAAGCCCAGGCGCCGGGACATCTTGGAGCTGCTGGTGGAGGCAGCGCTCTCGCTGGCGGTCCGCTGCATCATGGCTTCGGTCGTGTGGGAGGTCTGGGGGCCGTGAGACCGTCTGCGTGCGGCGTAAGCGCCGGTATCTTGTGTCGACCTTGTGTCAAAGGCGCCGCGGGTCGGGCGACAGCATCGTTACCGCGCCGTGACCCTAGGAAGCGAGCCGCAGCGCAGCGCGCGGTCGTCGAGGGAGGGTGATCGCCCGCCGCTCCGTCACAGTGTGAGACTGCTCGATGCTTGGCGGAGGACTGGGTTCGTGCGGCGTTGGCTGCGCCGTTAGTCGTCGCTTCGTGCCCGATCGCGTCCAAACGTCGTCACCGTTGTCCTGCCCACTCGCGGTCGACTCGGCAGTGTCGCGTGCCCAAAGACACCGTCTACCGATGACGGAGACTCGAGTGTGAGACACAGCGGCGATAGGCTCGACAGTCGACGATTCGGAGAGGCAGAAACGCAGGTGAGGCTATGAGTGTTCGTTGGATGGCGACAGACGACGCGGCCGGCGGGCAAGGCAGGACGATGTGTACGGCAGCTGAGGTGAGGGCCGCTCGGTGCGCGGAGCGCAGCAACGCCAGCTTCCTCGATCGTCTCGCTTGGCGGTGCCGGTGCCTCTCGCGTGGAGAGCGCAGACGCAAGCCGCTTTGAAGCAATGGCGGAGAGGAGGAAGCAAAGGGACGAGCAGCCGCGCGGAGACGAGACGAGGCCAGACCCAGCCAGATGGGACGAAGGGGAACGCACGTTGGAATGGGGATGCGTGGACACAGTTGGGAAAATAAGGTCCAGGTAGGGTGGTGGATGCAACGGCGCAGCGAGGGTTTTGCGGGCGGGATCTGCGGACTATCCGGGCCTGACAGCTCCCCCAAGCGTCATGCTAGTACGAAGCAGCCGCAGGACCTCAGCTGGGCGGGCAGGCGAGCAAGGGACGGACGGGACTTGGGGAACCTTGTTACGAGAAGTGGGAAAGGCGTCTCTGGGCCTCGAGTTCAGCAGCGAGCGAGGCTCCGACTAGCCAACTGCAAGTGCCTCGACTAACTAACGCATGCCCGCTAAAATGGCACTTTGCGGGGTGTGGCCTCTGAGTCCCATGAAATGCCCCGTCACATCCCCCAGGTTTTCCGAGGCGGTAGGTACTTTGCGCCGTGCCCTCTGCCGTGCCCGCTGTGCATGTACACACATGTCAGCCAGACTCACTGGTCTGCTCTGCCAGACGCCGCCGGGAGCCTCGACACGATCACGCTGCGCTGCTGCACCGGTAGTGGACCCCCCCAGTACGCCCTTACGCTAGGTAAGCTGCTCCAGGCCTCCAGGCCTTTGCCTTGCCTGCCATCCCGCCCCTCAGCTGACACGAGCCGGTGGAGCCTCCACTCCTGCCCGCATGGCCCCCGACCCCAGGCGTGGAGATGCAGCGCCAAACAGCGCTTCCATCCGTTCTCGCAAGAGCGGGCAGCTCCACCCCCCAGCGCCCGCCTCCATCGCTCCGCTCGCTCCTGGAGCCGTGGCCCATGATACAGTACCTGACAGCAGGAGTCGGTGCCGTCGGGTGTGTGCAGCACTCACTGTTTTGGCCGCTGCCCGTCGCTGACTCGCCTCTGTTCCGTGGCGGCAGGAGCATGATCAGTCGCCAGCAGGACGTTGACGGCAGTGGGCGAGGGCACGCCCCGCGCAGGCACCTCAGCGCAGGCACATGCTGCTGGCGCCGCCCGGCCCTCCCCCCCGCAGTCGCCCACGATCCACCACCGGCAGGGCCAGCCGTCGAGCGAGTCCACGTCCACATATCCATCCATGGATCCCGGAAATCATGGCAGCTTCGCACACCAACGCTCTTGAAACGACATCATCTCATGTCATGCTCATCCCGCGCCGTCCCAACCCCAACTCACCCTCCCGTCCACTCTCGTTCCCGTCTCACCCTGCCTCGCCCGTCCTCCTTCCCCCGTCATCTCGCTGCCTGGCCTTCCTGTGCAGCGCAACCCGCGCCACCGTGTGATGCCACGACCGACGACGACTGCCTAAGGTAGCTCGCCCCCGTATCCAAGGCGGCAGTTAAGAACCCTGGAACGCCCGTAGTCGGCCCATGCCACCACCGCCACCCCGGCACTCGTCGTCGCGCGTCTGCTTCACCACGTCGCAGGTTGCTCTGCTGCCTGCCTGCCTGCCCTTGCCAGCGGACAGACAGCCTCACTCGACTCGTTGACGGTTGCTCCAACCACATGCCCCCTCAGCCCCTTTGGGTGACCGGCTGCACAGCCAGATGATCCGCGGTCTTGTCAGCTTTCCTGCGACACACACGCGCGCGCACACACGCACACACGCACACACGCACACACACACACAACCTGCATCTCGGTACTCGGTACTCCTGCCATTCCCGGAGCGGCGGTTCGTATTGTGTAAAAATAAACCAACTCGATACCTAGTACCTACGTATGGCGAAACACGTTGACGTAGACTAATGAGTCGAAATGGAGATTTCAGCCATATGCTCTACAATCGTCACATGCAAGAATGCCTGCTCGCTCATGCCAAGTACACACAAAGCATCCACTGCGAAATCCTCGCCCTCGTCCCTACGTCCCGAGGCGGTCTCATGTTTTAGTAATTCCGCGTCCTGCTTCATTTCCATCGGCTTCCGCCGCAAGCCCACCTCATTACTTCGTATGAATGAACAACCTCTCATTCGTCCCCCTCGTCAAGCCCGACCGCCGACGCTCGCTCGCCGGTCCAGCCTGCCGACGGCCACAAGCCACCAACACAACGCAACGCCGCCTCGCCATTCGGCATTGTCGTATTCACGCCGTTGTCCAACCGGGCGCCACCGTCCCTGCTGCCGCCGCCGGCTCCCAATTTAGGGCAGAGCCGCAGCCTAATTTTAGTACGACGGGCCCCGACAATCTTGTCGTGCTTCGTCCAAGCATCGCTGCAGTTCGCACTCGCCAGGTTGTATGTATCCTTGTTCTTTTCATGAATATCTCTGTGCATGCTTTTTAAAACGTCCCGTCTATGCGCTGTCCTGGGTGTCAGGCTGGCCCTCCTATATGCTGCATGCCCGCCCATGCAGGCCGAGATACAAACGACACCAAACACAATGCCATACCGCCAAGCCATACCGGGGCTGGTGGTTGTCAATGCAAACGCCTGCCGCCCAAACACAAGTCGTGGTTGATGTGCCATGCCGCTTTGCCTGTCTGCGTTTCCGCGTGCCAGTCGTACTGTTGCGTCCACAGCACGCGGTTGCAGTAATATCTCGCCGAGTCCATCCCATCATTCAGTACGCCTACCCGTCAGCATCGGACACATACTTCGACCGCCGCCGCTCAAGGCCAAGTCCATCGCCCAAGACCCAGGCGAGTCGCGTAGAGCCGGTTCTGATCAAATATCGTTGCCTCGCCCAGAGCCAAAGCCGCGCGGTTCCCACCCTGCCGTCTCCCCCAATACGGGGGCCAAACATTGCTATCCAACGTTTGCCTTGTCCCAAACCGGCTTTCTCAGGCGCTGCGTCAACTATTCAAGCAACGCTTCTGGTAAAGCTTCAGCCGACCATCTGCAATCCAGTCATCCGGAGCCGGACCGACTCAACCGCCCTTGCGCTCCGAGTCGTTTTTCGGTGGCTGCTCAGCTTGTCCTTGCTGCGTCGCAATGTTCGCTGGTCGCTTCTTGCCCTTGCCGGCCTTTTGCCAACCCCCGTCGCTTTCGCTCTTGGCCGCACGGATGTGGCCGTTCGTCCGTGGTGGTGGCGCCTTCACGGCCGGGGCTGCGGCTCGGGGCGGCTTTTGCATCTTGTCACTGTCTTGAACGGCAGGCGGCCGTTCCATTCCCGTAGGCCCCGCCTTGTCTCTGTCCGTGCGGCCGCCTTTACCGTCGACCCGGCTGTCCATCTTCATAGGAAGCAAGGAGCTGTCGTTCTTGCGCAAAGTGCTCGGAGAGGGCGTCCGAGTTTCGTAGACGGGAGACAAGTGTGCCGAGTCGATCATCGGCGGCTTGGCAATGCGGTGGTCGGCAATGGCCAGGTCGAGCGGAGCTATCACGCCGTTCTGCTGCTGTCGCGACATCAACCGCTGCCTAGCAGAAGGGGACAACCTCGCAGCACCTCCGTTTGGCACTTCCTGGGTGGCCCCCTGCGGGAAATAGTACGCGCCCATTTTGGCAACGCGGTCCCGGAACGATGCATCATCTGGCAGAGCGTGCGAGAAAGGGCCGCTGGTACCGTTGACCACGATTGGGGGTCGATCGGTTGACGGGGGTGACCTGGACGCCGTCGCCGCGTAGTGCATTGCGGGCGCGTCCGCGGCTGCAGCAAAAGTAGGTCCCGTATTGATATGCAACGCGTTGTCGAAACCCGACGCGAGAGAGTCATCCGAGGTGTATGACTCCGCCACGGACGGTTGCCGTTGACCAGGGACGGCACTGGTCTTTAATCCGGAACCATTCACAACTAGCGGCCGGTTCAAGTTCCTGTTCTGACTGCCAGGGAATGGCGTCGAGGACAATGGTGCAGAAGCCGTACCCACGGAGAATGCCCGCGTGTGTCCCAGGGGCGACGGCGACCTCGAGGCTCTCCTCATGCGTCTGTCCAAGATGGTCTGTGGGAGCTGGTCCGTCGACAGACGCCTCCTACCGGGGCCGGTCGACTGGGCGGCCAGATCCCCAAAGGCAATACCGTTGGGAAGACCTTGTGGCTGTTGCGACGTAGGCTGGCTGCTGGGGCTCGGATCTCTGGTGCGGAAGAAGCTCGCAGGCTTGTTGTCCGCGGAAGAGGGCGACTCTGACACGGCCTTGGGAGTCTCGTCAAAATCGGCGTCATCTGACATGAAGCTCGGGATCGGGACACCATCCGCGTTGGCATTTCGCGTAGAGGCAGCGACCGACGGGCTCAAAGGTGTCTTGTTTCCCAAATGGTAGGCTGCCTGGTGATTCGCCGAAGACGGGGACCGCGTTGCTGGCTGAGACTGCGACCTAAGCGTGCTGCTAGACGCGGAGGCGCCGTTCCCTGTGTTGACAGTCGACCGCTGCAACGGCCGCCGGAACTCCTGGTTCTGGCCGCTCGTCGTGACGGGAGATGACGGGTACGTGCCATATGCGGCTGTGCCGGGCTGCGGATAGAAAGCGTGGCTGAGGGTGAGTCCGTACAGGGCATACAAGTCCGGCCGCAGGGGAGCCGTCATGGGGACGTTGTCAAAGGAGTTGGTCCGCGATCGATCAGACGGCTGTTGCCCCGGACTGGAACCGGTCGAGACCCTCTGCTGCTGGCCGATGGTATGTTGCGGAAGAAAGGCAGGGCTCTGTGCCGCGTACATCTGAAGCTGGCGCATGTTTTCTTGGTACGCCATCTGCGCCATCAGGTCTTGGTGCGTATACTGGAGCTGATAGTGCGGGTTCTGATACCAGGTCAAGTCTCCAGGTATGCCCATGGGCGCCATGAGCAGGCCGTTCTCGTATGAAGTCGGCACACTGGACGATGCTCTCCTGTTGGATCCTCCGCCTCCCCGATGGAAGTTGTTGTTGTGACGGCCCCCTCGGTGGCCGCCGCGGCCGCCACGGCCGGAATGCGTCTGCGACGAGCTCCGTACCAGGACCGGCCGAGGCTGCTGCGGTGGCCTGGTCCATACTCGCTCCTCTTCCTTGGGGAAGACGTACTGCTCGCAAGCTTCAGCCAACTTGGCCTCGGATATGAGATCAAAGGCCCTGCGGAGCTCCTGATGTAAGCCGCGGAAGGAATACTCATCGGCGGTATTACCGAGATTTCGAGAGACGTTGAAGGGCTCCTCTACGCAGAGAGAGTTGTTGACCTGGTAATTCCACTTCTTCTCCACCTTGGTAATCAGCTTGCCCTGGCGGACCGAGAGTGCGTGTTTGTCATAGTCGAACTCGTGCGCATAGAACCGGAAGAACTGAAATAGAAGCTCGGGCACAGTCGACTTGTTCTTGTTGCCGAAACCCCGTATCTTCTTCAGGTTGTCGGCGAACTCGCTGACAGAGCCGTCGGACTTGGGGATCTTGTACGGAAGTTGGTGGAGTGCCGGTAGCACTGGAGGTTCGCGAAGCTGAAGAAACGCGATGATGAGACATATCCAAGTGTAGGAGCTGAGCGTCCCACCAAATGCTGTGTAACGTTAGCCACTGACCCCGCCGACGATTCATGGCGCGCCGAGTTCCTACCGGCGTCGTTCACGACCCTCCTTCGTGTCCAGTACTTGAGGATCATGGCTAGCTGACGTACGCGAGGATCGGCCTCAACATACGTCCGCACCATTCGCGTGTTTTCCAGCGCCAAGGTGTTGTTGACGTTCATGTCGCAAGCTAAGCCTAGCTCGGGGTCCCAAATCTTCACGATGGGCACTTTGGCCGCTGAAATGCAGACCACCTTCTCCATGCCGCCTAAGAAAAGAGGCGTTAGTAAACGAAGCATGTGGCTATACAGGCCATGGCAACTCACGCCGCGCCAGCAAGTCTGCAATTTTGCAGACAGCCTCCAGCTCTCGCCACGCTGTGGTGATGCAGATGTCAACTGTTTGAGTGTCAGCAGGTGGGACGTCGACAGCAGACGCTTGGACCGCTCGTGGGCCACAACGATTTGCGACTCAAGGGACGCATACCATCTGAATCGTCTGAGCAGAGCAGGTTCCCAGAAGATCCGAAAAGGTGCACACGTATGTCATGTCCAGGCCATTCGTCGTTGAAGATCTTCTCGAGCTTCTTGACGAGCCTCCTCCTGTTCTCCTCGACAGCATCGGTGGGCAATAAGCGGTCATAAATCTCCCGCATGTCCGTGGCCAATTTCCTCTCTTCTTCCTCAGACAGCTTGCTCTTCACCGTTCGCAGATCCAGCTTCTCCAGTCGGTCGTTGCCGACCGAATACGGTATCCTCCTCCGCGAGTTGATCTGAGCCGTCTCGTATTTGCAGCCGCCTAACCGGGGTGGAAGGGGTCGAAGGGAAGGCAACGTGCTGTTGGTTTCGGAGTAGGCAGACCGCGGCGAATGGCCGCTCACGGCGGTGGGAGACGGGTCGCGCGACCCGAAGGAGAATTTCCGCGCATGCTGGTGCGGCGTCGAGGGCACAGAGCTGGAATGCGACGGGCCGGGGGCAGCTGATGACGATGCCGCAGCTGTGCGCTTCGGTATGCTTCTTGATGGCTCCGCAGACGCCTGGTGTGGCTGCTGCTGCTGCTGCTTAGCGCCCATTTTGGACGGAGCGTCCTTGGACGATGTACCGGAGCGGTTCTTGTCGTTGGCGTGGCTCGACCTGCTCCCATGGCCTCCTGCTGCGACTCCCTTGCCGGCTGCGCCGTCCTTGAGCGACACCTTACTTGATGATCGCGACCTCGGTCCGGCGTGGACGTGAGGGGCGGAGACGACGGGGGCGAGGGGCGGCGTCTGGAGACCGCCTCCGCGCGAGGGCGACACAAGCCTGTTGTAATGCAGAAGCTGGGCGTGGTAGATGTTGGATTGCTGCGGGAAGAGGAACGGCAAAAAGTCCAAGTGGGGTGGAAACGGCGAGCCGGCAGCGAGCGAGGTTGGGGTGGCGACAACGCCAGCGGGAGTTGCAGCGTCCGAGGCGCCGTCCGAGGCGTGCGCGGGCACGCTGGTTGGTGCCAATGAAGCCGATGACGATGCAGTCGGCGTCGCCCAGGGGTTGGAGGAGTAAGAATGCTGAGGGTCGGACGTTGAGGCACTGGCGTCCATGAAGGGGGAAGAGCCTCGGGAGACTAGAGAAGGGTGCGAAGCCAGAGGCAGCAGCTCCAGCGGTAGCGATGGGCTACCCGGGCGCCGGCTGTTGTCCTGCGAAGGCCGTGGAAGCGATGCAGCGACTCCAGGGGCCTGTGACGCTCAGGAAAAGCAGTGCGAGGGCAGCGCTCGAGGTGATGCACAGGTCGTGGGCTGAAACTCGCCGGGGCGCTTCTGCAGCCAGGCCTACCGGCGGCTCAAATGTTCACCAAACGTCGCTGTGAGACGGAAGGAGGCTCGACGTGAACGACGGGGGGTCTCGACGGGAGGGAAAACGAGTGCGGTGTCGTCAGGCAGGGTCGACCGAGGGCGGCTTCGACATGGACGCAGGCAAATCCGCTCGCCAAAGCAAATGCAGCCACGGGCCCGTATGCGTGTGCGGTAGACGCGAGGTCGCGGGTGATGCCGGCATTCAAAATCGCGAGCAGGGCGGGCGGGTATGCGGGTGAGGCGAGGGGGACGCGGGCGAGCAGCGGACGTGAGGCAACGGAGACGGCTGTCGAGTCGAATCGAAGAGGGCCGGATCGTGGTCGAGTCGAGCTGGAGTCGAGTCGTGTCAAGACGGAAGGTCGGGGCCGTGTGGCGGGCCACGGGCAGCTGCGACGGCCAGTTGGGAGTTTGGGGGGGGGCCCGTGAAGACGGCAGTCCACGGCTGGGGCAGCAAACGGTTCCAACACCGAGGACCCTCCTGTTTGTGTCGGCACGGGGCGCGGTGCGGTGCGGCAGACGACGATGGGCCGTGGACGGTGAAGGCGGCGACGACGAGGGACGGGATGCGTGCGTGATATGATGTCGGGGGGGACAGGCAGGGCCAGGTGCTGAAAGGAGCGCTTCAAGTGCCGTGCCACCAGGTGCCTGCGGGATGGGGGTTGCAGGATGGATGGGGAAGCTGAGTGGTGCGCGCGAAGACTGGACGGGTCGGCCTCGAGGCAAGGAAATGGTAAGGCAGGCCAGCCCAAGGCAAGGTGCTAGGCTCGAGAGGTGCGATGGAAGGCAAGCCAAGGCACGAACGGCGAAGGCAAGGTAAGGGTAATCGTCGACTCCAGTTCCAGCCAGGTCCGATCAGGAGGGTGGAGGGCGGAGGGTGGAGGCTGGCCGCCCGGAGGGGGTACTTTGTCCCTGCTCCCCGGGACCACGGCAGGGCAGGTACCGCCATCGTCTTGCATCGTCTCGCACCGGCGGGCAGCCAGGGCGGCGCACCAGGGCACGCACCGGAGGTGGACGGCAGGTACCCCCGAGTCTACGAAGCAGGTACCTCAGGCAGTACCTCACTGGTCACCGTCGCAGCCCACCAACGTCTGCTACCCACACCAGGAACGAGGTACCCGACATTGTGGTGGGAGGTACCTCGTACACCTCAGTGAACTGAAGGTACCCCGTCACCCCTAACGGAGGCCCAGCCAGCAAGCCCACTTCACTTCACTCACTTCGGCGGGATGAACCTGGAAAGTCCAGCCAGCCAGCCAGCCGCCTGTCCAACCCGCCCACCAGCCCTCTTGCTGCTACTGCTCCTGCTACTGCTGCTGCTGCTGCTGCTGCTCCTGCTCCTGCTTCTGCCGTCGGCCACCCGAACCAGCGACGCACAGCGGCACAAGACCATCACGCGTCGAGCTGAGGCGGGATGGCGGGCAGCGCGCGCGCAGCGTGCAGCGGCCAGCGGCCAGCGGAACAGTGGGTGGCCGAGTAGAGCACGGGGGCTGCAGGCTCCGCATTTTGACTTGTCTCGGCCATTCAGCGTCCATCGTCAGCGGGTGTGCAGTGGGCAGCCCGGCCACTAACTGAGGACGCACCCCAGCAGGTACGCGAACAGTCCCAGCGGCTGCTCTCACGGCGCAGCGCTGGAGTCGGGTAGTACATGCATCCATGGATGCTACCATACCACCTCCCGTCATGCATGCAGCTCGGTCAGTGGGCGTGTTTGCTTGTCGGCCTCGGCGACGACTCATCATCGGCCGGACCGGCCGGTCGGTGCTGATGAGTTTCCGGGTCACCTGGCCACCTTGGGAGGCCCTGTGGTGGGCAGGCCCTCCAAAGCCGGCTCCCCTCTTGCCCACTGAGCCTTCCCAGCCTGGCTGATGCCGTGTGCGAGGGAGTCTCGGAGGAGCGGGACTCGCGAGACGGGCCAGCCGCAGTCACCGCCCTGCGTCGTCGGCTCGGTGTCTCGACGACGGCCCGTGAGCGCGACAAATTGGGGGCAGCTACAGTGCTAAGCGCGTCGCGACGCACGGTATTTTCTTTGCTATGCCCTAGGTAGTAGGGGTGGCAAGGCAGAAAGACGCCCAAATGTCACCAAGTACTCATGCCCTGAGGACCGGCGGGCACGGCGGGGCCAAAAAAACATGACGGCGACCCGTCTGGCCGGGACCCGGCACGAAAGGGGCAGGGACACAATCTGGAACCTTGAAAGTGTAGATTTGTCTTCGCTTGCATTGTTGGGCAGATGACGGAGATTCAGCGCAAACAACCACCCTCAGATGTCTGGGGTCGGCCAATGGCACCCCGGCGCGTGCGTTGGGCTGTGCCCCTGGAAAGTGGCTCGCATCGCATGTTCGCTGCAGCGAAGTACTGGTAGGGGAGGTACCTGCGGCGTACAGTACGAGCACGACGGCCAGCACTGACAGCCCGACGCCTGCCCCTCTGTGGTTCGCGTTCTGGTGGGACGTAGTGCTGGGGCGCCGCTCAATGCGGGCATGGACGGGACTTCAACCTATCCTCGGCCCCTAAACGTTCAGAAGGCTCCTTCGCTCTGGGCAGCTGCTTCAGCCGCCTTGCCAGCTCATTCAACGGAGGGCTAATAAGAACGCAGCCCAGCACTCGAACCACCAGCCTCTTTAGGCATCTACACAACAACCTTCCATCGCCGCATCTTTGAGGCCACGGCGGCCAACGACCACGCGCTGTCACAGCAGCTGTGGAGAGCGAGCTCCAGGTCGGCCACGGAACCTCCATACCCACAAGCGCCCCCTCGCCGAATACGCGCCAAGCACCTTGCCATCACGGCCTGTATCGAGATGGCTTGAGAGGCGTCGGCATGCGTTGGCAACGGCTTGCGCCAACTTAAACCAACGCCAGCGCCGGCAAGGCTGCCCGACATCGACGCGAGGGGGGCGCATGCGTCAATGGCCGACGTTGGCAAAGGGGCTCCGCTGCGATGTGCGCGCTTGTTCGGGCAGCTGAGGCGCGCTCGAGCGCCAGGTCAGCGAACTTACTCTCGCACGACCGCTGAAGATGCGCCGCCGCGCCCTGAGACGAGCGGTGGATGCCACAGACTCACAGCTAGTGCTTTGACTCACGGAGCGCCAGCTCAGCTGGCCATGATACATACGAAGTAGGTACATTGCCCGAACGTGAACCGAACCCTCAGCTCCCAATGGCCTCGCATGTTCTTGTACAGCCGCGTTTCAACAAGACATCCAGCGGGGGCTACTTGGCAGGAGGGGCAGGTCGATCGTCGAAGCGTGACGAGGTGCACATTGACAGTCAGGCGATCACGGAGACGCAGCGCCTACAACGGCATGTCATCCGGCGGCTTCCCAGCCCAGCCTCACAGCCCGCTCCCCTTGCCGCATGCAACGTCAAAGCCAAAGAGCCCTCACAGACGGCGCAAACCCATATTCGTGCACGAGGGCTTGAAGCACCACCGCCAGCGCCCCTGTACGAGTCCGTATCGCGGACCCAGCACCGAGAATAGAGTGGCCATGGTGCGCCCCCATGTGGCCCTGACGAAGCCCCTGGCCGTGCTGGCCCTACGCCACGCCGCTCCGAGGCGTGCGAGATAATACGAACAAGAATATCCAAACCCAAAATAGGTGGCTGCAACCCATCACGGTTGTCGTCGATAGACCACGACCACGGGCGCTAGGCGCTTGCGGGAGTCAACCTTACTTCGACGATCAGTCCTCGATTGTTCTAACTTCTAACCACCGGCACCTTCGGCCTCGGCACATCTCGTCCTGTCGCTGTGAATCTGTCATGGTGTGACACTGTGCAAGCGCCACACTCTCGCATGATGTTGCCATCAAGGTTACCTACACGACTATCCAAGGAATTGCTCTGCTCGCGACGATCACACCCCGCGACAAACCCCGCTGACACGGTCGATGGCCCTTGCATTGGTCCGGCGCGTGTGTCTTTTCCCGTCAGGCTCGTGTCATACTCCGTAGTTGGTCCCGCCATCCGCGTCATGCAGAATGTCTCGTACAGTTCCCCATCTCACCGCGATCCCGGAACAGCGAGCCGCCGGATGCCTGCAACCACGACCTTGGTCCTGAGGCAATACGAGAGGGGGAGTCGGATTTGGTCAGGCCAAGCGCACCAGCCGGGTCACGATGAGGGCAGCTTGGGCCGTCAATCTCACGGTTAGATTGATTTCTCCAGCGGCTGCAAATGAGAGGCGCGTCGGCCCCCGGATCGCAATCTCCATCGACAGCGCGTCGGCGGCGTCGGTCCGCGCGCCAGGACAGTAGCGCCAGGTGTGGATGTTTCGCCCATATTAACGGGAGTCCAGTCTAGCAGTCCCAATGCTTGCCCGGCATCCACCTGTCGCCATAAGAAAAGGAGGTCCAGTGCCAGTGGAAATAATAAATCACAGGGCTCGGGCGGGCTGACACGTGCATGTCACGACGCATTGGTTGGTTTCAGGGCGCCAGTTGCGAACTTGCGAGTGAACCCCGCGACTGTTGCGGTGCGAGATGCGGCTGAAGTCGCAGCTCGCGTTGACGATGGCACCAGAGCAAGCGCCGTCTGTGACGACGACGGCAGCGGACCAACGAGTGATGACCTTGTTGAGCACGGCCGTCCGGCCTGTCAGGATTGACTACTTCATTAGCAGGCTCGGATGATCGAGACGGAAGGCCCATGCCACCCCACTCGCCATCCGCGCTTTGTGCCGTCCTCGAGCTAACTCACGAAGACCCTGGGACACGGAACAAAGCGGTTGAGATTATGCGAAATATAGCAAACTTCACGCACCCCGGCTAGTTCTCCGGGTTCGAGTGTCCCCCACTCGAGACGTTAGGTTCGGGAACGGACTTAAGTCAATAACCTTCCCCGTGAAAGCTGTGCATCCGTCCTTGACGTGGATCGCATCGAGATTCCTTCACAGGACATCCATGGTTCGTGTTCATAAACAGCTACCACACGACGTGAACGGGCAGGTTTTGACATTCTCTATCAAATGCGAGTGCCAATGGCGTCAATCGGCCCGCTGACCCAACAGCATTGCCACATTCGACTCCTCAACTGCGGCGCTTACCTCGTACAAGTAATCGCCTCCACGCAGCAGGCGACCGCATGATACGCATGTCACTGGAGCCGGCCATCAACGCTCCGCCCCCGAAAGTGTCCACAGCTGACGCTCTGCTTCTGGGCAAATGCCGATGAGTTATCCCCATCCTCAAACCGACTCCCGGTCGGCCCCCAAAGTCCGTAGTTACGTTTCACAGCCCCGAAAGTTATAGCTGCGAGGCAGATTGCTCGTTCGCGCCTGGTGTTGCTCCCATCGCCTGGTGATACGAGCCAACTAAGGCGTGCAACGAGTTGCGGGCGCGGACCTTATGTCTTCATGCAGCGTCAAAAACACGGGAATTGCCAAGGCACGGAAGCCTGCTACATAGCTGCGTCATGAACCAACGTGAGGGATGCTGGTCCTTGGTGACTAGACTCGGGCCGATGCCACCATTCAATGCCCGGAGAACCCGCATATCGAGCCTTCCCACAAAGTAGAGAAAGAGAATGTCGACTGAAGCCTTATGGAGTCTGTCTTGTTTGTCTACCACCCAACATTAGGAGTATCCATGAAGCGGGGTCTAAGGTCACATTGGGTACGACCATGATGACCTAACAAGCCTTATCCATGCCGCCGAAGGCACAATCGATCAAATTATAAGAACCGCCAACTTGGCTTTAGGCTCCTCGGCAGGCGGCGATGTCGTCGGCACTCATGAGAGGTCGATACGACGCAGGCAACGGCGGCGTACGGGCTGTAAATCGGATGGCAGCAAGCTGCATGTGCAGAGCTGAGCCACCACGACGTCCATATTTGGGGTATAAAACCTCGATGATTAAACGCAAGGTTGAGTGGCATATTCGAATAAACTGGTCAACTATTCCATCGCGGGCAAAGTCAGGGGGATACGTGCGTTTTGCGTAGTCCGGGTCTTACTTTAGCACCGGAGCTAGACACTTCACGGGCAACGGATGCAAGTTGGCGTTGAGACATGCCGCACCGAGCCGCCATCTTTGTAACATCCATTCGTTGACTGATGCCAGTGTTCCAGTCTTGGACGGTAGCCTCGAAGTGTTCTGCCAGCAGGGCGCTGCAAGGGCCGAGGAGCCGGCTGTGAGTTGGTCGGGTCGCGACGTTGCCGGACGCAGGGACAACCCAGCCTGCATGAGAAAGCAGCCGGCCCTGACCGTCTTTTTCTTCGTTTGGGCACGTAAGCATGTGACCGTGCCCAAGATGTTGGGCGATGGAACAGCACGGGGAGGAGACTTTGCGGTGGCCGTGGAGATCGCTGCTCGCAACAGTGCTGTTGAAGGATCATGTGCTTCCCCAGGGTCTTTCTCGCTCGTACATCACAGGACGACAACGAGTCGAAGAGACTCGCAACATGGGATGGAAGTCATTGGCACCCTTACACCGATGGCATTGGCGGTTCTCTCTCCTGCGGCAGGCCTACACCTTGTACGTGGTAATTGCAGAGCACGCTCAACCACCAGTCTTCAGGGCAAAGCCTCCACTACCCTCAGTGCCACACCACTCCCTTACCCACAACTAGCGTGAGGCTCAAAAAGAATCACCCGAATCGACATGCCAAAACCACCCTCGAGAGGATTGCTTCTCTACAACATTCCAGAACACTGGCCCTTCCGGATGCGTCAAGCCCTGAAGGTTTATCTTTGCCGCACCTCCCCGCATCCGCCCGCCGGGGCACGCCAATCGGGACGACCCGCCTCAACCCCTGCTGCTGTCCCGTGCGCCACTTTTCTTTTTGGCGAGAGCCGCCGGTGGTTAAAACTGGGGCAAATTTTCAGGGGTTTCATTCCAGGGGCCGGCGGCGGCGTGGACGGGTGCCTCGGTGCATCTACGCATCTGCAGGTGTGTTGTTGAAGAAACAAGAGGCTGTACAACGGGTATTGGGACTGGTTGTTTAGGTGGCCAACTGTTTTATGGACGTGGGCGCAAGGGGCTGCATTCGACCACGCCTAGGATAAAGACTCAGCTGTGGGATAGTCCGGACATCTGCCCAGAGTAAGAGCCCGGACAAAGGTGCATGCTTGCGTCACCAATTGTACCAAAACAAACTCCATTAGACATACTACTGTGACGCTGATTGTAGAGGGCTGCTTGCCGCTTACCACGCGGATGAAGCAACATGGAGCTTGGTGACGGGACAAACATCAAGGTGACTTAGAACGGCGGCTAGAGTCACCACGGCCTGCTCGCAAAATCATGAAGCATGCGCTCACATTGAGCACTGTCAGAATCACTACCCCGTGTTTCCAATTACTTTCCTGCCTATGTATCTAAAGACTTCAACAAGATCCAACGCCTTCATGTTCGCCCAACAAAAGGCGGAGGGAGTGCGCCTCCAGCGACACGAACCAACGCAGCGGGCAAGCCCCTGCATGCAGCTTGAGGCTCTGAAGACTCTCGAAGAAACCCTCACCTTAAAACGCTCTTCCCATTCCCCAAAGTATCTAATGGAGAAAACGCCACCTACATGGTCCTTGCTCAGTGCCCCCTTCCCCCTCGTGTTCCTTTGCAGGGGGGCCGCCTCTCAGTAACTAACTAGCCTGACTGACAGACAGCCGGGCCCTGGTTTGTCACTCCGCGTGCGAAACCGCTTACGAAACCGTCGCGGTGTCAGAGCATCGGCGCGACAGGAATAGTACGCGAAACGTGTCGACACGAGTGTTTTCTCCGAGGCATTGCTCATTCTTCCCCGCGCCAATTCCTGTTCTTCCTTTCCTTGAACTGCTGTCGCGCCCTTCTGTTGCTGATTTGCAGCTCCGGAGTGCGTGCGGGCGTGCGAGCTGGGGTGAACCCGGTCCGGCCACGTTCATCCTCGATTCCTCATTCCTCAATCTCTTGGGTTTGGACCCCTGCCTCCGTCGCTCACTCACTCGCCTTCACTCTCAATTGACGAAGCTCACTCACGACTCCACGAAATAGACCGCAACGGACCTGGCCAGCGCAGCTCCGCCCGGCCATTGGAGCAGCCATGCTCTCCAGCCTGAGCACCAAGCTCGCCCTCAAAAAACTCGGCCTCCCCAGCAACACCCTCGACTTCTCCTCCTCGTCGCCCGCCGCCTCTTCGTCCTCCCGCGACCGCCGGCGCGACGACACCCACGATGACGACAAGTCTCAGGGCTGGGGCTCGTCATGGCTCTCCGTCCGCTCGCTCCCGCTGACGACACAGTCGTGGCTGTCGCCCCCGCCTGCGGCCGTCCCCGTCGGTCGCGTCCCCCGAATTGGCGACCTGGCGCCGCGGGATCCGGACGGGAAGCTGCAGCTCGGCGGCGGGAGGAGGGTGCTCGTGGTGTTTCTGCGCTGCGTGGGCTGCGCGTGTATGTTGCTCCCCCCCTCCCTCACTCCGCGCGCTTAGACTCTTGCCTTCCGTGTCAACCTCTTCCTTCTATCCCGTGAAGGTGAAGGCAGAGGACATGGCCTTTGCGAGAGAGACGAAAAAGGGCAAGACAAAGCTGACGCGCACCTCGCAAAACAGTCGCGCAAAAGACCTTCCTCTCCCTCCGCACCCTCGCCAACCGCCACGCCAGCCTCATCACCTGCGTCGCCGTCTCGCACGCCTCCCCCGCCGCGACCGCCAAGTGGCTCGACCTCCTCGGCGGCGCCTGGAACGTGCGCGTCCTCGTCGACGAGCGCCGCGCCCTCTACGCCGCCTGGGGCCTGGGCGTCGCGGGGCTCTGGCACGTCCTCCACCCGGCGGCCCAGGCCCAGGCGTGGCGCGAGAGCGGCTGGCTCGGCGACCGCGTCGCCGAGGCGATCCAGCGTCGTGGCGGTGTGCAGTCCCAGTCGCAGTCTTCTGCTTCTGCCGCCGCCGCCGCGCGTGGCGACGTAGGCGGCGGCCGCGGGGACAAACGACGAAACGCCCTCCGAGGGGAGGGGAGGCAGAGGGGAGATGATGTGGCGGAGGAGGATGAGGACGAGGACGATGGGCCCTTGACTGTCATGGGCAACAAGTGGCAGGAGAGCGGCGCCTTCGCGGTCGATGGAAGAGGCACCGTCATCTGGGGCGGCAAGGCGTTGAGAGCAGACGACCTCATGGACCTCGATGAAGGTGCCCGACTTCTGCTCATGTAAAATTATCAGGTTCAGCCATGAAGCGACTTCTGTACGATATCAGATCAATTTTAGGTGCATGTCGTGTGAGCGACGATAGGTGCAATCACACAACACACCGCTGCACACACCGCAGCACAGTCCGCAGCTCATCCACAGTCTCATTCATCATACTGTCTTGCGAGTGCCTTCCAAGCTATCAGTCTCCCTCATTATTCCATTCCCTATATACCCCCAGCAACCCCCAAAGTCAAAAACACCTCCCGCCGTAACCCAGGTGAGAAGAGAGAACGAAACCCCGTTCCAGCCGCCCTGAACAAAGGAAAATAGAAAAGAGAAACTCCCCCATCCGTTTTGTTGCTCCCGATTTTTTTCTTCTTTTTGTATTTGAGTGATGCCTGCTTTGGACCTTGCGTTCTTGTCGTCACTGTCGATGCTGCCGGTCATCGTCATGCCGTGTAAAGGAGTCTCGTCGCCTGCTGAGTGGAGGGTGTCCCGTCGTCCGCCGGGTGTCGAGCACTGCAGTGCGTCCCGGCGCCGCCCCAGAGACAGCTCAACGAACAAAATGCGTCGCTCCCAGGATGCACGCTGTTTGCTGCCCGGCCGTAGCAATATCAAAGCTGCCCATTCTTTTCCTCCTCGTTTCGTGACTCTCGGCCCGTCGCCCGGTGCTCTCGAACCGGCGTCTTCCCGTCGTTCGCATACCGCACCCAAGATATACCGCTGCGTCGTGATGCAACTCCGTCCAACCCTGCCAACATAGCGCCCAAAGCCGTCCACCGGCTCACACAACGTCGACGCAGACTCCCGGTCCAACCCTGCCGATTCCCGAACAAACCCTAGGTATATGAAAAAGCACAGGCCTTTTGGTCTCGCCGTCGCCCGAAAATGCCCCAAGGATGCCGTCCTTGTCAATGAAACGCGCGCCCACAGAGAACACCCAGCCTTCCAGAAACATTAAAACAATCGAGGCAACACCGCTGCTGATCCGGGTTCTGTCCCAAATTCCCATCGACACCAGAAGTCCCAGCGCCATTTCAATGCAAACCCACATAAAACGGCACGTACAGCTTCAACCCCCTCCCGTCATAATGCGCGGCGCAGCTTGGTCACGGCGCCCTAACCCCAGACGCTGGCTTGAGCCCCGATGCCCGACGACTGGCCCCAAACGCCGTTGCCGCGGCCCCAGCCGCCCGAGGAGGTGAGGGGCGTCGTCGACCGCTTCCCAGAGGCACCTGCCGACGGCGTGCCGGATGGCCGGGTGCCGATGGGCGCAACGGGGGCACCCGCCTGGCCCGGCTTGGAGCCAGGGGCCAGGTCGCGAGGCGGAGATCCGCCGGTCGGGCTCGAGTTGCTCGTGCGGCTCTGGGGCCCGACAGCGTTCTCAAAGGCCTTGTTGGTAGGGCCGGCCGTCTGAGGGCTAGTTGTGGACTGGGGGCGCGGGCTGGGGTTGGTTTGCGCGTGGTCGCTCGCCGAACCGGGAGTGGGAATCTCGGCGCCCGACGGAGCACGGCCAATGTTGTCGAAAGTCAGAGGCGAGGGGCCGCGGAGGCTAGCAGGGCCACTGGCGACGGGGGCTCCAGGTCGCATGTTGCCGGTCTCGTCGACGTAGCCGCTCTTGTCGGCAAACGGGCCTTCGCCGTACAAGGCGCTGCGCTGGCGGGCAATGAGCTCGCGCGTCTCTTCCTCGGACATGTGCTTGCCGCTCTGCTGGGCCACATCGGTCAAGACATCTACGAGCAGACAACTGTTAGCCCAAATTCAACAACATGACGTGAGGCGGCGCGTGAACCCGTGACCCGACGAGCAGCCGCCAGCGAGGGCGAAACAGGTCGAGGACGGACAACATGAGGAGGAGGCTCGCTGATAGCCAATCGTCTTTAACCGCCCAAGGCCGGGGCTTTTTCTTTTCTTCTCTATCGTGGGGTATCCTTTCCTTGCGACCAGGCAAAAGAATGCTAAACTGCAGAGGGTGGCCTACTTCGTTGGTATTGCTGCTCCGTGTGGAGGTTGCGCAGCTCTCGCTCCCGCTGGGCTGCCATCCTTCTCTTCGCCTGCATAACCTGCTCCGCCTCGTTGCTGCCGCGAGAGGGCTGGTGGCGCTGGGTCGCGTAGAAGTTGTGGAGGTTCTGGCCCGGGGGCCCACGGGCATCGTCAAACGCATTCATGTGGTGAGAGCGAGGACCGCCACCGTGGGAGACACGAGAATCTACTCGCATAGCAGGCGGGGCCGCCTGGTTAGTCGGTGCCCTGACAACGTGCGCGAGACCACCACGCCTGTTGGCCTGGGGGCGTGCTCCAGCAAGCTGGTCGGCTGTCTTCGGGAACTCACGACGTCCGCCCATGCCATAGCCCTTGCCGGACTTTGACAAGTTCTCGAAGGCGCGGTCGACCTCTGCGATAATCGTCAGCACCTGTTTGAGGATGTTGCAATATATCATTCGCGCTTCTGGCCGGATAAGACGGGCGGTGTGGTACACTGGTGTTCCCGTCGAGAGGACAGCCGCTCGGGCAACAATCCGTGCAGCGCGTATCGGGTGATCGGATCGACGTACCATCGAACTGATAGGAGAAGGCGAACTCATCCTGGGGCTGGGGAGCGCTCGCACCAGCTGCGGATAATTAGTCAGTTGTAGCTCGGGCGAAGCGACGCGACGGCGCGACGTACCGCTGCGGACAGGGGTGGAGGTGCCGCTCTGGTGCTCCCAGTTGTTCTGGCCGGGACCGGACCACTGCTGGTTATCGTAGTAGGACATGATTCGTATCAAGGCGACCGCTGGTGCGGGATAGCGATATTTGGACCAGCCGAGGGATTTAGACTGCGGGAGGACAGCGTTAGCCACTGATCAGAGAAAGGCCAACGGCGAGCCTTGGACGTCGACTCGCGATCGAAAAGAGCTGCGTGTTGGCGACAATTTCCACCGTAGCCGACCTCGCTGACCCGAGACTCTGTCGACATTGCGCCGCGACGTATAGGCTTGTGCGGCGCGGGTGACATCGCGCGGAGCCGGGCAGCGGTAGCGAGGCGACAGTTGAGGAACGATTTGATCTCACGGCACTCGCAAGCCCTTGACGAAAGGAAGAGACTCACCGGCGGGATGTCGTGGTGCCGCAGCGCGATGCGAGCGAGGCTGCTGCAGTCTGTCGTCTAACAGAGACAGCGCAAAAGTGGCCCAAAAACGACAGGAGAAAAAAAGAGAAACGCCACTGCCGCGCGAGACAAGCGGGCAAACACACGGGGGGGTATCGAAGGGGATCCGACGAGATCGCCCGAGGAAACAAGAAAGTCGTCCGGGGGGGTCGCGCAAAGCGAGAGGTCGGAAAGGGGGGATTGTACAGCGAGGGACCGAGGCGGAGAGTGAGTGAGAGAGGAAGAGGAACGAGGATGGCGGCCACGGAGGATCGTGGGTGGTGGTGTCGTGACCAGCGGAGTGGATTGGGGGGGAACGGGGACTTGGACGGGGGACTGGGACTGGGGGGGGGGATGGATGAAATTTCCAGGGTGGGAACCTGGACCCGTGCCGTGCAAATAGAGGAAAGGAGTCGGAGCGGGAGTCGACGGGAGAGCGCGCGGGTGGACCTTCTGGGCTGGCGGCTTATTAGGAGCACCTGGGCTGGGCTGGGCAGCTTCCAGGTTGAGGAGCTGCCCCGTAAGGTACCTTAGGTACCTGGAGCCCAGCGGCGCTCGCTGGGGGGAGGAGCTGGCGGATGCCCGCCGTTCGTTACCAGTGGTGCCGTTGCTGGCGGGCGCTGGCGGCAACAGGCGGTGCCGGTGGTGGCCGTGGGTGCACCGGAGGCGGTGGTGGTGGTGGTGAAGGTGCCCTGCCCAAGTGGTGGGGGTGGTGGTTGTGGTGGGTGCCCGCAGCCTGGTGGGTGCAGCCGGTGGAGGGTCAGCCGCTGCGAGAGCCAATGGTGCGCGCTGGCGCGCCCTGGGCACCGCTGTATCTGGGGGTCCGAAGCGGCCAGCGCGCCGACACACTGTGCAGGGACCGCGCCGAGATGGAGGAAAGATGGGGGAAGGCGCGAGGTGCCCGCTGCTGGTCGCTCCACGCGAGGCAATTTGAAGCTTGTGTTCCTCAACACTCGACGAAGTATACGCCGCACTATTTCGTCGTGCAGTCGGTCGCTTGCTTGTCGACCCCGCGCAACGACACAATCGTGGCAGTGTGCTGTCATCGCCATCCCCCGCTGTGTCACTGTCAAGTCAGAAAGCAGACGACGACGCCGATGACAACAACAATAACAACAAAAATACGTGCCCGCGGCTGCCTCCTCCCAGAACGCCCCCAATGATCTGCTCCCCGTCTGCCTGGCTCGCTCGCCGGCCTCTCGCTTGCTGCCGTTGGCGACTGGTGACGTTGCTCCGAGTCACTCTCTCGCCGTGTCTTGTAACACCCTTCCGGCGCCCCGAGCTGGTTGGACGAGCTCGACGTCTGGATCACATCGACGCCACGCAGGTCGGCGGCCTGCCTGGACCAACCGAATCGGCGTCGCCTCGAATCATGGCCTCACGGTCGTCATGGCCTTGACGAGCGGCCTTGAGCAGATTGCAACGGCGACTTCTTTCCCGCGCCGCCATGTCCGCCCAAATTGACACGCCCGCGATGCTTGGAAGACGGACGCCCCAAGATTAGAGACCCGCTGCCGTGTCACCGCCCGCTGCTGACACAGGCGGGAGGCCCCCTATCGCGTCCATCGCGTCCCAAGCTTGGCTCCGGGTACGGATAAGGCAGGTAAGGCAGGCGAGTAGCATGTTTGCTCCGGGCCAAGTCCAGTAGTCATCGCGGGAAGACGGGCCCTCGCGTGCGGCACAAGCGTCCTCGACATGACCCTTTGAACACGCGCATGCAACCTCTTTCGTAGAGATGACGACTTGGGCCGGCTCGGCTCTCACTCACTCGAGGATGGAGGAGGGCCCTCGACTCTCGACGGCTGCCGCCAGAGGATCCGGCCCGATGCCACCGACAGTGTACCGGCGACCCGAGGCACTGTGAGAATACCTGGGGGGCGTAAATAAGCCGCAGAGATACGCGACGTGGGCGACGTGGGCGACGTCCACGCTGGCCACTCCGGGCTGGTCGACGCATCATCTCCTCCGTGGAGGGGCGAGCCGTGTCCCCACAGCTGCGCACTGTACCCAGCCTGGGTCGCACGCAGGGTCCAGCGGCTGGCTGGCCGTCTTCACCGACCGGCAACCTCGAAAGCTTTGGCCGCCCGTCATGTCTCGTTTTCCTTCTCGGGCGCCGCCCGCCAAGTCAATTATCTCGAGTCCGACACCCGAGGCGCCGGCGCCCCTGACTGACTCCCGGCTGCGTCGTCGTCGCAAAAAGGTGTCGACTTCCATGTCGCCGCTGTGCACGGCACCTCGAAAGGCGCACTGTCCTGCGGCAGCACGTCATGTTTCTTGGCTCGCGTCGCCCATTCATCCATTTCATCCACCCATCACCACCCTTAGGGCCCGTCCTTGTGGGGGCCCAAATTTCGGCCGTTGTCAACTTCGCCAACGAAGCCTCCTAGCGCCTCCCCTGTCCCTCGCGCCACTGTTTGATTGTCTCGCCAATGGCCCGGTTTTTTGGTTTCGGCACGACGGGCCTTGCCTGCTGAAGACGTGCCGCGACGAGAGGTCTCGGACTGCGGTGCGTGCAGACACGGAGCAGCAGAGCACAGCAGAGCAGCGACCAGGCCCTGCGTGTCAACATTTCAAGAGGCCAGCATTCGTCCGACGGCTTTGCGGGTATCAAGGCCCAAGGACACTCCCTCACTGTTCCCACTTGGACGCAATCCCGGCAATAGCACGCGGATGCAATGGGACCCGCGTCAATACTCCAACAACAGCCCAACCAAACCAGTCTTGATACCTGGCCGGCATCAACAGGGCGAGGCTCGCCGTCCAAATCTGCCCAATTCAAGTCGGTCATCTCGCGAACCATGACGCGAGACGCAGCAGCGCTTCCCGAACCCGTCCGCATGTAATGTACATGTGCCTCCCCGTCGCGCCTATTTCATGCATGCAGCTGCATGAATCACATCCAGCTCGCCGAATGGCGATGCGCCGACCTTGGCCGCCTGGCCCACGGACTCATCTGATCCAGCAAGGTTCGCGCGGAGGCGGCCTCGGGCGCGGTCGATGACCACGTCCAGCACAGATTCGCCAAAACGAGGCGCGACCCCCGTCCAGTCTTGGAAACGCGGATTGCCTGATGTCGAGGAAGAGCTGCCACCGTTGCTGCCCCCCCGTCGCCCGCTCCCGAATCCCGGCGCCGCAGCTGCCGCCCGTCGGTGTGACAGGCTGCGTCGCGCGCCTGGCTCAGCCGTCGCTCTCTCACATGGGCATGTCTTGCCTGGAAGACACACCCGCGTCGTGGACTCGCGGCGGCGACCCTGCATTTCTCGGTTGAGCGTATCCGCTGTCTGAAACGAGGACTCTTCCCGCGCCGGACGCAGCTTTCTGGGTCGGGGCGAGCCGCTCAAGCGTTGGTGTGGCCTCCCCCAACGATCGAGCCGGGAAAAGCGCCTCCAATGGCGGCCGTTCTGACCAGGCAGGTTCCATGTCCAGCCGTACGAGTGTACCCTGCTGCCAGAACGCCGACCGAAGCCTCCACAAGTACTTGCGACTTTCCTGCCCGCATCCATCCGTGGTGGGCTGATTGATTGACGGATGAGCCGCCGCCGTTGGTGTCAATTCTACCGGCGAGGCGAGTCCAGCGTCTCCTCATTTAAAGAATCCGCCAACAGGATCCGGGGTAATCCTTCGCCGAGCGGCTGGACCTTCTTTGGGGGTTTGAGGGAGGGAGCGAGGTGGTGGCCGACCCGCCGCCGCCGCAGAGTTCCGAATTTCCGCCAGACTCCGCACATGCATTCCTCGTTGCCGAGAGCCATGAAACAGCAGCTGCTCCGCTCAATACGTCATCGAGGGTGCGTCGCGAGGGCCCTGTGCGCGGTGGCTCGGAGTCGCGTCGTTTTTGTCTTTATCGCACAGGTCGTGTGAGGTGCTGCACGCTCAGCGGCTGCTCTGCGCCACGGGTACGGTACTGGACAATAGCAGCCAGCTCCAGCTCCCGCTAAACGAAAACGTGTCGAAATAGGTGCGAGTGGCAGAATCGTCCTAGTGCAGGTTGGGTCCAGTGGCTCGGGCGGCAGCGACATCGGCAGCGGCAGATCCGCACGCCGCCCCCGACGACTCGGCGCGCGGGGCGCTCGTTGGACGGTGCGCCGTGGAGCTTGCTCCGGCCACGGGGACCTGAATGTGATGGGTGATTTGTACGAGTACAGATCGACGAAGTTCGCGCTCGTGGACAGAAATGCTGCGCAATGGCCGCGCTGGCCGCATTGGCACGGACGGTCGCGACGGCAGTGGACGCGCCCAAACCACAGCAGCCAATTCACGGTGCATAGTATCGACGAGGTGCGGTGTGTGTCAAGTCATCATTCATTCCATTATCATTACTAAAATTTACATATACCCCGACGCCAATTCCGCTGAGAAACCACAAGTCCCGCCTGGCCTTTTGTGGTATTTTTTTGGTCGTGGACTCGGACTGGCAACAAACGTATGCCGCCGAAAACCGCCCACGGGACGCGCCAAACGCCATCCTCGCCTTTCCAAGTCGTGTCGTTACAAGCGCGAAGCTTCTCCGTTATGGCCATTTACATGGTATAAGCCCACGGTCCGTTGGCGGGGTACTGGCCTGCATAGTTGGGTCCTCCAGGGATGCCCTCTACCTGCATGCCGAAGGTGAGCGGCAGGGACACGTGGGATGGCCACGGCCCGGCACCTGGCGCGTCGGCCGGCAGCGCGCTCGCCGGCGGGGATTCCGTTGGCCGGGGCCGCATGCGCAGGCCCATGGCGGTGTTGATCTCGACTTCGAGGTCGAAGTCGTCGTCGAAACACGAGTCGATGTCGGCTTGGGTATAAGACGGGCACTGCTCCTGCGGCGGGATAGCTGCATACGCAGACGACATCGATGATGACGGCAGCGCAAAGGCCCCAGCAGTGTTGTTTTGTGTGTTCATGTTTGTGTTGAAAGTGGCGGCGGGAGCGGGCGCAGCCGCGCCGGGGTACGGCGCCGCAAAGTCGCCTGCCGAAGAGGCGGCCGGCGAGGCCCCGGCATACGGTGCCGTCGCGTGCGCAAAGTCGATGGAGGATATGTCCGAAGAGGCAGACGGGGAGGCAGTGTAGCCGTAGTCGGAAGAGGGAGAGGTGACGTAGGAGTAGTCGTAGGGTAGTGCCGCGGGCATGTAAGCGGCCGGCTGAGGTGGCAGTTGCTGCAGTTGGTGGTCGTACTCGGTCTGCCTGGCCCTCTTGGAGGTAGGGCCGTGGTGGAAGGGCAGGTCGGTGACGACGATGTCAGACGGTCGTTTAGACATTGTGAGGGTGTGTATGTTGTGTAAGTCGTAAACGAGGGCTGACTACTGCGAGCAGTATGAAGGTGGTATAGGTACAAAGTATAGTAGTGGGATATATCGTTGCTTGGTACAATGGAAGGAAGTGATCACGGGTTCTTTGTTATCCGTGTTGCATTTTCGTGTACTGGATGCAGCTCGTCAGCCTAAGATGGGGGAGGGCCGACCCAGGGCCCTTATACCTGCGGCGCCCGCCAGGGCAATCCCAGGATGCCATCCCCGAGACAGGGTCCCGCAGACTGGCGAAACCCAGAATCACGACAACGAGGCACCACTTTGCCCATGCCCATGACAGGAGAGAGGGAAAAGGCCCCGCCCGAGAATGCAAGAATGACGTTGCGGCTTGTCAGGCACGAGCGGCGGCTGTGGTTTTCCCATTTCCAGGGTCCCCCGCAAACCATGGGGGGGTTCCAGCGGTTCCAGTGGACGACGCACGCGCCAATGGGACGCCGCGCCGGGGCCTCCATTCCGCAGCAAATGCTCCGGCCCCGCCAGCTTGACAGCCGTTGCGCGACCGCTGGCGACGTCATTCTGCGAGGGCGAGGGCACAAGGGAAAAAACTTGCGGCACCATCGAGGAACGGGTGGCCCACAGCGAGCCACCCAGGGCGTTTGGGGGTTCCTCTCCCGTTCCCCCTTCAGGATGCACCCCCGCAGCTGCGACATGGTCTTGATGGTGTAAACACAGGCGGCTTCGACAGCTGGCTGGCATGCCAGGGATGGAGGCTCTCCCGTGCGCTCGTGGTTGGCTGGCGGTGATGTCATTGCCTGCGACATCCTTCTGCCGCCTTCTTTGCTTCGTTCGCGACATGGGGTTGACCGGTCTAGACTCTCCGGGCCCCTCTCTCCTGTCCGAGACTTGTCCAAGAACGCACGTCAGGGTCGATTCGCGCCGGCGCGGGGCTCGCGCAGAAATCGAAGCTATACCCTTTCTCTTCGACGTTTCCTCTTCGTCTGCGCGCTGCCGGGCGCCAAGACAGAAAACCGTTGGGGTCGCTTCGGCAGCGGCCGGCATAGGGTTTTGCCACTGTCGCGTGGCCTGACATGGTCTGCGAAGTGGCACAATGCCATGAAGCTATTTTGGTGCTTTTCGCTGTTTGTCGGCGTGGGGAACCGTCCGTAGTGTGCGAGCTTTCTCTGGGCATGGCGTTTTGCTTTTGAGCCGTTACCGAGCGAGCAACTCGACTACTCCCACTTGGCGGCGGAAGCCTCCCAAGCTGTGAACCGCCGCGGCCTCGGCGGACATCCGCGACAATAGCTATGCTCGGCAAGCAAGCGACGCCGTTGATGGTGTCATTGCGGTCCAGCACAGTTTTCCCGTCTTCAACGACGCTACCGCCTTGGCCGTCTCGTCGAGAGTCCCCGCCATGAGCTGATGTGTGCTAAGTGGCGAAAGGGAACTTCGAGTTCTTCCCACAAGACGTTCTAGACGACATCAAGCTCGTCCTTGTCCACTCTGAGCCGTTCTGTCCGAACACGATCGCCGTCCACTCCTTGAAGTTTGCCTTTGCAGCTAACAGAATGGCATCATGGGCACATCCCAGCAGCTCGAGGGCCGCGCCGAGTTGTGCGGTTGCGGCTCGCTGAGGCTCCGGGCCACTGTGTCGGCTAGCAGCACCGCCTGCCTGACACCCATAGACGACCCAATCCGACGCAGCCGGTCGACGGCAACGAACCGCACGCTCGCCAGGTTCGGCTCTTCCAAAGCGACGACGCATAGCGGCCGGATGAGAGAGAGGATACCTGCACTGAAGCGTTAGCGCCTCTGCCAAGTCAATCACGGCTCTGTTGACTTACGTGGCGTGTCAATCAAAGCATTGGTCGATACGCAAATGTCTTCGGAATACTGGCGGATCCGCGATACTATACTTGCCACGCTTGGTTCCAGGCTTGGCTCGCCGTGGCTCTCTGTGCTGGTGTCCAGGAGAATGCGGCTGACCAACACTCGGACAAGACGCCAATTGTTCCACACCTCTGCGTTCCACAGGCTAGGATAAACGTGCCTAATTCCGCCGAAGCCGCCATCCAAAGGGCCGTCGAGTATTTCAATCTGATAGTTCCACTCCTGGGGCAAAGCCGCACTCCACGCTTGGAGTTCTCGGTCGATATCCATTGCAGTCTCTCTGGCGGCTTTGCGGTCCAAACCTGCGTCTCCTCGGAGCATCGCTGCCCGCAGGTTCACGATTCGAAACGATATCTCAAAGATTGAGCTCGGAGTGGCAATATTGCTCTTCCGCCAGCGCTGCCTGGTGCTACTGGTCTGGAAGCTGCGTGCCGCCTGTGCAAGCGCCCTTGGCACGCCCGAGTTCTGCTGCATGTAGACTGACAGCTGTAGCTCGGTCAATGTCCATGTACTCAGCCGGTGACAGGATACTCACAATTTGAGAGCGAATTTGGGTATAAAGCTGGCCGCCTCGCTCGCGACTAAATTGCTCCTGGCCGCGCAGCTCGAGCAGCGTCAAGGCCCCTTTGATGTGCGTCTCCCAGCTGCGGTACTGGTCGCCATTGCGGAAGTTCAGTGTCTGAACCATGTTAGTTGGGGGCCATCCCTCCGCTGTGGAGTGATTCGCACCTCGAACAAGCCGAGGAGGATTACAGCCATCAGTGTCGTGTCATCGGCTGCATGGTCTGCGTCATTCAAGGCCTGCTGAGTGGAAGCCAGTGCTTCGGAATATCGTTTCCTAGCTTGGACCTCGAGATGGGGCGCATATAGGACGTTTGACATGCCAGCCATGCCAACGGCCTCGATGGCAGCTTTCAGAACCGGGGCATCACGATACGATTCTGTGAGCCAGCTCTGGTACGCTTCCGAAAGCGGAACCTCATGAAACGCATACTTGGAGAAATAGAAGCTCGCGCTGAGCTCATGATGGCGCACCGGAATGGCTCTGGGGATGGCCCTCCTGATAGCGTTCCCAGAATCGGATACGGATGGACGTGGACTCAAAATGTCTTGGGAATTCATCCGGCTGACATGGATCCTACCTGGCGCCTGGGTTTCCCGATTTCCAGCCCGAAGAATCGTCCGCCTGGTATCGTCCCTGAACCGCACATGGTCGAGATCACGGTATCCCGGACACGGCACATCGGACCTGTGGCAGCGCAAGCAACCCGGCTTCTGCTCGTCGCACTAGGTGGGCTCACAGTCAGGGAGAAGAGGGTCTCAAGAGAAGGAGTACAGTCGGCATGTCGACGGACCTTGATCTTGCGCTTGCGGCAGCGCTGACAGCCTCTACTCAGCACGCCGTAGTACACCATGCTGCGAAAGTAGGATTTTGCCGCTCAGCGCGGGACAATCATGCCCATGATGCAGCTTATCATGGCCAGGGATGGACAAGAAATTGGAAATGGGCAGCCCGACAGGTTGGCATTTACCTTGGATGAATGCACAAGTGTTGATGAAGCTGGTGAGGTGGGTTGCGGGCGGACTGGGGGGTCGCAGTCTGCCCCTACAACGGGACTAGCGTCTTTGCTCCTCGTGGGGCATTGGCGCTGCAACTCGTTCTGCGGGTGACGACGCATCCTACCACTTACACCTCGCCAATGCCGAACTCCGTCGACCAGCTGAACTGCATTCATTCGTATAAATATGCGGCTGTTGGGAGCAATGTTCATGTTTCCTTCCAAGTCTTTTCCCTGGCGCAAAAGGACAGGTCGATTATCCGTACCTTGGGCTGATTGACGGCAACTTGCTCGAAACTTCAGCTACCCGACACCGTGCTGGCTTGACAACCTCGCCGTCCCAATATCGCAACCATGGCCACCTCAGACTCGTCCAACACCTCTGGTCCCCGGGTCTCCGAGCAGACTTTCAGCTCTTATAACCAGGCCCAGGGCCAAAAGTACGTTCAAGCTCGCCACGACTACAACCCCCTCGTCTACCAGGCCGTTGTCGAGCACCACACGTCCACGGGCGGTCGTCCTGACACACTCCTCGATGTCGGATGCGGGCCCGGCCTCGCCGCGCGTGCCCTCGCGCCTCACTTTGCGCAAGTCATTGGACTTGATCCCTCCGAGGGCATGCTCGCCGTTGCGCGCTCCCTCGGCGGTGCGTCCTCGACCGGCGAGCCCATCCGCTGGGAGCGCGGCGCCGCCGAGGAGCTGGATAAGGTGCCGCAACTAGCACCTGCGAGCGTCGACCTCATCACGGCCGCCAATGCGGCGCATTGGTTCGACATGCCGCGTTTTTGGGCCGCCGCCGCGCGAGCCCTCCGCCCCGGCGGCACCGTCGCGCTCTGGACCAGCGGCGACATCCGCGCCCACCCGTCCATGCCCGGGGCAGCCAAGATCCAGGCCGCCATGGATCGCCATTTCGAAGTCAACCTGCGCCCGCACATGACGGCCGGGAACCTGCTCACCATGGGTGGATACGCGGACCTGCCTCTGCCGTGGACGAAGAATCCTGGTGACGGCAACGATGAGGCGGCCAACGCAGTCGCTAGGCAGTTTGACGAGGCCAAGTTTGTGCGTAGGGACTGGGCCGCAGACGAGGAATTTTTCGTCAGCAACTCGGAGGTGAACCTCGATGGGTTTGAGAAGCTGATGGCGACTGTCAGCGCGCAGACGCGGTGGAACCAGGCTCACCCGGAGCTGGTGGGCACGGACAAGGACGTGATTAAGATTCTGCGCCGAGAGATCGAGGAGGCTTTGCATGAGGCAGGCGTGGAAAAGGGCAAGGAGAAACTCAAGGGGTCCGTCTTGGGAGTTCTTCTCATCGTCAAGAAGAGGGGTGTTCATGATCAGTAGGCAGAGATTGCGCAATTCAATTCTGACGACGGCTGTATGTGCAAGTACAAGAGCTCACTCCCCCGAAAACGCCTTCTCCAATGCCGCAACATCCAGCTTCTTCATCCCCATCATGGCCACCATGGCGCGATCCGCCGCGGCGCGGTCCTCGGCGCCCAGCATCTCCTTCATGCGCTTGGGCACAATCTGCCACGAGACGCCGTACTTGTCGGCCAGCCAGCTGCACTGCTCGCGCGCCGGGTCGGCGCTGAGCTTGGCCCAGTAGTGGTCCACCTCGGCCTGGTCGGCGCAGTCGACCTGGAAGGAGACGGACTCGTTGAAGGTCCACTTGGAGGGGCCGCCGTTGAGCGCGACGAAGCGCCGCCCGCCGAGCTCGAACTCGACGACGAGGACGGACCCGGGCTCGCGGCCGTGGGTGTCCTGCCCGGCCTTGGAGTAGTACTGCGTGGTGACGATGCGCGAGTTGGGGGCCCAGACGGCGACGTAGAAGTTGGCGGCCTCTTCGGCCTGGGTGTCGAACCAGAGGCAGGTGGTGATGCCGAGGGACATTTTGGCTTATACTTCGCAGGTAATGCAATGAGATGATGAATTGCAATTGGAGTTGCTTGAGTTGTGGGAATGAATTGAGCGGCCTGATCAATAAAGATTTCACTCTTCAAGCTTCACCGCAACACGGAATTGCGATTCCCTTTAAATACGCAGTGCCTCGTATTTCGTAACACTGGCCGACGAGACCAACTCGAAACGCGGGTGACGTCCCTCACGAAGCACTTGCACCCACGGCGCGTGGCTTCGTGATGCGCCGCACCTCAGCTCCCGCCTGCCCCGCGCAACATAATTCGTCAACGCCGCAGGGAGGCGTCCTGCTTTTTGCTCCTTTCGTCACCCAGTATCGTTGCCAATGCCGTGGCTGCTCTGCTTTTATTGGCCCTTGGAACAATCGAGGCCAGGCAGACCTGGCTGCCTTGGATTTAATCTGGGTTGATTAGTATTTGCCGGAGTTGGCATCTCGATTTTGTCAGGTGATCGTGCAAGGGCGAGGCATCACCGCGAGGTTCGGGTTGCCGCGGAAGACGCCCCGCGAGGTGCCCGTTGCAAGCTCAACCCCGTGTCATGAGCGGGCACTGGAGGCGTGCCACAACAAGAGGGCTATGGCATCGCGAGGGTATTGGATCCGAGCCTTCAACGACAATTGACAATCGACAGCGGTATCAAGCTGGCACCATCAGTCGGACCGATCAACATGTTCATAATAGCAAATACATTCGATGCAAGTTATGCACCTCGGAGGACAGCAATTTGACGCTTTCAACACGTGCGAATGCCTCTCGGTACCTTGCGCTGCCCGTATGGTGGCGTGAGGCGAGACCGTAGGGTGCTGCCTACCCGGAGGTATCCATGGGTCACTGCACGGTCAGGGAGCTACTGCCAACTGCCGCGCAGCTGGCACTTGCCGTGGTCACGGCTGACTCGCCGGGAGAAGTTACGCAAGGTATGGTCCCAGTAACGCTCCTCTCGAGCGTACCCTGGGCCTTCCTCGCGCACAGCACCTCACCACCTGGACACCTGGGAGATGTTCCATCTTCGCCTTTGATCACTCCACAGCGCACTCTTTCGGGCCGCTCTGCAACCACGCCTCGCGTTACCTCCGCCATCAACGAGCCAGGCCATTTCAGTCAAGGTAGGGCGTGCACCGCTCATGTGGAGGTCCCAGGCATGGCTACTAACTGATTGCAGCCCAGCATGGCACCCAGAGGGAAGAAGGCATCACCCAAGAAGGCTCTCAAGCCCCCCTGTCTCATGACAGACCGGCATCAATGCTTTCCCATCAGGCGTACCACGATAGACACCGGCGTCAGGACCTTTGATGGCGTACTAAAAAAGAACATCGATATCGAGTACAATGGCTTCGAGTGGATCCGAGTGGCAAGCTGGACCAACGCCACCGCGGAAGCGCAGGGGCATAACTACAGCTACTGGAAGGACATGGTCCTGCATCCTGACCATAGGTACTCCGCGACCAACGACTTCGAAATAGACTCTCCCAAGACTGTGGATGATTCCAATTGGAACATCCTGGACTCTTTGATCGGTCTTGACTTTGTTCTCGGCCATGAGGAAGACACGCAAGCTCCGAGGGTCAGCATCACGGCGCGTGACGCCACCTCGAACGCACAGAAATTTGAAGACAGGATCATTGTGCCCGAGTACTCGCAGTTTCATCTATACCAGCGCAGAATCTTTTTCACGGCCATCGTATGGTTTCAGCACTACCCGTCACCCCCCGAAGGCCCCGCTGAAGTCCTCCATTGGCTTGGGCTTCGCCCAGTCAGACTATACACCGGGATCCGGTACAATACCAGCGACGTATTGACTACGACAACTGTCCTCGAAGGATCCGACTCAAGTAGCTGGTCATCATTGGGCAGGAACAAGAGGCCTCCCGTAGGCGAAAATGCTTTTCTACTACACACAAGATCGGAATACATGCGATACATTGCCAGTCTGGGGTCTTGTGAGCCGTCGTTGTGCAGCAACGCCGATACACCAATGGAAGTCGACGACGAAATGCCTACTTGATAGAGTCCATGGTAAAAGGAGAATACAGCTCAGTAAGAGGAATGGTGATTAGGGTCCGATGGCGATTGAGTCCCGTTTGTTCACCAAGTTTGTCCTGCCAGTTGGACACACGCAAGCAGGGGCGGTTGAAAGCAGTGATCGGCTGGCACGCGATGCCATCACAAACATGGACCACAATACATACATACTACATGTGTACACACACACAGCTCGGCCGTTAGTTTTGAGAAATTAAAAGACAGCGAAAAGCAGACTTCAGCACGCACAAATAAAGGTGCCCCAGTCCAGTGTCTCAAATTCTCAATCCCCGGTGTTTCGGCAACTTCCCGCCAAGGCGCGGATCCGATTAGCGAGCTGTGCTGTCTCCAGCTCCTCTTTGCTAGCGCCGCAGCGCCTCTGGAGCTTGCGTCATTCCACCATCGTCGACTCACTTACACGCATTTTGTTAGCTGCCGGCAGTGGCGGAGCACTCACTCACACACTCTCACCTTGGGGGGCTCGCCAACCTCACCTCACCTCCCACCTTCACGCCTCCTCACATCACCACCACCGCAAACATGCCCTCCTCCGACACATCCTCCGACTTTGAGCTCGACCCCGTCATCGAGGCGTCCTCCTCGCCAGACGCGCCCCTCACCGGTGCCACGCCCACGCTGCCCAAGTGGTACCGGCCCCCGCGGTGGCTCACCGGCGGCACCACCGCAGACGCCTCATCCCAGTCTGCATCATCATCAGTATGGCCGCCACGGTGGATGACGTCGCGATGGTCAACACCGCGGTGGTCGCAGCACCGCGTCCCGCGCGCGGTCGCACGCACGCTGCGCCCCCGCCTGACGTGGCGCTACGTGCTCTTCTCGCTGCTCTTCCTCTACGTCTTCATCCGCGGCGTGGTCCTGCGCCGTCCGCTTCTCGCCTCCCCGCTGCCGGCGTACACGGGCCCGCATGCCGTCGGCGCCGTTGACATCGAGGTCCCGATCGCGGACCACGGCGGGCAGCCGCTCCTCCTCTCCAACGCCACGTTCAAGGCCACCGGCCGGCCCGCGTTTGAGCTGCAGTCTGTGCTCTTCACGCTGTACTACCCCGTCGCTGCTGCTGCTGCTGCCGGACGCGATGCGCCAACGCCGCCTATGTACTGGATCCCCAAGCCCATCAGCCTGACCGCCCGGGGGTACGCCCGCTTCGCGCACGTCGACAACTTCCTCGTCCGGCCTATCTTCACCTTTTTCTTGTGGCTGCTCGCGGGGGGCATCACCGTCCCCGCGCGCGTCGACGCCCCGCTGCTCGCTGCCGAGGCGGCGAGGGCGTCTGATGCGGTGCTCGTGGGCAAGGATGGGAGGCTGCCCGTCGTGCTGTTCTCGCATGGCGACGCCTCGTCCCGCACCGACTACACGAATTACCTCGGCGAGCTGGCTTCGCGGGGCGCTGTCGTTGCGGCGGTTGAGCATCGTGATGGTAGCTGCCCGGGAACGCTTGTCCGGCTCCCCGGTGAGCCTGATCGCGAGGTGCTGACGTTTCGTGCCTCTGAGCTAGTCGCTCCTGTGTCTGGGCCCTCCGATGGCAGTGGTGATGATGGTGATGATGACCTCAAGAAGGCCCGGCGCAGCGATGACAAGCTGCAGCCCGTCGACAGCGACCGCTTCCTGTTCGACCAGCTCGAATTCCGCAACGCCGAAATGTTCCAAGCGTTACACGTCCTGCAGGCCCTCCACGCCGGCAACGGCAGCTCCCTCGCCGCGCTCAACACCCGCGGCCACGGCGCCGCCTCCCTCCCCACCTTCGCCTCCCGCCTCGACCTCGCGCAGCTCCTCATCGCGGGCCACTCCCACGGCGCCACCCTCGCCCTCAAGTCCCTCGTCGACTCCCCGCTGCCCGCCAGCGGCGGCATCGCCCTCGACCCGGGCAAGTCCTCCGGCAAGCTCGACCCGGGCTCCCCCGCGCCCCTGCTCGTCGTCCACTCCAACTCGTGGTCCCGCGCCCGCAGCCTCTTCTTCGGCCGCCCCCACTTCGACGCCGTCAAGGAGCTCGTCCAGGGCGTCTTGCGCCGCGCCGGCGCCGCGTGGTTCGTCACCAGCGTCGGGACCTCCCATCCGAGCGTCTCGGACGCGCCCCTCATCGAGCCCTGGATCCTGAGCTGGACTACCGGCGCACGCATGAACACCAAGGAGGCTCTAGAGGAGTACGTTCGCATCTCCGTTGACTTTATGTACTTTCTCCGAACCGGCCGGGCCCGGGCCCTCCTCGCCGAGCCCGTCACGCATGACGAGTACGATGAGTGGGTGAGCGAGGAGCGCAAACAAGAGTTTCCCAAGGGCATGGCGAGGCTGTGGCAGGTTCACGTTAGTCCAGCGATTGGCAAGTAATGACCTTTCCATCATTACTTTGACATGATGCCCGTCTCTAGAAGTAGCATACTTGCGACGGAGCTATGACCAGGCTGCATCTCCTTAACGCCTACACGATACCCTGATGAAGCTCAGATACAATAATTAAACACTAATCCATCTCTGCTTCTCGCCTTGTCATCGGTGCCAACTCCTGTCTATATATATGCCGCCGAAACATCACTCTCGGTGCTCGTCTTGCTGCCCTTAATGCGCTTTCGACGACTGCTCAGAAACAAATCCACCATGCGTTTGCTCCCCAGCTTCTGCGCCTCCCAATCAGTCTTGTCCTTTCCAGAGCCATTCGAGTTTAGACACTGCCAAGGACTCTCAAAGGTTTGCGCTGTATCATTATCGAGACCGTGCCTCTGGCAGTCGTCACTCGCCGTTCCAAACTGTCTCTTAAATGCTGCCGTAAGCCCTGGACTTGACTTGGCCGGCGACACAGTGCCTGCGCCCAAACGAGCCCGTGCCCGACGTCGCAGTAACTGCTCCTCGCGAGGTGAAGTGGTGTGCGCCATCGCATTCAGAGATCGCATCCTCGGCAACATCGTTGTCGTGCGTTCATTGCTTGCTGTGTTTCCCCCGAAACTTGGCAGCGACGGCACGGTTCGAAGATGACTCCTCGACGGGACCGGTGGCGGACTGTCGCCAATACCCTTGACTGCTCGGCCATGCGGTCCCGGAGGAGAGTTCTCGTCGGTCTCCCTAGACTGCCTGTGTCTGATCTCCTTGGACACTCTGGTCTTGTACCAGTCATCGCTCTGCCTGAGTGGCGTCAAGTCGCCCTTGCCAGCCGGAGTCACACCATCATGCTTGGGCACGTCGCCTGGAGACTCAATCTCCGCGTGTTCTCTGACATGGCCAATCAGAGGCAAGCTGGCTGATGTGTCGTACTTTGCATCTATATTCATTGTTGTTGAGGGAGTTTCCAGCTTCGACACGTTTGCGCTGAGCCATGTCTTCCACTCCATGGAACTTGTGGCGGAGATATCGCGGCTGTGGAAAAGCGCGTGCTTACATACTGCCTGGTTCGTGAGCATTGGAGCGTCGCCATGGCTATGGCTTGTTGGCGGCGATGTTGCAACAGCTTCTTCGCTGGTTCCAGTATCAACTTCGTCAGTAGTGCATGAGTAGGAGCTCTCTGCGTACATATTTTTGAGGTCCTGTTCCGAGCCGACTGTGCTCGGACGTCGAGAAGGCAGGCTCAGGGCAGATAGTGTGCTCAGGTATCTGGTGTCGAGGGCATGTGTGTAGCCCGACTCCTGCTGATCCTTCATCGTTTCCCGAAGGGTGCGACGATACGGGGTGTTAGTGCGGAAGAGGTGGCCTGTCGGACTACCAGAGAATACCGAGCTATGTGCCAAACTTTTGGGCGGTTCTACGCTCGACTGCATGGCTCGCTCGGGGGTCAAGCCGAGACCATCTCCCGCTGTTGGATCGGGATATGCCTTGTAGGATGCCATGCGAGTCAGGTTAGTTTTCTCGAACCCCGCTGAAGACGTCCCTGTTGGGTTTCCTGCCGCTTTTGGCGTATCTTGGAACACGTCGTCGTCGGGACGGATGTGCCTGATTGTTGGAGGAGACCAGCTATCGCCGTGCTCAACAGAACTGCTGCGGGGTGGTACGAAGCCGCACGTCTCGACTGCCTCGCCTGTGCCCACCCCGTCCTTCTGCCACTTCTCGCTAAGGCGCTGTAGCAGAGCAGAATAGACCTGTTCATTGGTTCCCACACCTTCCTGGTGTCCCGGCGTGAGCGCCGCAGGTCGAGCGCACTGCCTCGCGGATGACGGAACATGCATGCCGTTTTCTTTGATGACAGATAGACGTTGGCGTTCCCATTCCGCAGGTGATGCAGCGCTCGCCGCCGTATTGGTAGAATTGGTCCAACTTGTAACGCGAGACTTGTCATCAGATGTTGCCTGCTGCTCCAAGTAGACGCTTTCAAGACTGCCCTGGCGAGATCGCAGCTGCTGATTGCTGGGGACGGCGTGAAGCGAGGGGACATGAGACGGAACCATAGACATGGACGCCTCTTCTGGCTCTCCAGCGCTGACAATGATGTTGCAACTCTCAGTGTCGGATGCCAGCTGTTGAGGAGATTGAAGGCCAGATCCAATAGCATCGTCGGCGCTTCGCGGTTTGCCAAAGAGCCCCTTGAATTTGGTCCTTAAGGACCTGGAAACTTTTCGTGCCGTAAAGCGCAGTCCCGAGTGCTTCATTACATTGGTACTGCTACCAGAAAACGCCGATGACCGCCCGGCGCTGTTGTCACTGCTGTTACGAAGAGATCTGGGCATCCCGATTGATGTTTCACAACGACGATGCTTCGATCGAAAAAATAGAGATGGGTGCCTCCGTAAGCGTGTTCGAGTAACGTTTCGCCATGGAGTGTGTATCGGAATGACCGAGTTGGAGACTCCATGTTCCACCTGGCTGCTTGACCAATAATTCCCGGTGCTACGCAGAAAACTCATTGATTTAGGAGCTCGTAGGCTGTGTATTCGGAAGTGGCGTCCATGTGCGTTCTCCTTGTCTTCGGTGTCGTTGTGAGAAGCAGACAGCCAGGTATCGAGTCGATCATCCGGGTCGTCGCTGGTATCGAAATGCGATGTAGTCTGAAGAGCGGTAACCATGGATCTGGACTTGCGTAGCCTTCCATTCGAGTACAGTCCAGCTTCCAAGCCGCGTTGGGGTGACCAAACCGCAATGCCCTCGTCAGTGGTAGAACCGCCCGTGGTACGACTAGCGCCAGAGCTTCTTGCGTGATCTGCTAATGCGAGCGTAAAAGCCTGGTGGGATTTGCTTGACTTGGCCTCATTTCTAGCCGTTTGGTGCGGCAGAGACGCCTCATTCGCCCTCACGGCCAGGGGCTTCCGCGGCCGGGCGTTCGGCCCAGCGAACCTGATGCTCTGCTGCTTCTGCACAGTACAGCCGCTGGCAGAGCTTTGTGGTCTCGGTTTCGCAGTGGAATTACTCGCGAAATCTGTTCCGCAAGCGATAGCGTTACTCCGGTTCAGCACACAGCTGGCGATATCCTTCGACGCGGACGGCATGTCGAAACTGCTCTTGCCCTGTCGTGCCTGGGCCCGGTGGAAGGAAATCTTGGCCGCGACGAGAGCGTCCCGCTCCGCGTCTGAGGGCTCGATGACGCTGAGACTGGTGAAGATGGAGTTTGCCGACTTGCTTCGGACGAGGGGGCGTCGCTGCTTGCTGCGCGAGCTGTTGCGACGGAGCATTGCCAGACTAGCAGCAGAAGCGGGCTGTCAGCGCCAACTAGAAATCGTTGCTTATACTAGCGGAAACTTGGTAGAAAACGGGCATGTAAGTGGTGTTTGGATAGTAGTGAGGTTATTCGAGAGCGCGTGGCCGGAACTGCACAGGCGGAGGTGACAGGAGACGGGAGCAATAGGTGGCAGAGGTGCCAAGCCGAGTCTTCGGTCCTGCACAGGCAGGAAGGGATGGATGATGAAGCATAGCACTTGCCAATCAATGAACACGGACGAGGTCGCATCCGAACTGGCACAATGAGGAAGGAGCGGTAGCGGATTTTGGGTGGTCAATGAACCTGCCTCCCGAGTGGGCAAAGCTGCTGCACCCGTCAACGAGCACGGCCAGGGACACGGCAAAGCAATGTCTACACAAGGAAAATATATTGATACGGATGGCCGGATGAAACAGCCTGACAAATGCATCCTGTTACGGGGCACGCCCCATGCAGACGAATACACACAAAAAGAAAGTCCCGCAATCTACGCCGGTTACCAGACCCATCTGCTATCATTGTACCCAAAACAAGGCATCCTCAACGGCTTGGTCACGCCGCCTCGCCCGTGAGCCGTCCACGGCTGCGGCCACTTACATGGCGATCTCGGACATGAACTCCTGGACCTCCTCCTCGACGAGGTGCTGGATCTTCTTGGCGAACTTCTCGGCCTTGGTCAGGCCAGTGGAGGCGCCCTTGACGATCTTGCCCTTGACGATGATGATGTCCTCAATGGCGGCATCCTCGAGCTTCTCAAGCTTCTCCATGGTGGTCGCGGTGCGCTCGGCCTTGTAGCCTCCGGCGGAGACGATCTTGGAGAAGTTGTTGCAGCCACCGCCGTTCCAGGCAAGCTTGTTGGGGGTGTCGGCGGGGATGTCGCTCAGGACGCCCTCGGTGGAGATCTCGATGAGAGTCTCCTTGAGCTTCTTGGGCGTGATGGGGGCGACAGAGTACTCAGAGTCACCGGCAGGCTGGAGGGACAGGTAGTAGGCGAGGAGACCGCAGATGTGGGGCGAGGCCATGGAGGTACCCGAAATGGTGTTGACGGCGTACTTGGAGCCGATCCAGGTGGACTGGATGCTCAGGCCAGGGGCGAAGATGTCGGTGCACTTGCCGTAGTTGGAGAAGTAGGCGCGGCTGTCATCGAGAGCAGAGGCACCGACCGTCACGGGCTCGGTGGCGGCAGCGGGAGAGTAGTTGCAGGCATCGGCGTTGTCGTTGCCAGCGGCGACGGCGAAGTGAATACCAGACTTGACGGCGGCGTTGACGGCGGCATCCAGGGCCTGGGTCTTGCCACCACCCAGCGACATGTTGGCGACGGAGCCCTTGAAGCCCTTGCGCTTGCCGTCCTTGGCAGCCTTGACCTGGGCGAGGTGGCTCTGGGCGGCGTACTCAACGCCACGAACCACATCAGACATGCTGCCGGAGCCGTTGGAGCGAAGGACCTTGACGGCGTAGATGCTGGCCTTCTTGGCAACACCGTACTTCTTGCCGGCAATGGTACCGGAGCAGTGAGTGCCATGGCCGTTGCCGTCCTCGTCGGCATCACCGCTGGGAATGGTCTTACCCCACTTGGCGCGGCCCTCGAAGTCGACGTGCTCGGTGTTGCAGCCAGTGTCAATCACGTAGGCGTCAACGCCCTCGCCGCCCTCGGCAGCGTAGAGGTACTTGTTGAAGGTGCCAAAGTTGAGCGTCTTGCGGTGGGACACACGAGCCAGACCCCAGGGAGCCTGCTTCTCGGTCTCGCCATCGCAGGTATCCTCAGTCACGGCGTCCTCAGTGTTGAGGGGAAGCATGGTGTGGACAACGGTATCGCGCTCGATGTACTCGACCTGGAGTTATGTGTTAGCCGATGTTTCTTGCCACGGACACTCCTCGGCCGAGGTTGGACTTACATCGCGGCGGTTCCGGATGTGCTCGATGGCACTGTCAGAGAAGGTGCCGGCATAGCCACGGAAGGCAGCGTTGGCTCCATCGACACCAATCTTGTACTCGTGCTTCACAGTGGCGACAATGTCGTCAATGATGCCGCGCTTGCGGAGCTCGAGACGGCTCTCCTCATCCTCGTGGATGCTCTTCAGCCACGAGTGGTGGTCGGATGCCTTGGAGTCATCGACGTGATCCTTGAACTTGATGATGTAGGCATTAGGGATAACCTCGGCATGCGTGGATGAGAGGATAGGCGCCGACTTGTCGTGGATGGTGCCGATCTTGAACGAGGTGGCCTCGGCGACGGCGGCCACGGACAGGGCGATGGCGGCGGCCTTCATGGTGATGGCGTGATGGCAATCTGCCTCGTCGGTCTACCTGCGACACAAACGAAGGGGAGCCGAAAAACAAGGACGTAACAAGACGAACAGCTGCCGACGACCTCTAACACGATGGAAAGGGACGCTGGGAGATGGAGCACTTGGAAGGGGAGGATGCGGTTGATGTCGGAGGAGGAGGGAGGATGGCGGGAGGAGGGAGGATGACGAGGCGCTTTTGGGGACGGGGAGCTGATAAGCGGGCGGCCAGTGCTGCCTCGCCTCAGCCGATGGCGGGAGTGACGCATCCAGCACTGGGGAAGCATTGGACGGGGCAGCCGCCAGCGGATGCTATACCAAACACGGTTTAGCGCCGAGGCGGTCGTGCCGCACGCGCCCAACCCAGTGGATCCGACAGCGGGCCAGTGCAGGGCCTCGGGGCGCTGGATGGTTCCCACAGCGATGGCGATAAGCCCGAGCGGCGCTGGTCGATAACAGGATCTCGAGGTGAGGTGAGGATGGCATGGGAATGGATGGATAGGATGGACGGGGTTGTTGCGTCGCACCCGTGCGATGCACCACCTGCGGGATGCAGATCGGGTGCTGGCACGCGCCGAGCTCCCCGGCCGGCCGCGACTGGGCGACTGGGCGGCCCGGCGAGACGAGGCTGTTGGGGGGAGGCTTGGGGGCGTGGTCTGCATCAGCTGGTCCCTGGCATGAGACACGACAGGCCTGGCTGTGTACCTGTACCTGGGCCTGGACAGCGAGGTGGAAGCAAGCTCGGAGCCGACCTCGGTGGCTGCGTCCTCGGGCAAGAAGCCTCCCGCCGTCGTGCGACGCCTAAGCACGGCAGCGACTTTGCATTCCCGTGTAGCTACAGGACACCTTGGCTCGCGCCATGCATCAATCATCTGCTCCCGGGTCGATGAACCGTGGATGACGACAGCGCGGTCGACCAAGGCATCAGGCGGCGGTGCGTAAGCCGAGCTCGCCGCAAGGGTGCACCGCAGCGGAGCGCAGCAGGGTGCAGCGCCCGCAGACGAATGAGGCAGGCGGCGCAAGGTACGTACCTTGTTCGTGTCATTCAACAATGCGGGGGAATCTCTCCGCCCAGAGCTGCGCGCCGTTGGCGTCCGCCTGATCACTCATTCACTGTTAGTCCCTGGCACGTGCGGCATGCGAGCCGCCCGCATTCGGCGCCCTGTCTCGTGCGGCGCCGCCAGCTCCCTGATGTCGTGAGTCGTGTGCTTGAGTCTCAAGGCACGGCTCGCGGTGGCGAAATGGCAGCCGTCCCGGGCTCCATGCCTGGGGACGCTGTCGAGCCTGTCTTCCACGTCTGCAGGTACGGTAGCTTTGGACCATGACCCGTCTGTCGCCATGCTCTTGCGGGGGCACGTCATGGAGCCCTGGAACGGACGCTCGAACTCCAGTCTTGGCCGGGCAGGGCGGCCACCGCCGGGACCTCCATAGAGTCGTGGACAGAACGAGCAGCAATGCAGTCCCTGCATAAGCACTTGTCCATTCGGAGCTCCATGATGGAGCCAGCCTGTCTTGGAGAGGGGTTGTCTTACGAGTCAACACCGCCTTCAAAGCGAAGACCAATGCGCCACCCAACCCTCTTCATCAACTTACCCTAGACCTGAGAGCGCCTCACCGTGACACGTGCGATACAACCAGAAGAGCACCACTCGATGAGCCTGGGTAAAAGCAGAAATAAAGATTGTATACACTAAACCCCTGATCATCCTGTTTTGAGCAATCACGAGAGATCATGATGAGCCGGGCACCGGCTGGGGTGTAAGCCGTGCTCGTCTGGTTACCCCAACCAGCTCCAGCTCAGCGCCAGCGCCCGTGGCTCCCGCCTGGACCGTCGTGCGCTAGCTGCCAGCTCTGGCTGCGGGGCAGCACGGGAGCTCCGCCACGCGACGAGCCACGCTTCTCCAAGGCTGACGCACTCGGCACATCGCTGCAACAGGCTTCAACATTTGCATCCTCAGACGCGTCGCGCTGCAACACCTAGCAATCATTTTGTTCCTATTGCATTAAAACCACGACATTAGACGATACAAGCCTGCGAAAGGCGCGCTTGGAAGGCTTCACTGCCACCCGCGTCTGCAATTTCCCGGAACGGCCCACCGTCAGATCACCACCATCACGATCGAGTGCCCCGCGCCGCAGAAAGCACGACCGCGCGTCCAGCTAGATGCTGTCACCACTCGTACATGTCATAAGCGGTTGCATGGACCCTTGAAGGGCTCTGGGAGGAGGCTCTGGAACGAGCACGCGGCGGCGACAGCACCATGGCATCGATCCCTCGACGGTATCGGTCCTCGACCGCGACTTCAACCCAGGCTCCATCCCACTCGTTCGAAATACTCCGCAGCCTTCTCGACACCTTGACGAGCGACGCTGCGACACCGAGCGAAAACGGGTTTCCAGAAGTGAACAAAGCCGTCAAGTCCTTGCGACAGATCGCCCAGCATGTATCGGCTCCAGCCACGTCGGTCCACCAGGACGAGTTCCGGCACGCCCTTGGTTTCGAGTCCATCCTTGACCTGCTCCGGCACTTCTCCGGCTTCTACGACCCGCAAAAAAGGACCGAGGCCGAAATGCTCTTGTTGTTTAAGCTGCTGGGAGCTTTCTTAGGCGTCCTATCTGCTGCGATGCGTGGTCACGCGGGCAACCGCCGATACTTTCGATACCGGGTTGAAGGCGGCGGCTGGGAAGCTCTCGAACAGATCATTGCTAGTATTGGTCTCGGCGGCGCTGAACCGGACCCGTGGATTAGTTGTCACGTCTTTGGAAAGCTCCTGGCCTTCGCCCTGGACGATGACGGCCTCGATCTACTCTGTCAGTCCGTCGCCACGACCCTCCGACCAGACTCCACGGACGGCGCGAGCCACAGCGACGAGCCGGTGAGACAGGACGAAGAGGAGCAGTGGGATCTTGTCCTCGCGCGTTCCGTCCGGAATATCGGACCCAGCGTTCGCGAAGTCGTCAACGGCAAGACGGTCATCAGGTTTCCTGAAATCCTCAGAGCAGTTATCAGCTTCTGGACCACGATCCCGCGACCCGAAGCTTCAGCAGCGAACCCGAGCTCCGTGCTCGTGCTCGAGACCATCCTTTGCGCCATCAAGGTTTCGATATACAACCGCGCAGCCGTTCATTCCACCGGTGTTCTCTCCCAGTTTCTGCGTGTCGCTTTTGGGCAGGGCTGGCTGGAAGAAGCCGAGCGGGAGCGGCTCCTGATGATATGTCGGCTACTCATGTTTCTGGGCGTCAACGAACCGGCGGACACGCAGTTTCTCCTCTCCGCGCCAGGATCTAAAGCTGCCGACTTTTGCTTGGAGATGATGTCCGCTTATGCTGGTCCCCCATTCTTCCAATTCGACCTTTCTCTCCATGGGTATTCGTCTCTCGAACTACCCAGTCTTGGCCGCTCGTTTCCTCCTCAATCATCCGCCGGCTACACTTTCACGGCCTGGATTCGTGTCGAGACCTTCGACCCGACCACTCACACCACAGTCTTTGGAGTCTTTGACGCCTCCCAGACATGTTTCGTGCTCATGTATCTGGAGAGGGACACGCGCAACTTTATCCTTCAGACGTCTGTCTTTTCCAACAAGCCCAGTGTGAGGTTCAAGTCTGTGGTCTTCCGTGAGAAAAAGTGGTACCACATCGCCATCGCCCATCGGAGACCCAAGACCATGACAGGGAGCAAGGCGTCGCTTTATGTCAATGGCGAGTTCGCCGAGCAGGTCCGCTGCAGCTACCCCCACACGCCTCCGCTGTCGAACGGCAGTAACGAAAGCTTTGCGTCGTTCAATTCGGGCCAGAATCGGACGAATCCAGTCCAAGCGTTCCTCGGTACGCCTCGTGAGCTGTCTGGACAGACGGGAGCTGGTGTCGTGTTGTCGAGATGGTCACTCGCGTCAGCCCATCTCTTCGAGGACATCCTGAGTGACGACTATCTGGCAGTGCACTACGGCCTTGGCCCCCGGTATCAAGGCAACTTTCAGGACAGCCTTGGCGGCTTCCAGACCTATCAGGCATCTGCGACGCTGGGCCTTCGCAACGAGATCACGCATCCCGGGAAGGACGAAAACTCGGATATTTTGCGAGCTGTCCGTGAAAAGGCCAGCTTGCTGCTCCCGGAATCCAAAATCCTGCTCAGCATCCTGCCATCAGCTACATTTCCCGAGAACGTGCAGTTTCAAGACACCGGCCTCCTCCGATCACTGCCGCGACTGTCCACCCGCAATCTCTTCCGCATGTCCAACCAGGAGGGATCTCCGCTGGCTGTCAACTGCGCCGTCCCTAGCTTGTCAGACGCACTATTTAGAACGCATGGAATCGCGTCTTTCCGCGGAAACCCGCTCGTGGCCGTGCCGTCGCACCTAGACGAAAATCTTTGGCGTCTGGCTGGCTTTACGCCGCTCGCGCTGAAGCTTTTAGAAAGGGCCACAACCGTGGAGGACACTGTGCGGGCCCTTGAGATAATGTTTCACTGCATTCGTAAGAGCTGGCGCAACAGCGAGGCAATGGAGAGAGACCATGGATATGGCATCTTGGGCGTCCTGTTGCGCTCCAAGATCGGCTACAACAACGGTCCAATGGTCGATACCCCATTCCCGCGTCTTCTGATTTCCAATGAAGATCGGGATAGCTTGGCATTTCGAGCCCTGAGCCTTATTTTGGACTTTGTCGGTTACAACCATGCCGAGCCGATCGAGTCCTTCATCGTGAACCCCCTGGCCTATCGCATACTCCTCATTGACCTAGACATTTGGCGGCGGTCGGCGCCGCGTATCCAGGAACTGTACTATAAGCAGTTTATGACTTTTGCTGTCAATAGCAAGCACCACGAGTTTAACAGCAGGAGACTGATTCGGATGCGTGAGTTTGAGACTACTCGCGGGGTATTCGGCTGGCTAATCGTCGCAGGAATTGTGAAGAGACTCTTAGACGCCATGAAGGGTGAAGGCGTTTCGGAAGACGTCATTGACCACTTCATGAATGCATTCCAAGCCCTTGTCAAGTCAAATCTCAGCCAAGAAGTTATGAGGTCTCTGTCGCTGTACATTACCTACGCCTTTCATACGCCGGCCACGTCGATATCACGCACACCGCGGCCTTTATCCGCGATCTCGCGATCCAGCACACCCGGCCCGATGAAGCGGTTGGCTGGAGATGGCAGCCGGACTCAAAGCCCTTCCATGGGTTATCCGTTTCTGACCAAGAAGCAGCTCGGTATCCGCGTCCTGATAATGTATTCGCACATTCTTTGCGAGAAGGGGAACCTGAACAACATCAAAAAGTTTGCCCGAACAGTGACGAACAAGGTACGTTTACCGAAAAAACCTCATCAAATGCTATCTAACTAACTGGGATAGTGGCTCTTATACCTTCTTGCCGACGAGGATCCTTGCATCGTTGTGCACGGATGCAAAATCCTTGCGAGGTTGCTTGTGGCCCACGGATCTTCCTATACTTCCAAGTTCGCTGGCAAGAGCGGCGGCTTTACAATTATGGCGAGCAGATTGAAGCGTTTCTGGGACATTCCGACATTATGGCCAATATGCTTCAGCATCTTGTTTGGCCTCGACGTCGCCGACTTCAACTTCAACCGAACCTTCAACGTGGCAAACATGCTGGAAGTTTTCGGCAAGCGCAAGGTGGCTTACCCGGAGTCTTCCATCATTATTACCTCTATGCTCCAACATGGCTTAAAGGAAGTGATGAAGCATCAAGAGGACCCCGAATCGCCCGCGAAAGCTGCACCATCGGCTGCGCTTGCGCGAGTGTCCCTGTCAGACCCCAAACGCCAAGCCCGGTCCATGGAGCTCGGCATGGCCTTGGAAACACGATGTAAGTGCCTCTTCAGTATCTTGAGATCCAAATCCGCCCCTGATTATCGCTCTGACGAGGCGCAGCAATCTTCTCTGGAGATCGTGAGCGGGTGGCCGGCAATGCAGATGTGCTGCAAACCACATTGGATTTTCTGAAGCAGCTACAAGGTCGCTCAAACGAATTTCGAGACTTCGCCCTCACGTCTGAGTGGGTGCGACTGCTCCTTTCGGCCTTGTACCCCGTCGTCGTCAGCACGGATTCTGTCACGCCTGATGTTGAGCTCAACTCTCGAGACTCTGCTCTGACGTTTGAGGGTGGCGATGTTATAATAAGGCCGATCGGTGGAGGGCTAGCGCCCGCGCCAATAGTGCGAACGAGCTGCGTTGACGCCGTGCCGTCGCCTCAGTCGACTCCACCAAAAGGCACGCCCCTGAGACGAGCGTCGTCCTTTGTGCTACTCACCGCACAGCGAGAGACCCATGCCCCGAACTCAAGTACTGTCACGCCTCAGCAAAGGAACACGGGCCATGACGGAGGCATAGGCATTGCCGACGCTGTACTGGATCTTGTGCTTGGCGTATTCCTCGATCAGGTCCTTTCGCGGAAGGACTTTTCTGGATTCGGGCTATTTACAAAGGTGCCCCCTGGGTTCCAGGAACACCAGGCCTACTTCGAGTCATACATACTCAAACGTGTCGTTGCAAACATCTCGGATCAGATCCACGCGAACCAGCGGGCCATCTGCGAACCGCGGATTCTGACCAATATCTCGCGGTTGTGCCTACACCTGGCGGAGGCGATCTTCGAAGGCTGGTTTATCGATGGCGCTGAGGCCATGATTGACTTTGGCGGGATGCTCCTGGAGTTTCTGCAGCGACCAGACATTGCACGACTCAAGAGCGTACGACTCTGCAGCCAGGCCCTCAACACAATTCGCAGCTGCCTCCTGAGGATCATCTTGCTTGGACTGTCGGACTTGGACAACACCAAAGTCACGGAAAAGGAAGCGAAAGACTTTATGAACAAACTGGCCTATTGGCAGATGTCCATCCTCGAGTCCTTTTCTGGGGACGATGAATACCTCAAGCTGTTTTGGTACCAACTGTACACGAAGCTCATTGGCGACAAACCATCCATCCGAATGGCCGCGGCCAACTTCTTGCGAGTCATCCTGGTGCAAAAGCCAGACGAATCCGTCACCATGATCCGCTCATGCATGACGCCCGACCAGCGCCAGCTGTCTCGCGAGTTTCAAAAGCTCACGGAGGTAGACGACGAAAGCTTCATTGCGTGGGTGGACCAGCACCGGCCATCTCTCGACGGCCTGTTCTTTGGGAGCATGGCCAAGACATGGGAAGATTTTGTCAGTGCCGAGAACCAGAGAACGTTTGACACTGCCAAGGGCCGTTTGTCCAAGCGGAAAGATAAGCTCAGGGCATGGCACGCCGAGTCTGTGAGCGCCGACAAGACGCTGCTCAATCATGAGGTCGGTAACAGCGCCTGGATGAAGAGCATTTACAATTCGGAGTATTTCAAGTACCAGCGGCTCCTGCAGGACCAGCAAGATGACTCGGCGTTTCTCATGGCGCTGTATCGCAGAATGGAACGCGATCTACGACGACCCGGTGCCGTGTTTAACGAGCCGGCACCACTCAAGTGGAAGCTGGATCGGACAGAGGGCCGCAACCGAATGCGGCTGCGGCTCCTGCCAGATGCCTCCGCTGCCGACGAAAAGTTCCAGCCGAAGAAGAAGGGAGGCGGTGACACGACTCCTCTGCGTGTCAACACCGTGGCGAATACACCGCCCGCAACCATCACGCCGACCCCTGCAAGTACCCTGGATGGTGCAAGTGACCGGACTAGTACAAACTCTGAAGCTATCGCGCAACCAGATCAGTCAGACTCGGGCGTAGCACCAGAGGATGACTTCGAGCTGGTCGATGACCCCAACGAAGCCAACGAGGGCGATGAGAATTTTGAAGACAAGAACCGCAAGGTCATGCGGCGGTTACAGCCATACGACCAGGTACAGGCCGCCTACAACATGTCTCGCATCACAGGCCTAGAGGCGTGCGAAGGCCTTCTCATAGTGGGGAAAGATGCCCTCTACATGATGGACAATGTGTTCCAGTGCAGCAATGGGGACATTGTCAATGTGTGGCAGGCGCCGTCAGAGGAGCGCGATCCGTTCACCATGGTCGTAACTGGCTCGAAGACGCTGGAGAAGCAGCAGAACTCCAGGGAGCAAGAGTCGCGCCACTGGCGGTGGCAGGACGTTATCAGCGTCTCCAAACGCAGATTCTTGTTCCGAGATGTGGCGATCGAGATGTTCTTCACCGACGGACGGAGCTACCTCTTGACAACCATCAATCCCACACTACGGGACGAGCTGTTCGTCAAGCTGTTCAATAAGGCGCCACACACCAGCGCCATAAACTCGCTGCCCAATCCAGAGGATGCCTGGCGCCTCGAGGCGCTCAAGACATCTGACGAGTCACCGCAAGGGTTTGGAGCTGGTCTTGGCTCAAGATTGGGAACTCTGTTCAATTCATCGCCCTTCAGCCCGATCTTGAAGCGGTGGCAAAGAGGCGAAGTGTCCAACTTTCACTATCTCATGATGGTGAATACCATGGCCGGCAGGACCTTTAACGACCTCACACAGTATCCCGTGTTCCCCTGGATCCTTGCGGACTACACGAGCGATGATCTCGACTTGGAAGATCCTGCAACTTTCCGAGACTTGTCGAAGCCCATGGGTGCGCAGACGCAAGGCCGCATCCCCGGCTTCGTGGAGACGTACAACGCGCTGCGAGAGATTGGCCAGACTCCATTCCACTACGGTACTCACTACTCGTCGGCCATGATCGTGTCATCGTACCTGATCCGCCTGCCACCCTTCGTTCAGTCATACCTACTGGTGCAAGGGGAGAGCTTTGACCATGCCGATCGCCTCTTCCAGTCCATCGGAGACGCTTGGCTGTCGGCATCGTCCCGAAACAAGACCGACGTGCGAGAGCTGATCCCCGAGTTCTTCTGCCTGCCCGAGTTCCTCACAAACATCAACGGATATGACTTTGGGCGCCGGCAAAGCAACGGAGCCAAGGTGGACAACGTTGTCTTACCCCCGTGGGCCAAGGGCGACCCCAAAATCTTCATCGCCAAGCACCGCGAGGCGCTGGAGAGCCCGTACGTGAGCGAGAACCTGCATCACTGGATTGACCTAGTCTTTGGCTACAAGCAACGTGGCGAGGAAGCAGTCGAGAACCTCAACGTCTTCCATCACCTGTCATATGCCGGTGCGAGCGACCTGGATCGCATCACCGATGCCAACGAGAGAGCAATCACGGCCGGCGTGATACACAATTTTGGACAGACCCCTCACCAAGTGTTTAGCAAACCCCACCCTCCGCGTGAACATGTGCAGTGCCCTGTTCGGAGGCTTGATACAGGCGTCTTTTCGCTCAGCTGTCTGCCTAATCCGCTGTTGGGTGAGTCCAGTCCTTCCGTACCATTCGACGGGTGCTGACCAGATACAGAGAGCCATGATAGGGTCGAATCACTGGTCTATGCGCCAAAACTGGACAGATTGCTCTGTGCATCTCCTTTGCGACTAAACTTGGCACCGTACGACAAGTTTTTGGAGTGGGGATACGCCGACAGCAGCATCCGGTTCTTCTTCAGCGACAACCGCAAGGTACAACAGTTGAACTCTGCCCTGAAGATTGTCAAGCTGACTGACGAGCGCAAGCCTGCCGGACTTTTTGAGAACCTGCACACGGGCCAGATCTCGTGCGCGTGCTTTGCAGATTCCAAAACGCTCATCACGGCAGGTGAGGATTGCGTTGTGTCAGTGTTCACCGTGACCACGTCACCGGGAAAGCCGGTAGAACTGGTGCCACGGTCGAGCGTCTTCGGCCACAAGACTCCAGTGACAACGATTGCAGTGAGCAAGGCGCTCAGTACGTTTGTTACGGTATCGTCGGATGGTCAGGCCTTTCTGTGGGATTTGAACCAGCTGTCCTTCATTCGCAAGCTCCCGCTTGTCCGTCCGGTGGAGTGTGCGCGCATCAACGACGTCACCGGGGAGATCCTCCTTGGGTCCGGCCCCAACGTCCTGCTGTACACACTCAACGGCAGCCTCATTCTGGACCAAAATGTTTGCATGGAGCAAGAGGATGCAGTCCTCTCTTGTGCCTTCTACGAAGGCGCAGGCAACGAGTGGTTGGAGAACCATCTCATCTTCACGGGGCACACCAAGGGCCGTATCAACGTTTGGCGGAAGAGTGTCATTGGCGGCAAGTGGACTTTGGAGCCGCTGAGGCGGCTGGACCACGTCGACTACAAGAACGAGAAAGGAGACAACACTGAGGCGGGCATCACCTGCATCACGCCAATGCCGACGTGTCTGTACTCCGGGGACGAGGACGGACGAGTGGTGAGTTTTAGATCCTCCTTTTGCTGGACGCCACTAATGACCTTGCAGTACGAATGGAACTTTGGTCGAGGCGACAGGTAGAGCCTGCGCCGCCATCGCCGGGTACGCGTGAGCAGCAGCGGGGAAGGAATGACATCCTGAACAGCGAGGCGGCAGGGCGCCACAGCGATGATGTCGGGAATACATCGGGTTGAACGCAATAGAATTCTTCCACACATGGGCGAGAGGCTCATGTCCAGACGAGTGATGACAAAAAGTATAGCGTTGACTGCTCTGTTCGGACGTCATGTCCACGGTCTTCGATAGCCTCCGTTTTGAAAACGCCATTGTTTATACACGTGGGCCTCGCCCAGACGGCACCTCTGTCTCAAGCCGTCGTCTGTCTTCCCTGATCACGCTGTTCAATCATCGTAGCCGGTCAATTGTTTCCGCGGGCCGTTGGGAACTGTCGTCTGTCAGTACGTTGATGTATCGATTGCGAAACCGTACCACATGGCGCGGCGAATGTCGGCGAAGGGCGCATACCGGGATACGTCACAGGGACAGGCGCGGGGTCGACGTCGCCAAAGTAGTGCCTGATCGGGGGCACAATGGGCATGAGCGCAGGGCCGGCGGCGCCCACGATGACGGACCAGAAGAGGGCGGGACGCTCGCGGGCGGCCCAGCGGCAGTACCGCAGGGGGGTGGACCAGAAGACCGGCGCGGCAGACATTGTGCCTATCCTGGGTCAGCATTCATCAATCCATGGGAGGCTGGTGGGCTGGAGAGGTTGACGGCGGGCGGCTTACGCGACTGGGTGTAGCGACGGGAGTTGAGGATCGTGGGATACAATGTCGAAGAGCTCCAAGCGGCCAATTGAAGTTGCGGCATTGCAGCGCGGGAAAATGCCGGTTGAATGCCCGCATAGTGGACAGCCACACTAAGCGGGCGTGGAGTATGTGGCGGTGCAGCCGCGCCACACCTTGTACATCCCCTTTGCCCCCCCAAAAGCCCCCACAAGCTGCTGCACGGTCCGGCCAAGGCTACGTATCCAGAAGCTCCAAGGAGCTTGCGACACGCACGTCTCCAGGAACCACTAACATCCACCACTTCCCACCACATCACCTTTCGACCACAGGGCAGCGAATCTGCACAGCATGCGGTCGATTCTTGGCGTGGTCGTGTGCGCCTTTGCTGCGGCAGTCTCTGCCGTCAGCACGACGGGCAACAGGTTGCTTGTTGTGCTGGACGACGCCGCGGAGAAGGATGCGTACTCTCAGTTCTTCGGGGACCTGACAGGTGAGGATCCTAGAGCCGGGTTGCAATTGGGCTACGCTGACGACTCGGGAAGCTCGTGGATATGAAATCAAGTACGAGACGCCGAGGAGTGAGGAATTGAAGCTGTTCCAGCTTGGAGAGCGGGCGTATGACCACCTCGTCTTCCTCCCCTCCAAGGTCAAAGGTAGGCGAGGTCACATCCCACGAGAGCCGCCTCATGAAGCTAATGGCACCAGGGCTGGGACCCAACTTGACGCCCAACCTACTCGTCGACTTTGTCAACGCCAAGGGCAACGTCCTCGTCGCGCTCTCTTCCACAACCCCCGCATCAACCTCCCTCGTCTCCCTCCTCTCGGAGCTCGACATTACTCTCCCGGCCGAGCGCACCGGTACCGTCGTTGACCACTTCAACTACGACACCGTGTCTGCCCCCGAGACGCACGACACTCTTGTCCTTGACGCTCCCACCAGTGTGCGCCCGGGCTTGAAGCCCTACTTCGATGTCGGTGGCGTCCTCGCGCTGCCGCATACGGCCGGCCACATCCTCGGACAGAGCCACCTGCTGGCGCCTGTACTGCGCGCCCCGTCCACCGCCTACAGCTACAACCCCAAGGAGCAGGCCGAGACGGTCGACCCGGATGACCTGTTCGCCGCGGGGCAGCAGCTTGCCCTCGTGTCGACGATGCAGGCCCGCAACTCGGCGCGCTTGACGGTCTTGGGATCGGCGGAGATGCTTCAGGACAAGTGGTTCGACGCCAAGGTTGCGCGCGGCGACGACAAGAAGGTCAAGACTGAGAACCGCGAGTTCTCGAAGCGGGTGTCTGGATGGACTTTCCAGGAGATTGGTGTGCTCCGTGTCAACGAGATTGAGCACCGCCTTGTGGGCTCCAACGAGACGAACCCGGAGATCTATCGCATCAAGACCGATGTGGTAAGTAGGATTGCGTGTTCCAGTACTGCGGACGCTAACACCAGGCAGTCATACCGCATCTCCGTCTCGGAGCACGTTTGGGACAAGTGGGTTCCGTTTGTCGTGCCCGAGGGCGACAACCTGCAGCTCGAGTTCTCCATGCTCTCGCCATTCCACCGACTCAACCTGAAGCCCGCGGCGGCAGGCGACTCGGCCACTGCTTTCTCGCGCACCTTTACGCTGCCCGATCAGCACGGCATCTTCAATTTCAAGGTCAACTACAAGCGGCCATTCCTGACGTACGTGGAGGAGAAGCGCACCGTGAGCGTGCGCCACATTGCGCACGACGAGTGGCCGCGCAGCTACAGCATCTCCGCGGCGTGGCCGTGGCTGTCGGGCATCGGGGCGACGGTGACGGGCTTTGTGGGCTTCGCGGCGGTGTGGATGTACAGCAAGCCGGCAGACAAGAAGCGGGCTTGAAGGGGCTGGGCTGTGTACGATATAACATGGCGAAATGATTTTGCGTTTTGTAGAACATGGGCACGGCAAGGTTGAAATAGACTGTCTGCGATGTGGCTGTGTTTCCTTGGATGTTGCGTGAGTGCGGAATGGGAATGTGTCTGAGCAGGACGCTCTGCGCGAGATGGGCGTGGGAAGACGTCTCTCGCATATGAAGGAGAAAATGAACGCGAACGTTACGGAATGAGCTTCAATGCAAAAGCACTTGAGTTGAGCACGCAGTCAAGCAGTGAGTGGGTGAACAAACGGGTGAGGTACGCCAGGCACCCACCAAAACACCATGGCCAGCCGGCTGCGTTGGGTCGTGATGTGAACGCGTCTCCCGTTGCACGTGGCTTCAACAGGGCACTCACAGCAGACGCGCTTCATAGTGACAAACATGCATGATTCCAAACGTCAAACTAGCTAGGTATGTATGTACAGTACATCGCCGTGCAGTGCAGGCAGGGAATGAAGCAAACAAATGGGCCCTCAGATTAGCTCTCTCGTGTTCTCACTGACAACTCGCGCGCGTGTCAGCACGCTGCTGTCTGCAAATTTGGCTTTTTGGACGCTTGGTCATCACAGGGCATCGATGCTGCTTCATTCTTTCATGTGCCCACCCCCAGCCCAGCCCGACCCAACTCAAAGGGCTGCCCGTCTCTCAAGCCCTCCCCACTTCAACTCGCCCCGACATCACCCTGCGCCATCGCCCTTCTGTGTGTGTGTCTTCGTCTGTGTGTGCTCGCGTCCCAAGCTGCGGGCGGTCTGTCTGTGTGTTGTGGTGTGTGTGCAAAGGGGGAAGACGACTCAGCCTGCTCTGATTGAAAACTATATCGGTGATAAACCATCATGTGATTCCCCCTGCTCCTCGCCGAGAGGCGGAGGGAGGGAAGGGGGACAGAGTCTGGATGGTGTGAAGGGTATCATCACGGCGGCTACAGTGAGTGTCGCCCACTTGCGCGACAGGCCAGCTCGGTTCATGCTGAACAGAACCAAAGCAATTACGCAGAATGGATGAATGACAACGAGCATACATTACCAGACTAATGACATGAAGGGCAAGGCAAGACAGGACAACACAGGTAAGAAGAAGATGAAGAAGACTAGAATACAGGATGCAGCACACAGCAAGAAGAGGACAGTACAGGAGGGGGGAAGGACAAAAGGAAAAAAAATGAAGGGGAAGCAAAAGGCTTTTGGTATGCCAGCTCAGATCTCTGTTCTTTTTTTGCGAAATGACTTCACGAACCCGCGTTACCGGTTCCCCAAGGTTCCCAGAGGGAACGCCTGGTTTCCCTGTTTGCTTGGTGGTCAGTCGATCACACTACAAGCCTCTGGCCCGATCTTTGTGTGTCGCGTGCATGATTCTCATCATAGCTGGCAGCCCTTGCGGGACAGGCGCACCACGTCCTTGACGATGGTGGCCTTTAGTGAGTGCACAGGGAAAGGACAGTAAACGCCGAGGCGAAGACCGTCGCATGACCCTTGCTGCTCACTTTTGTGTGTGTGTGTGTGTGTGTGTGTGTGTGCGTGTGTGTGTGCGTGTGCGTGCGTGCGTGTGTGTGTGTGTGTGTGTGTGTNGTGTGTGTGTGTGTGTGTGTGTGTGTGTGTGTGTGTGTGTGTGTGCGCGAGTGTGTGTTCGGAACCGAAGTTCCTGGGGAAACCGCCCAGCCGCCCACTTGTCCCCGTTGTAGCCTCCCACCATCCACTGACACGATGTCGGTCGGTCGCAGAGTTCGGTGGTCGTCGAGTTCGGTTGTCGTCGCATTCGGTTGTCGTCGAGGTCGGTCGAGCGTTGTCGTCGAAGGTTGTCGTCGAGTTCGGCGGGCCATCCAGTTGGAGAGGATGATGTGTGTGTGTGTGGGAGGGAAAAGAGGTGTGAGTTTGAGGGGGCAGGCCGGGTTTATATAGAAGTTCTGGGTGCGCCGCAATCACTCGCCAGCTGGCAGGCCCAGGCTGAACAGACCTGGCGCACCTGGCGCATCGGGCTCACTCGCTTGAGTGATTCATTGACTGCGAGCTCATGAACCAATGAGCAGGCGCCGTTGCCGGGCCAGTACCTGTTCACTCGAACGGGCAGCCCGCGCAGCCGTGATCGACCAATGAGAAAAATGGGCGCCCAGGCGACGAGCCAGGAAGTGGATCCGGCGTGCGTGCAATTCGTCTGTTCAGTGATTGAATTGGAAGCCGGAGGAAGCATTGAGACCTTTGCGCTGCTACGGGGAGGAAATGTGATTTCGCGGTGGGTGGTGATGGGAGCTTGGAGTTGCGGCAACTTTTGGGCGAGGCTGACGGAGCTTGGAGGTCTGGCGTGTGGGGCGTCCAACCAGCGTCTGGCCCACCCCAACCTCCGGGCAAGGCTGCAAACTCTGGGTCAACGTCTGTCGTCCGAGCTGTCGCCATTTGCCTTGGGTATCCTCTCACGACACGCATCATCCTCTGGCACCGGGCGCCCGCTCACACTGCAAAATGGTTTGTATACCCGTGGAAGCAGCGTGGTAACAGAGACTGACACTTTGCAGGCGCGCAACTCCGAAAAGGCCCAGTCCATGCTCTTTCGCTTCCGCGAAGCGCAAGCAGCAGACCTGGGCATCATCGACGCCGGCCGCACGCGCCGTCCCAAGCGCATCACCGAGGTCGATTCGATCCCCTCGTGCGAGAAGTGGCGCGGGCAGGTGCTGCGCGAGATCTCGCGCAAGGTGTCGCGCATCCAGGAGCCCGTCCTCAGCGACTACCAGATCCGCGACCTCAACGATGAGATCAACAAGCTCATGCGCGAGAAGCACATGTGGGAGGTGCAGATACGCAACCTAGGCGGTCCAAACTACATGCGCGGCGGCGGACGCATCTACGACGAGCAAGGGCGCGAGATACCCGGCGGCGGCAAGGGCTACCGCTACTTTGGCCGCGCCAAGGAGCTGCCCGGCGTCAAGGAGCTGTTTGAGGCGGCGCAGAGCCGGGGCAAGGAGGACAAGCCGCTCGAGGAGAGCAAGGACCTGAGACGCAACGTCGATGCCGCCTACTACGGCTACGCCCCCGGCGAGGAGACGGACGAGCTGCTACGCTACGAGGCCGGCAAGGAACGCGAGGCCGCCGCCAACCTCATCAAGAACGGGCTTGGCGAGCCACCCGACGGCTGGACCTCTCTGCCCGGCGACACAGACGGCGAGACATGGTTGCTGCCAACCATGGAGGAGGTACAGGAGGAACTTCTGGAACGGCGGCGGCAGAAGCTGCTGCGGCAGTTGTGAAGCAAAATTCTGAAGTGTTCCCGGCATTCTCACCTACCGAGATGGAACTGCGTCTGCATGTGCGGTAGCCGATGGCCGCATGGGCGAGATGGACGGGCGCAGACGGCGGGCAGACACGACCAAGGGGGGCGGCCCAGCAACCGCTTCGAGCGCAACGCGCTTCTGCGCACCCACCGAAACAGGCTACACACCGCCCTGCCAGTCTGCAAAACGCCAGAAGAGATGCCCCCGCAAGCGAAGGTGGCGTGATCCGCGCAGCTTCCCGCCAGCTGTGGGGCACATTTACTCTGGTGATCCTGCCGCCTGGCGCACGAGCCACCTGCTCGCATTTCGCGTGGCCCCCGCCCCCCGCGCCGGCTGCGAGGCTCCCTGGGCTCGTTTGGTTCGCACCAAGAGCGTGCCCAAGCATTAGTGCATTTGAGGGAAGGTGGACAGCCAGGCACGCCTTTGGGGAGAAGCTCGGTTAAGATGTTGGAAGGCGTTGGGCTTGCTTGGGTTCTTTTTTTCAGCGTTTACGGATCGTTTTGGCGTTTGAGGCTTCAGATATGGTGATTGCAATTGAATCAAGCTGCAACAGGAGTTGATGCCAGCCATGAGCCGCGGTGATTGTTTCTTGCCGGACTCTCGTAGCCCTGAGTCCAGCCAGGCGGCCATATCTCAATGAAGTTTGGAGGCCCGAATTCCGTGGACTTCCGCCACTTTGTGGCTGTGGAGCTACGCGACTCAGAAGCATTTGCGACGTCATGAGCGCTTCAATGGCTCTATTCTCGTCTCCCTCCGACGGTTGCAACCGAGGGGCCGCCCCATCTGATCCCTCATATTCAAGCTTCTTTCCTGGAACCACCACTGCTGCCGTCAAGTACGGCCACATCCCCATAATTAGTCATTGAATGCAGTAGTGCTAACTCAGGTTCAGCCGACGAGACGTGTGGATCGTAGCTACATGACTTTGGTAGACGTAGGCGTCGTAACCTTGTCCGGCCCGGCCCGCCGTTACGATGCTACCCAACGACTGCCCAATGCCAGACTACCTCTCCTGTGCCCGGGGACCCCTTGTCTTGGCATAATGCGCGGTGAAATTCCTGTGAAACGCATTTTCTATGTGCGCCAGGGGCGGCGTGCCGCCTATCGGGCGGTTTGCCTGTCAAGAGCCATGGATGGCGGCGCATCTCGACGATGGACACTGAGTCTGCGAAACCGCTTTCCCGCTTTATAAGAGTCGACAAGTCGTATTTGACATATAGGAGAGTCGGATTCAAGGCCGAGATTCCCATCTATGCTGGACAGTACTCCTATCGATTAGGCAGCCCTTGGTATTGACGATGTTGGTCTGAGCGTACGCACATGCACTAAGACGCCTCGATTCCAGACCCTTTGCGCCACCCGAGGATAGGAAATCTCTGCAAGGGCAGTCAAGAGAGACTGTGAGCCAACCTGTCACATTCGAAGTCTTCGTAATGGCCCAGGGTTCGCTCCCCTTGATCGAGACGACGACGCCTACCGTTTCCAAGATGAATGCTGCTTCAGCAAAGAGGAATGGGGTCTGTCAACCCCGGGCTTGTCTTCAGATTGGACAGGACGAAGATGGAGCCCCCGATCCATCTCCAACCATACCACGACATATCCAAGGTATCTCCCTGAAGAGTGTAGGCTGCACGCCAATCGCTCGCTCCGTGGTGGCCTTCCTCACACATTTTGCCCTCATCGACCCCCTGGACCCTGGATCCTTTGAGCGTATGCCGTCTCGAATAAGCGCTGGGACCGATCCGCTTGGGACGGAGATGGTCGCTCGTAACCCTGCCCTACCCGGCTGCATCGCCGTAGAGGGCGTCATACCCGTCATCACCGAGTACGTCAACGAGACGGCTCGTCAGTTGGCTTACGCTCCAACTACGATTCACAACGCCATGCATCTGTACCCTACAACACGCAATCACCGAGATACGCTGACGCCTGACGCAACGTCTACGCCCGGAAATGGTACCGCGGGGGACGCGGATGGGCCTTGGATACCACAGAGCCCTGCGGCGTGGGTGGGCAGGACGGCGAGAAGATCTGGACTTGCAAGCGACTTGAGGCAGGACTGCGTTTTGGCCTCTCGGGCGGCAGCTTTCCCGCACCCGGCGCAGATATACAGTTGGGCGTGCAGATGCATACTACTGGCGTTTGACTTCAGCAAAGCCGTTGGCAACGACAACAGCGAGAAAACGGGAACCGACCGCCCCGTCATATCGCCATCGATACTCGCCAAGAGCAGCGAGTACGCCCTCACCATCGCGCTGTTCGCGGCATTGTGGTTTCACTACGCGGACCGGCCTTCCTCGGAGCCCATCACGGCAGCCTGGTGCTCGTGGCACAACGACCGCGTCCCCGGCGCGAGGGAGCCGCCCATCCCGCTGCCCCCCTGGGTAGGAGCCAGGCGCCCGCTCTACGTCGCCAACACCAAGCTCGGCGTCGCCGCCACCGTGGCCACCTTTGCGACCCGCGCCCTCAAGAACCTCAAGCCCACGGGCTACCGGGCCAGCTTCGCCGAGTTCTACTCGGTCAACGCCCTGCGATCCGGCGTCGCCTTCGTGACGCACGACGGGGGCGTCGTGACGGACATTGTCGTCGTCCTGCAGACGGCCGCGCAGGTCGCAAACATGGTGTACGACGCCGAGACGGGGGACCAGCGCGGCTGCAGCATATTCACCGACGGCGAGCGCGGCAAGGCCCTGGCGGCGCGGTTCCTGGCCGCCGCGCGCTGGCACGTCCTCTGCGCGCCGACGGCCACCGGCTTGGCCATCATGGCGTCGGGCCTCTACTCGTACGCCTCGCAGCGCCACGGCGCCGCGTACTGGGCGCGCGTCCGTCCGAAGCTCCTGCGGGCCAAGGAGCGCGGCAGGACGCCCTCTGCGCTGTTCCACCCGCCCGTCTGCACGCCGAGCTTCTGGTACGACGGCGCGCAACACGACGCGCCGCCGCCGCCGCTGCGGGAGGAGCGTTGCGCCCATGCCCCGCCGCCAGCGTTTGAGTCTCCGCTCACGGACTTCATCGATGTGTTGAACGCCATTACGGAGTATCGGACGTATGACGAGTGGCGTGCGCGGGTGGACGCGGCCGTGGAAGGCGTCGTGCTGTGGCTGGGGGGGATGGAGAGGAATGGCCTGAACGACCAGATGCTTGCGGCTGCGGCGGGGGCGGCTTCGCGCTTCATTGACCTGACGTCCAGCGTGCTCATCGCCGTGCTGGACGACTGATTGTATAGTTGAAAATACTTAGAATTGGTTCTGCGAGTGCGTGGAGTGATCTGTAAATAGAAATCCTGAATAGATGTAAAGTTGTTAACCCTCCCGGGTAATTCCCAAGTCTTGGTCCATGGCGGCATGATTGGAAAGCCACTAACTGGTAGACCTTGGCATGTCGTTCAACTACGCTTGTTTGCAGCATTGCGACTGGCAACTCAAGTCTCTCCATCTCAGTTGGCGCCATTTCCACAACGACAGGATGGCCGGATCTGCTCCTCCGTCTCACACGCGCGGGCCATCCACCTCAATTCGTCTACCATCATTAACGACCTCGCAAATCCCGCCACTCGAGCAATAATCGCTGCTTAGCTATGAGGTCACAGCAGCGTTGTCAAACCAGGTCAACATCACCCGGCCGCGCGGTGAGACAACACCACAGTAACCACACGCAGCCGGCTTAAACCCACATCTAGCATGACAATGACGTCGAGCGCGATTCCTTCGCGCGCAGCTCCCTCTGTATATAAAAATAAGCTTAAGGGAAGAGCCAGTAAGCTACGCCGCGTCCCAACAAGCGCTGCGTATTGCCAGACTGGGAAATCTCACGCCCGCTGCGGATGTGGCGTCTGCATCGCCACTACGACGCCGATCGGCAGTGTCAGCCCGTGCCGCCCGGTCGCCCAACCGAGTTCCAAGCGCTCAACGCCTGGTGAATCGGGATCAGCGTTGCGCTCTGGTACTGAAATGGATTTCTCCCGCGCGTTGAGCCCGGTACTGGGATGGAAACGGCAGACGGGACAGGGGCCCTGGGGAGCACAGCCGCCAGCCACTGCCATCATCGCGCCCGCTGTCACTGTCCAAACTGGTGGCAGATGCGCCGCTGGGCAGATCTGGGGAAGCTGTTTGTCTGGGGAAGCTGTTTGTCGTTGGACATGATGACGATGTTGAATGCGCGGTCAAAAAAACATAGCCGCGATGGAGAGGTATATAGAAGCAGACATGTCTTTGACATCTGAACATATGCTCAAGCCATTGCCAACGCCCAACTTACACGGGACGCAGCAACTCCGCGAGACGTCACAACACCCACCATGGCCCTCCGCAAGACGGCCCTCCTCCTCTCCTCCCTCGCCGCCCTCCACCCCTCGTCTAGCCAACCCATCGACGAGTGCCCCATCTTCGGCGCCTCCTTCCCCGCGGCCTTCAACATCTCCGCCACCAAGGCCTTTTCCTCCGCGCGCGCCGCCTTCCCCGCCGCCATCGAGGAGCAGTTCTCCTCGGGCTTGCTCAACCGCACGCACACCGTCTTCGCCATCGACGTCTTCTCCACCGCGACAAATGAGTCCGTGTATAGCTACTTCCATGTCGGGGACGCGCTCAAGGGGGCCGTCGTGGGCGGGAAGCTCAATGACACGACCGTTTCGAGGGTGGGCAGCGTGACGAAGCTGTTCACGGCGTATGCGATTCTTGCGACGGCGGGGATTGGCGTGATGGATCATCCCGTTACGAGGTATCTGCCTGAGCTGGGGGGGAATGGTGCGCAGAGCGATCCGCTGGAGAGGCTACGCTGGGAGGATGTCACCGTCGGCGCGCTCATGTCCCAGCAGGGCGGCTCGGGCGGCGTGCGTACGTCTCGACTCCTTTGATCCTGATTAACCGCCGCATCTCTCTGACATATACCTCTCTACGTACAGCTGGCGAAGTGATTCAGAACTGCACGGGAACGCCGGGCGAGTGCTCTATCCCTGGTACGTCGACCGCGCGCGCGCATCGTCGTTCTGCGATTCTGACATGAAGACAGACTTTCTCAAGTTGATGCGCAACGAGAAGCGTCCCACGATGCCCCCGTTCCAACGGCCTCTCTATTCAGACGGCGGCTGGGCCATCCTCGGACGCGTCCTCGAGCGCCTGACGAACCTGCCGCTCAACGATGCCTTGCAGAAGGCGCTGTCCAAGCCTCTCGACCTCAACTACACGGCATACATGAAGCCGCCCAGGAACGATACCAATGCGATTGTCCTCCCGGGATCTCTTGACGAATCTTCTTGGGGCTACGACAACCAGGTCATTTCATCGTAAGCCAGAAGAGTCCCCCGCTTGTTTCTAAGAAAAGTCAGACTGACGGACATGGCAGCTCCGGTGGCCTCTACACGAGCGTCGCCGACCTCCGCACCGTGGGCCTCTCGATCCTCAACTCGGAGCTCCTAGCGCCCTCCACGACACGTCGCTGGATGCACCCCCTCGGCAGCACCACTTCGCTGACCTTCAGCGTCGGCGCTCCCTGGGAGATTCACCGTCTGGCCGTGCCCGTCACGCCCAAGTCTAACCGCACTCGCATCATGGACCTCTACACCAAGCTGGGCGCCAACGCCGGGTACAGCTCGTGCATCGCGCTTTCGCCAGACCACGGCCTCGGCTTCAGCCTCATGTCCGTCGGCGCCACCGCCGGCACCGACCGCATCACCCTGCGCGACCTCATCGGCGACGTTTTCCTCCCCGCCGCGGAGCACGCCGGCGCCGAAAACGCAGCCGCCAACTTTGCCGGCACGTTTGTGAACGAGAAGACGCCCGGGACCAATGTGACTCTCACCGTGGACAAGGGCCGGCCGGGTCTCGGGCTAGCCAAGTTCTTCATTGACGGCATGGACGTGCGCGGAAACGTAACGACGTCCCCACCGCCGCCGGGCTCCAAGTTTGCGGTCCGCATCTATGGCGCGGGCAGCTCCTCGCCGGATAACCTGCCCTCGGCGCTGTATCGGACCCGCGGGACGGTTCGGTACAGCTTCCGCGCGGTGGTGGAGAAACTGCCGTTTAAGAAGCACACAGCGGCGCGGGGCGGAAAGAGCCTCTTCATGAATGAGTGCCTGTCGTGGTTTTCGGTTGGCTTCACGGAGAACATTGACGAGTTTGTGCTCGAGGTGGTGGATGGAAAGCTTCGTAGCGTTGAGCATCCACTGACGAAGACGGTGATGAAGAGGGTGAAGTAGAGAACGCGAGGCTGCCTGTGCCGAAATGTACTACTAGATTTAGACTGCGTTAATGCATTTGCAATTGAATGTGCCGTCCTGGTCACCCTGGACTATTGAACGCGTGAGCCCTGAGTGTAGGACACGACGGGATTCAGACTAGGGCAGTGTTTTAAGACGCATCCAAGCATCTTCAAATGGCATCGTGCCAATCTGCTGGCGTGCCCGATTTGCGATTCTCGCCGTAGGGCGATGCGATCCCACAGACTCCAAGTCCCATCGTCACGTTTGCTCGAAGCAATGCCGTTCCCTGCCCAAGCAGGCTAGCAGAGCTGAACGAGGCGCAATTGCTCGAGTAAGCAGCACCAGCTGTGGCGGCGCAATCGCGCTTTGTGATTGCTCAAAGGGGCATCAACGTTCCGTCTGAGCCCAATGCTTGTCACGCATCTAGTCGGTAGGGGAATAAGACGTGCGCGCCATTGGGAGTAGCTCGCCCGCAGGCCACAGTCCACTTGGCCGCAGCCGGGCAAGGCTGAATGTCGTGCAGTCTCAGACACCCAGCGATTTGTGCTGCTACGTATGAGATAAAGGGCATGAAATCCCACTGTCTTACGCATAGACGCAACCTTGTCTCAAGTGCCGCGTGGCTCTGGCACAGCGTTCCGATATCCGGTAGCCGCTCTCGCATCGGTAGTTGCCCACTCACAGCCGACACAATGGGCTTCAAGGACATCTTTAAATCCAAGGACAAGCAAAAGTCGTCCTCAGACGCGGGCTCCTCCAAGGAGAACCCCTTTGCGCAGCCGACTCTGGCGCCGGGCGCCTTTGGCCAGTTCCCGCAGACCTTCGGCTTTTACTTCCTGGGGCGCGCGCCGGACAAGAAGACAGACGCGTTCCTCTTCGCCGAGGGCGGAGGGCAGCAGGGCCCGCTGCGTCCACTCAATGCCATCACCGTACACAAGGGCATGGTCAAGGTGCAGGACGTGCTGCATGCCGGGCCGACGCGCGACACGCAGCCGATCGGACTCGCTGGCACCGAAAAGTTATTTCGCTCCGCGTCTGTGATCGCGCTGCCATCGCATGCAGGGGCCGCCGGAGGCAATCAGATCGTGCATCTCGTCGACAACGGGGGCATAAAGTTCGAGAGGTGGGCCTTCAGCGTGCCAGTTGCCGGTGCAGCGGAGGCGGAGCAGTTCGAATGGCGCAGTGACAACCTGGTGCGTCCAGAGAAGGACAGGCCGTTCGAGCGTCGCCTGGTTCGCGTGAGCACCAGCGCCGAGGGCCGTGAGGATGTGGTGATGCGGTGGGCGGATGACCCAGCGCCGGAGCAGGAGAGCAGGCTGGGCACAGTACACTTTGAAGGGGCGGGTGCGACCGGCCAGCTGGGCCAGTACTGGGCGCTGGCGGCAGTCGTGGCGCTGCTGCGGATTGTGCAGGTCAAGTCGGAGGCGCAAGTCGCGGCCGATGGCATGTTGCAGGCGGCAGGCAAGTTGGCTGGGCTTGGACTTGGCTTTGCGTGAAGCGGGCGGCACGGGATGGGAGAGGGATCTGTATATGTCTTGGCTACTGCGCTGGAACGAATGATCGGAAGCAAGATCTTGAGGCTGCACCGCGAACTGATATCTTCGGTGGAAAGGGCCGTTGCCACGTCCATGCCGTGGTAGGGCGCCTGCTGTCAGTTTCCCTGATGAAGATGGCTGTCTTGGACTGTTGATTGAGCCTGTATGCCGTCGAAAGAGCCCATGGGCAGCTGGCAGCGGGCGGCTCACCAGCAGACAGCGACACCTGACTTCCCTCCATGGATCTGCAGGGCCGCGCAGTGACTGACCCACGGGCGCCGTCTCAGGTGACTATCAAATGCAGTCCATGTTGAGACGGAGGCATGGGCGCTTGAAGCCAGAGGGCAGAGCTGAAGTTGTCACATAGGATCCAGCCCTGGCTGTCCGCGTGCACGCACGAGTCCAACAGCAAACGGCGGTGCGAGAACCGGTCAGGTATGCTTCAGGTGAGCGAGGCGTCGAATCAATCAACGTCATTCGGGTGGCGTCGCGGTTGGACGCCCGGGCCTGGAGCGACGCGACGGGATGCCCCCCATTTGGATTCATGGGCCTGCAGGTGGGAAATTATCGTCCGCGACGACATGATTCGGCGCGCGCGACGTCTCGAGATCGAGCGATTCGCCTGCCGGGCGATGGTTGTAACTCTGCTCCCGCGTTTCTCGCTTCCTCCCACGATGTTGTCGCCGTACGCGCCGGCCGACACGACGGGTCGCCGATGCGCTCAAACAATCACAGCCTCCCGACCCTTGAAGTCTGGGGCCGCGAGGTCCGTGCAGATCCTCATGGCCGCTGTTGTTCCTCATCTCCCTAGCGTCGTGTCGGCGAACGGCTGCCCAAAGTGGTTGCACACGGCAGGCCCCCCTGTCGCGGTGCCTGACGGTTCCTGGCTAGTCCTGCAGGCGTTGGGAATGGTCACAATGGACCCCTCCAAATTGGTCGCGGTGACACCGGTATTGGATTCGTTGTGGCCGTTTGCGAAAAGGGGCGGGTACAGGGGTAGCGCTGGCAGGTTTCCAGGGGTCCATGGTTCCGTGAGGTGAAAGCGAGGGCTGCGGTGCGGGGGGAACGACGGCTGGGTATGGGATGGCGTTTGCGTGTGAGGGCGTCGCGGCCAGGCCGCCCACCCACCACGATGGTGATGGATATTTCCCGCGCCGTCCTTGCTGGATGGATCGGGTTAATGATGAGATGGCTTGTTAACCGCTGAGCTCGCCGCTGGATGAGGGGAGTTGTTAGTGCCCGACTAGAGTGCCTACCTAGGTAAGGTACAGTACGAGGTAGCCGTTAGCATGAGCTGAGCTGATGGAGCACCTTCCTCGACGGCGGGCAGCTTGGCAGGTGCACCATTTGCACGATTCGCTGAGTTATCCGCTCCTTCCTGCCACGCCGCTCGTATCGTCGCCCCTCTCTACTCCGTCGACTCTCCTCTTTTCCCTTCCCGTGCGCTACACAACTGTTTCTTTTTCCTTGTCCTGTTTGCTCTGTTTGACGTGTGTTTGCGACCGAGTCGCCCACTACTTTCGTTCCTTCCAACGCCCATCGTTCCCTAAGATACCATCACGGACTTCACAGTACCAAGCACGGACTACCCCAGGCGCAACTCAGCCCCTTGCACCCAGCGACAAACCGAACCAGCATCCACGACGCTCCTTGTCCGAAACGAAACGCGAACGCGCGCCAGAAACTTCAAACATTTGATTGCGGTCGCGACTGCTCGCCAGCAGCTGCATTGGCATGATCACGGCCTCTTGAGCGGCTGTCTTCCACCGCGACTCGACGTCGCATCAGCGACACACACCGAGTCGCCGCGATCACAAGTTCTTCAGCCATTGGCCGCGCTCGCAGCATCAGCAGGCGACCAGCCGCTCACCGCGAGCCTGCCTTGATCGATCGAGGCCCCGGCAGCGACCGACGTGATTCAGTCGCAGTAATTATAATTGTCTAGCCACCACCATGGTCTCCTTCTTTGGCATCAAGCTTGGTGGGGACAAGAAAAAAGCCCAGTGCGCATGCCCTCGCCGCGAAAATGCGAATACCCAGCTGACTCTCGCACAGAAAGAACCAGGGCAAACAACCGCCGCAGCAATGGAATCGAATTGACCAGAACACTCTGGGTCAGGGGCAGTATTTCGGCCAGAGCCAGGCTCCTGGCCGGCCCCAGTTCCCGAATGCCTCTAGTCGACCAGGAACGTCTCAAAATGCAGCTCCGCCGCCGTCCAACTGGCGCGCCGTCTTCAACAATCCCGGCATGGCCTCATCCATGACGGACCTGACTCCTCCCTCTATGGGCGCGCTGCGACATAATGCGTCCGAATCGAACTTGAGGACCAACTTTGCCAACGGCAGCACCACAAGCCTAGCACTGCCTGCATCGTTGGGTGGAACCGGCGCGAGGCCCGGCACGCCGAGCCGCCCAACGACGACCAAAGCCGAATGGGTGAACCCTCTGCATGTCCACTTCTGCAAGAGCAATTCCGCTTCCCGCCCCGGGACGCCGACTGTTGCCACGCCTAAGAGCCCCCTCGGCCAGTTCGAATTCGACTTGAAACCTGCGCCTGCCCCTACCAAGGCCCCAACCCGGACCCCAGCCGATGCCCCGGCCGAAGCGCAAGCTGAGGCCCCCGTCGAACCCGCGCCGAGATCAAAACAGAATGAGCGCCAGCCTGTGGCGGAGCGACATGGATATCCGTCACCTCCAGGATCGGACAGGAGCTCTGATGGAGCGTTTCCCCCCCTTAACCCTTCCCTGGCGTCGGCAGCACCCGACTTGCAGCCGTCGACAGACAACCGACGCAACGCCCCCAGCGCCTTGAGCAAAGTCGACCGGGCGGCCGCCTCGCTTCCCAGCCCTACACCCTCGTCTCCGCTCACAGGCAGCGAGGACAAGCCGGATACACCAGTCATCCGCAACGTACCCGCAAGGCGCGATACGCTCGCTTTTCACCAGCCTCGCCGGCTGAGCGTCAAGATGGAGTTTGACGACGAGAGACAGAAAGAGGCGCGCAAAACACAGCACATCGAGGGCTTCCGCGGCAATTTTGCCGATTTTAACTTTGGCGCAACGGCGAAGTCTCCGAGCTTTGACATGCCTGCGGTCAACAGCGTGGACACCAGCTCGGGTGAGAGGCCTAGTGTGTCAACGGAAAGCGCACAGGCGCGGGAAAGGGTGCAATCCCCCAGCATTGCCGGGTCGTTTTCTCAACGGTCAGTACGGTCGCCAGAAAGCCCGATGAGCCGGCCATCGGTTTCGACCTCGGTGTCAGCCATGTCGTCGTACAACGAACGCCCCGAGTCCCCTGTCATAAAGCTACCGGCAGGAGCGCCGCGTGAAAATTCGCGGCGAACAGGGCCTCCACCGGCGGCTGTCGGTGCTCGTCGAGGCAATGCGAATCCCTTTGGACGGACGAGCCCCCCTCGAGGGTTCAACACGCGCTTCGATTCGGCCAAGCAGACTCGCGCGCCGCCGCCCCGACCCCTGTTTCCGACGCCCAACCTGGCATCGCATGAGGGCGCCTCGCCGAGTCCGCGCAGTCCGTACGGGCCCCCTCCGAACCAGAACAACTACATTCGAGACGATATTGAGCCGCCTCGCCGGCCGCGATCTCGGCCACCGTCAAGCCCCTTTTCGCGGCCTCCGATGGCCGGAGACTTTCCCAAGTCTAAGGGCCTCCCACGCGGGCGCCAGCCGGAGAAACCTCGCTGCTCGACCGAGGACAATAACGATGACGACGACGGAAGCGTTTACGACGACCCGGCCTGGCCCGAATTTGACCGCGCGGAGCCTCGCTACTCGGCAATGCCGGCGCCGCTCGCGACGCCGCGGAGCGATCCCAACCGCTCGCCAGCACTGCCGCCACGATTGCCCAGTCCGACATTCCCGTCTCTGGCAAAGTCCATCTCGACATCCAGTGAGGATCTCGCCAAGAGCTTTGAGCTTCACTTCGACGCGCCGCTCAGCTCAGGGCTCATCCCTTCGCTGGAACAGAGGCCGGGCCCGAGCTCGGGTGAAGTCAGTCCAAAGCGAGTTGAGGCAAAAAAGGCGCCGCCAAGGCCGGCCGTCATGACGCTCCCGCCCTCATCATCGAGCAAGGACGTCAGCGCTATGAAGTCGCCCGTTGAACCCCGCTTCCAAGGCGGCTTCATCTAATTCACGTACAACGGCAGGGTTTCCGGATTGACTAGAGAAGGAAGGGATGGACGGATTTTATGACGTGATTTGATTCTGAGCTTGATGCTAGATGCCTGTCCTTTTCTGGAAAGTTCGGCCCGGCGCTGATAGTCTCGCGCCGCCGGTTACTGTGTCATATTTGGTGCGAGTTGTATATATCCACGCATTGAGGCACTCGCAATGTGCCGATGCGAGACAGCGATTGTACATCGTTCTCCTTCCTAGCTATAGCGTCAGAAGGCGATAGTTGTATCGATCGACTTCAAGACTAATTACGCGCCTTCAAGATCCTAAACGTCATGCAGATTGAGCCTCAATTTGTCACGCTCCGAAGAGCTCGTTAGCTCGTGCAATGTCGACTAGACAAAGGATTGAATCCTGGACTAACGTTGGATGACTGTGACGTCAGCAGCATCGGCCTGAGTCACCGCTGGGTCCTCGATGGCCATCTTGACTGAAGTGTGTTGACGGCGTGAGGGGTAACTGATAGCTCCCAAATTTATATAGCGGACTTCATGTCGTGAAGCGAGCATGGCTGTTCGGCGATAACCCAACGCATACTTGAATCATCTTCAACACCAATGTCAGCCTCGCACGCCAGCACCGGATCCCCAAGGGGCCGCCTCCGCGACGTGGTACCCAATGTCCACCTCGGAACGTGGGCCCCCGGCCCCAAGAACGGCATCACAGACGTGCCCGGCGTGCTCGCCCACACCATCACCATCCGCGAAGCCAACGGGTCCGTCAACACGGGCGTGACGGCCGTCGTGCCGCGCGCCGACTGGTTCCACAAGGCGTGCCACGCGGGCGTCTTCCGCTTCAACGGCTCGGGCGAGATGACGGGCACGCACTGGATCGAGGAGACGGGCCTGCTGCACTCGCCCATCCTCATCACCAACAGCTTCGCCGTGGGGCCGTGCTACACGGGCGTCTACAAGTACGCCATTGAGCGCTACGGGCAGGACGAGGATACTGGCGTGGATTGGTTCCTGTTGCCTGTCGTGGCGGAGACGTTTGACGGGCATTTGAATGACCTGCGGCGGTTTGCGGTCACGCCGGAGCATGTCGTTGAGGCGTTGAGCAAGGCGTCGGATGAGCCGCTGCCGGAGGGTAATGTCGGCGGCGGGACGGGCATGATGTGCCAGGGGTTCAAGGGCGGGACGGGGACGAGCAGCCGCGTCGTGCCGGCCGAAGAAGACGCCGCCGACGGCACCAACGATGGCGAGAAGGCGTACACGGTCGCCGCAGTCGTGCAGGCCAACTACGGACGGATGCAGCACCTACGCATCTCCGGCGTGCCCGTCGGCCGGATCCTCGCCGCCGAAGCAACCCGCGACGCCGCCTCCGCCACCCAAAAAGCCGAGTACGACGCGGCCAAAGACACCAAAGACGGCTCCATCATCGTGATCCTCGCGACCGACGCACCACTGCACCCCGTCCAGCTGCAGCGCCTGGCGAAGCGCGCGACAGTCGGGCTGGCGCGCGTGGGCGGCTACGGGCACAACCCCTCTGGTGACATCTTCCTGGCGTTTTCGACGGGCAACGAGGTGCCGGTGCAGACGGTGACGGGGCAGCGGCGCAGCGTGGACCCGTTCAAGGCGCGGGCGCTGGACGCGCGGTTCGTCGACGACCAGAGTATCAATGGCTTGCTGGAGGCGGCGGCGGATGCGACCGAGGAGGCGATTTACAATGCGCTGTGCGGAGCGGAGACGATGACGGGGAATAGGGGCAGGAGAGTGGAGGCGTTGCCGCTGGGGAGGGTCAGGGAGATAATGGGGCGGTATCACGATGTTGAGAGGGCGTGCCTGGCGGGGGATGGGGAGTAGTTAGTGATGCTGCATAGGAAGGGATCCGCTCGACGAACAAGCCAGATCGACTGGCCCAAGGGTCTTTGAGACTTCTTTGAGTCTGTTTGACAAAGTTGTTCCACACTCTGTTCCACTCCTGCTGTGCCTGTACCTGGATGAACCCGTCTTAGACCGATGATGGTTCATGCACCAGCCCGAACCCCGCGTCTCGGCGCCTCCACATGGCCAAGCACCCAGACGCCGAGCGACCGGCCGACAGGCGGAGGTCGGAGAGAGATCGGCGAGAAGTGGGTCGTCGTCACTCCGATGCACAGCGACACTCTCCGACGCCGAGCACGGTCTCTCCTGCAACACACCGAGCCGTACTCCGACCGCCACAACAACGGTGCTTTCAAGGGCTGTCTTGAGGCACTCCGGCATCGACGGTCATGACGTCTCGGCAGCCTGCGTGCGAGCCATGTAGACGGTCAAAGCTTGCGTGCGATCATGCCCGCCCGTCGTGCTCCCGCTGCAGGCGGCAGAAGAAGGGCAATGCATGCGTATACAGGGCTTCTCCCTTTCGGCGGAGGCAACAGTCGGATCTATCTCCAGGCCGACCGCATGTTTCGCGGTAAGAACCTCCTCGTCAATTGGCCGATAGATCCCTGGCTGATGTCCCAGTCGTCTTGTCAACGAACCGTCCACCTCGCCTCAGGGGGCTTCATCAGAGGAGCCTGCACCGCCGTCAGTCACCCAAAATGGGCGCTCCTATCCGAACCCGGGGTTTCTCGGACAGTCAAGTCACGTTTCCATCTTCAATCAGATTTTCTCGGACCAAGACGGCGAGTCCTCGCACACACCGAAGGACGGCCATGTCGTGTCGACGCCCTCGCCCCCGTGCATGTCGCTGGACGAACATCCCCTAGCGAGACAAGGCGCGGAGGTACTCAGGCAGCTACTCGAAAAGTATGAGCTGCGAGCGATGGAATCACTGGTCTCGTTCTGGACAGCAAGAGGCGTCAATCTTGCTCTCGCGGAGCCGCTCGTGGAGCTCTGCTCATCTCACTCCAATTACACTGCGCTGTCTACCTTTCAGGGGCATGACTGGCATCTCGCGCTCGCATTGCGACTCCTCGAAAATACCTGCCGCCCGTTAGAGAGCGACGAAAATTCTACCCTCGCCAGTTTCTCGTCTCAGTTCTTGGGAACACGGACGCGATGGGAAACGCTGGGCATTTTTCTCTCCGCCGTACTGCGCGCCACCATGGACATCCCGTATTTCCCATTGCTCTACACAACCGACAGCGCCAAGCGCGACTTTCGCAACATTCTCATGAGGCAAATCACTTGCGCGCTTGACATCTGTCTGTCGCTTGACTGCCTCAACGACATACAACTCATTTTCCAGTACGAGAACTTCATCATACACTCTTTTATGAACGGCGACCAGAGTAGGTGTCAGCCCTATTGGTGCGTGGGGAATTCAGCTGACAATCCAGGTTACTATTTGTGGCGCAAGCTGGGCGATGTCATCTCCACGACCTTTGCCCTTGGGTACCATGAGAACGTGGAGAGCAGGCCTCAAACACCACCGTTCCTTGTCGAACTTCGAAAGACGGCGTTTGCTCGCATATATTCTGCCGATAAGAATATCTCGCTGTTTCTTGGCCGGCCTCTGCGCATGAGTAAACGGTTCTGCCACTTCCAGATCCCAGACACAGTATCGTCTCTCTCAAATGGGACGAGTATCCACGAATGGAGTCAAGAGTCGAAGATGAACTACAGGGCAGAGACTCGCTGGTCTGCTTTGTGTGCCTCCATAAAGGAAGAGATTATGGAATTGTTGTTCGATCGCAATCGCACGGACAGTCTGGAAAGGGTCAAGTAAGTCTCCCCCATGTATTGGTCTCGCACTTGCGTAATACCACGGTCCTAACACACTTTGCCAGCGCCCTCCAGATAGTTGCAGACACACAGTGGGCTGCCCTCCCAGTATCGTTTCGCTCATGGGATACCGCAAAGCACCGGACTGAAAGCCCATTTGAGCGTGACTTCATGATAAGCGTTCGGCTCAACCACCTCCACATCTGTTTCTTACTTCGCCGCCTCTTGCTGACGCGCGTGACGGAGCCCGACATCCCCACACTGGAGGTGGCGCAGGAAATGCTGAGGCTGGTCGTAGAGGCCATTCTCTTGCGCGATGAACTGGTCAACTCCGGGACGACTCTCGGTTGGAAGGTGAGCACCTCCCGCTTCGATATCCCTGTGCATTTAAGCTGACGAGCCCGAAGATTGCGCACTATGGACTACCTGCTGCCGGTATAATACTCGTCGCGACGCTGGCACAGCCAGCCGTGCCGGGCTGCTTCCAGGAATCATACTCGCGAATCGTGCAGGACCTGAGCGTTCTGGCTGCCGAGCTTGAGCGGGGCACCATCGTCAAGCCCAAAGATCCCAACTACGCACTGCTGTCAAAGGCCACACAAGCCATCCATAAGTTTCTGGGCTTCATACACGGAAGCGATGGGCGGAGAGAGCAAAATGCACCGCCTCAGACGCCGGGACCATTTGAGGACGCTTCGTGGTTTCCGCAGCTGGGACAGGACTTATGGGACTCTGAGATTGGGTTCTGGCAGGAACTCGCCGAGCATCCCTCGCTATTCAACCAGTATCTCGCCTCACCGCAATGAGCCGGTCAAGGCCCCCGGCTGGGGTGCGACCGTATTGGGCGACTCGTTTGAGGCGCATAGTTGAGAGTAATGACCTAAGAGAACAGAGCCATATTCTTTTAGCGAAGAGCTGCTTGGACAACAGCCATCTCGTTCTTGGCCACCGCGGATGAGGAGCCTTGACAGCCTGGCAACAGGAGAAATGCCCTGAAGTGGGAGCAGCGGCAGAAATTATAGAAACAGCGGGTAGCAGTGGTGGCTAAGCAAAGGAAATGTGTCTAAATGGCTCTCGTCTTTATGTTGTTCAATACGAGCGTTGCGAATGCCCACATGACCTCAGTGACAGCCTCGAGACTGAGGAAGGGCATTTGGTCAAGATCAGACTGTCGAAACTTATCGACGTCGAGTCCTTCGTACTAGATCTCTTATCAAGATCCCTTGAGCCCATAGATGAGGTCGGCTTACGCCGTTCAATCGCAATAGGCGCGGTCCATGGTCTGGTTGGAGCGACATGTGTTGACAAACTTCCCGGTGCACTTATATTTCGACACCACGGCGTTAGCATAGACCCAAAGAAAAAGACCTAGTTTCTCTCTAGTTGGGAAGAAGGGGACATACCCGCGTGTGCCTTTCACACCGCTTGTCGAGCGTAGTCTTGAATATCCTCCACGAATACTTCCTTCCGACCGAGACTTTCTGAACAAAGTCAATGGTGACTCTGCATATTTGTGTTTCTGGATTGCAAAGCTTCGGGGTAGTTAGCATAGATGTGCGTGAAGGAAAAGCCCTCGACTAGACGCCATGCGTGATCTTTGCTCACTCACCCCGCATCCCATTGTAATAGGCGGCGGTGCCGGCACATGGTCGAGATCCATGGGATCCATCTTGCGCGCGAGATTTGAGGGATGTGTACAGGTGGGGTGAGAGTTGGTGTCTGTTTGGAAAGCTCTGGGAAACGAACAAGCCGCTCTATACAATCGATGAATAAATGCAGGACGCCCGTGCTCGATTATATACTTGCCGAGGATAGGGTTAGAATAGGGGGTCCATGGCTCTCAACAAACTTATGCGTCAATGCTCTTCAAGCTAGTATCGTGCTGGGAGAGTAGTTCTCAGAGCCACAAAAAATGCTAAATGATCGCGTGGTCAGGGTTTCAGACTGTCAACCGAAACGTGAAACAATAGGCGGCACGGTTCGCATACTTGGATTTGTCAAAAGACTCATTATATTAGTCAATGGAAGCTGTTCTAGCCCCTCTGCGGCTTAAATGGAAAACACCGTCATCTGTGATGTATGCTTATGGTCTGGCAGAAAAGTCGCCTGGTGCACACGCAGAGCATCAAATCAGGCGAAGCAGTGGTCGCAAAACGTGGACGATGTCAATACAACATACTGGGTGAACCAGAGGAAGTCTGGAAACTACATAATAGGTGTGCGAGAGGATAAGCGTTGCGGCATTCGAGCTCTCGGCAAAGCAGTCTTTTTATGTTACCGAAGCAACGCAACACGAGAAGCTAACGATATACGTAGCACTGGGACTGGTCCGAGGTTGACACAGCTTCCTTAACATTGATCAATGCTAGTTGCTTATCGGCGAATGATCAAGTCTAGTTACTCGAAAACTCTGATTTGACTGCCTCTGCAAATGTGCGAATCGCATGTGCTAGCTCCCCCTTTGCAGCCGCCGCAAAGGTGAGGCGGAAAGACACATGCCTGTCTTGAGGCTTGCCCACCGAGAACCAGCTACCCTTACTCACCAAGACCCCATTGGCCATCGATTTCTGGTAAATCCTGTCCTCTGCATCCTGACATAGCTTCAGGGGCCGCGATGCCGTCTCCGCGCAATGTAGCTGCGGGTGCTTCGCAAGGTCGATGACAACCCACAGGAACATGCCTGAATCGGGCCACCCCCAGCTGCACACATCCATGGGAAGAAACCTCTCAAGCGCTCTGAGCATGGTGTCGCGCCTCTGGCGATATTTCTGTGACAGGGCTGCCAGCCACCTGATGAACCCGTCATGGCCCCAGGACTGGTCCAGCAGCTTGTACATCATGACCTGTGATGGTCCGCTCGGTGACAGAACGCTGATTTCAGAGTACGCGATGAACTTGTCCACGACTTGCGAGGAGCCTGTGACCCAGCCGCAACGAAGGCCCGGGGCAAGGATCTTGGACGCCGTGTCCATGCGAAGCACTCGGCCGCTCACATCTAGCGAGAGATAGGATGGCGGCAGTTGAGCCATGTACTCATCCAGCTCAGACAATCCCCGTGACTTCGATCCAGAGCCGTCATTCCCCATTTGAAGAAAGTAATATGGGTCGTCCTCGATGATGTATAGATTGTGCTTTACGGCAATGTCGTAGATTTGCCGCCGTCGAGCTGCACTTTGCGTTGTACCTGTTGGGTTTTGGCCGGTAGGGATGGTGTAGAGCACAAAGGGCTTTGGCCCTGCAGTACAGTCCCAACTTTCCAGCTTCTGTTCGAGATCGCTCGGAACGAGACCCAAGCTGTCCATTTCTATTCCCAACGCGTGCAGCCCCTGACCTCGCATCGCGGCAAGTGTACCAGGATATGTGAACTGCTCCACGAGCACGACATCGCCACGGTTGCAGAACATGCGAAAGGCAATCTCTAGCGCCGAGGTGGTACCACAGGTCAGGCAGCTTTCCCAGTCGTCGTACTGCGGTTTGTGTATCATCTCCACGTGCTCGGTGATGAAACGCAATAACTGCGGAGACCCCGCCGAGTAGCCGTAGTTCATGGCGACTGAAAAGTCGTAGCTGTCTTCGCCTTTGGTGCAGGACATGAGCGGGAGAGATGATTGGCTGGCCATCCCTTCGAGAGGCGTATCGAGGGTTTCCATATGCATCGACATCCACGGATAGTACTCTGGCGTCGGACGGGCAGTTCCCAGGCTGATTAACTTGGTCTGTTTGCTCCTGGAGGCGGATTTCAATGGTGATGATTCGTGGGTGGCGCTTTCAAGACTGAAGCGGTGATCCCATCTCCGCGCCTTGTTCTTGGACCCAGATTGCTTGGCCTTGAAGAAGGTCGATGATGTGTAGGGCGCTACTTCTGTAGGTAGTGGTTCGGCGCAAGCTCGCCTCTCCCGAAAGCGGGCAATATGTTGAGAAAATGTCATGGTGGGGGACAATGAACAGCCAAACGCTAACGTGAACGTCAATGATCGTAATACAACCTTACAGAATGGCAAATTCAGAGCCGCTTTATATGAGCATGTCTGCGGTAGTCTAGTCGGAGTAACTTGTTGTGGCCGGGTATCCTCGGAGTGGGGAGAAGCGTAGAATCGGAGTGTCGGAGTGATCCCCCACACTAACACTAACACCAGCCAGGGAGGGGACCGGACACGAGAGGGCGTATTAAACGATCAGGGTTGCCAACATCGTGACTTCCTCTTTGCTTCCCCTCTTTTCCTAAACTCGTCCTCTTGCTCGTTTATATCACTATGGCGTCGACAGTCAAGCTGGCCGACTACCTATTCGGCCGCCTTCGCCAACTCGGCGTCGGCGCCATCCACGGCGTCCCCGGCGACTACAACCTCACCCTGCTAGACCACGTCGAGCCATCCGGCCTGCAATGGGTTGGCAACGCCAACGAGCTCAACGCCGCCTACGCCGCGGACGGGTACGCCAGGATTAAAGGCCTGGGAGCTCTCGTCACCACCTTCGGAGTCGGCGAGCTGTCGGCCATAAACGCCATTGCGGGGGCGTACACGGAGAGGGCTGCCGTGGTGCACATTGTCGGCACGCCGCCTCGGTCGTCGCAGGATTCGCGGCTCCTGATTCACCATACGTTCAATGATGGGGAGTATAGGCGCTTCGCGCAGATGCACGCGCAGGTTACGGTGGCGCAGACTCGTCTCTGGGATCCGAGGACAGGTCCGCAGCAGATTGACGATGTGCTGCGGCAGTGTCTGCGGCATAGTCGCCCTGTGTACATTGAGATACCCGTCGACTTGGTCTCGGCATTGGTGCCGGGCGAGGCGCTGCAGGTGCCTATTCAAGTTGAATACCCAGCGGCCGACCTGGTCCCGGAACTGGAAGCTATTCTCCACGACATCATCAAGAGAATCCAGACGGCCAAGCAGCCAGTCATCCTCGTGGACGGAGAGATTCGTGCAATGGGGATTATAGGCGAGGTGCAGCAAGTTGTCGACATTACTGCCTGGCCGACCTGGACGAGCGCATTCGGCAAAGGCCTGTTGAACGAGACGGTTCCCAACTTTCACGGAGTCTATCAGGGCAGCTACGACACGCCGGCCGTGCACGCCTTTGTGCAGGAGGCCGACTTGGTCCTATTCTTCGGCCCTCACTTGAGCTCCACAAACACCTACGCCTTCTCTAGCATCCCGCCCGCAGAAGCTACGATTTCCTTCACCGACACCGAGGTCAAGATTGGCGCAAAGACATTTCGAGACGTCCCGGCCAAGGTCATCACCCCGCTGCTCGTTGAGAGACTGGACCCTTCGCTTTTGAAGCGCTACGACCCGTACCCCGCGTTGCCTCGCGATTACAAGCTCTCCTTCTCGGATGTTGATGGCGGCAAGCAACTCGCCCAGAACAAGCTCTGGCGCGTGCTGGCCAACTTTCTCCGTCCAGGGGACATTATCCTCGGTGAGACCGGCACGGCAGGCTACGGCGTCCGAGAGATGCCACTGCCACGACACGCCCGCCTCTTCACCCCCGTCACATGGCTCTCCATTGGGTACATGCTCCCCGGCGCACAGGGCGCCGCCCTCGCGCAGAGAGAACTCGTCGAGTCGTCGCAGTACTTCGAGTTACAAAACGCTCGTACGGTCCTCTTCATCGGAGACGGGAGCTTCCAGATGACGGCGCAGGAACTCGCCACCATAATACGGCTCAACCTCAACGTCGTCATCTTCCTCATCAGCAACGACGGCTACACCATCGAGCGGTGCATCCACGGGCGGCAGCAGGGGTACAACGACGTCTCGCCGTGGCGGTACCTGCTGGCCCCGAGTTTCTTTGGGGCGAAGGAGGGCACGTATACGGGCCGTGCCAGCACGTGGGCCGAGCTTAGCAAGATTCTTGATGATAAGAAGGTCGCTGATGGTGAGGGGCTGAAGATGATTGAGCTTGTCGTCGGGCGCGAGGATGCGCCGCAGGGGCCATTGCTGCAGATGCTTGGCAAGCAAAAGGCCCGGAGTGAATCTTAGACTACGATATATGAATAGAGAGACCGAAGAACCGAGGCTACAGCGTAACAGACGCGCAGGCAGTGGGTTGCACAGGAACACACCATGTAGCATCTTTACTGACCGATGGGCAGTCCCAGATGATTTATTGCATAAAGGATACTGATCTCGTGTAACTCATTATAAATACCTCAACGCTTCTCAGTAACTCTGGACGCAACACCCCTCTCTTGTGAACTCAGTGCTCCAGGCGGCAACACAGCCCTATATCTCAAGTCAGCAAGGTACATGCACCCGGCTGTTTCCACTTACCATCAGTCCGTATGTGCGTGCATGCTCTCTATCAGGGTGAAGATCCGTGCTAAAGTGTCTCCATTCCGACAGACAAATGCACTAGTGTGCGGAGGGCCGCTTCGTGTTGATCGTTAAAAAGACATGAGATGGATATGCAGGCGTATGTGCGGTATCCCGATCAGACAGCCCAATACACATCAATCTTGACGGCCTCGACATTGTTCACCCACGCGCCAAATCTCGCCATGCCCCAGACCGTCACCACGTCGCCAAGTCTGAGGTCGCGCACGAATTCGCCGTTGCCGGTCCCCCGGCCGCGACCTTGCTCCTCCAGGGCCTTGCCGGCGTCCGAGTCGGGCTTGACGTCGTCGAGGTACGACCAAGTGACAACATGGTCGACAAAGTCGCGCGAGGCGGTGCGGTTCTTCTGGATGAGGAACTGGTCCTGGTGCAGCAGCGGGTGGTCGTACTTGTAGTCCTCTTCGTCGGGCTCGCGCTTGATGGTCGGCTTTATCGTTCGCAGGCCGCATACCGGGAGTGGTAGCGCCGTCGACTTGGGCGATTCGTGGCGGACGTCGTATGTGCAATTGGAGTCGCCTGTCGGGTCAACTTGTCAGCATACGCAGGTGGTCCGTCGATGATGCAGACTCACAGTCTTGCTCTGCGTCAAAGCGCTCCAGTCCAACCTCATACCACGTCCACGAGGCGCTGTACGTGCCCTTTGCGTCTGGCTGGCTGACCCAACCCTGGTCTTTGCCGCGGATGGAAAAGACAATCTTACGACAAGGGCTTACCAGCCGAGGGGTAGGATAGTCGGCCAGCTTCGCAAAGTATCCCGGCTCACGTTCCTTGGCGAGCGGTCGCGGCTTCGACTCGTTGGTATCGTATGCGAGCTCCTCGGCGAGGTTCTTGTCTCCAGCGATGCCTGTGAGACCCAAGGGAAACGAGCGAAGCTGTTGCATCACACGTCAGTCCCACACTTCCATGTTCGAACATCAGCACGGCCGCGCTCACCAGAAACTTGGTCTCGACTTGGCTGGAGCCGCTGATGCGGAGGTAGTCCTGGTGCTCGGTCGTGAAGTTGATGGCATTGGTCGAGTGCGCCCAGTACTCGGCAAAGTCGAAGATGGCGTCGACGATGTCGGGTGGCAAGCGCTTGCTGCGGGCGAGCATGATGCGGGTGACGGCGATGTCGATGGGCGTGGGGTTGTAGCGGTCGTTGTTCGCGGGCGTCTTGTTGGCAGGCGAGGCGGGCAGGTCGTCAGCGCGGCGCTCGTTCTCGTTGTTGTCGTCGCCTTCATCGTCGGGCCGGGGCAGCTCCATGCGCTGCAGCCTGCGGATGAGCAAGCTCGGGACGAAGTGCGCCATGACGAAGGAGACGAGGAGGGCGAAGAGGAACTCGTGGAGCATGGATCCCTCGATGCGGGTGTTGACGAGAAGGAGGATGACTGTGAGATGGTGCGGATTACGTCGATAGCATGTTTTATGAAGAAGAGAAGAGAAATGCGCTCAGGCCGTGACGCGCGTTGGCATGACGAGGTGTCTCGAATAGGAAGCCCAGACCATCGCCAGGTGAAGCACCACGCCAGACCCTGTTGACGTCAGTGGGGTTGCGTTGCCCCTCGCTCATGAGATGGCTGCAATGCAGCACTGGGAGTTGAGTGCCAGTGGCGGTGGCTTGCCGTTCTGCACTGCTGCGTGCTCACTGCTGGGGTGGAGCATCACCTCCGCAGTCTCGCCTACCAAGGCAGCGCTCCATCCGTCTGATCGCTGCAACTACACGCGACGCGCCACTGATGATCTGGACATGATTGCCATCGCCAGAACCACCCGATGCCTGAGCAGACAGACATTCACCACCGCACATCCCGCCATCACACAACTGAAACGAACAGTTCACAGAGCAGCGCGCTCCCACACGATGAGCGAATCAATACTCGATAGTCTCACCCTCAACCTTCCAGCAGGCCTCGGCAGGGATGAGCTCGAGTCCTTCAAGCCCTTCCAGGTGCGCAAACCAGTTCCATAATGTTACAACCTGCGAGACCCTCGCTGATACTGCATCAGAGCTGGATAAGCACGCTCAACAACTCCCTCTCCCTGCAATCTCAAACCACCCATCCCTTCCACTCAGACCCGTACGCGCTACGCTCCGTGACCGTGCAGTCGTTCGACCGCTTCGGCGGCTCCCGCCTGGGCTTCGTCAAGCTCTCGGCTACCGTCTCCAACTCCGCCTCGGAGGCTCTGCCTGCGGCGGCCCTCCTGCGTGGCCCCAGTGTCGCCATGCTCGTGATGCTGATCCCGGACGACCTCCCCGCGTCCTCAGACGAGCGCTACGCCGTCTTGACGGTGCAGCCGCGCGTCCCAGCAGGGAGCCTGGGCTTTGTTGAGCTGCCGGCGGGCATGGTCGATGACGCGGGAAGCTTCAAGGGAGCAGCTGCCAAGGAGATGGAGGAGGAACTCGGCATCACGATCCAGGAGGATGAGCTGGTGTGCCTGAGCGAGCTCGCGGCGCCGTCAGAAACCGAGGGGATCAACGAAGGACTGCCGCAGGCGATGTATCCCAGCGCAGGGGGCTGCGACGAGCACATCACCATCTACAGCTACGAGCGTCGGATACCGCGCGATCAGCTCCGTGAATGGAGTGGACGTCTGACGGGGCTGCGAGATCACGGAGAGAAGATTACCCTCAAGGTCGTGCCGATGAAGGATCTCTGGCGAGAAGGGGCGCGAGATGCAAAGGCACTCGCAGCAGTTGCCTTGTGGGAAGGATTGCGGCGGGAGGGCAAAGTCTAGCCGTCTATGTTCTATCATCAACATGTACCCAGCATCATGCTCCGTTGCACATATCAGAGCTTTAATCTCTGGGCCATGAGAATGCCCTCGGCAAAGGTTCCGACTCGTGCGTCGATGGCGTATCCCTCGGCTTCGAGTCGCTTGCACTCGTCCCAAAGCGTGGCTAGCGGCACCGTGAACACCTCGATGAACTCGTTCTCCTCAAGCTCGGGCTTAAGGTCCTGGTTCTCAGGAAGGGACATGTCGATGGTGACGTGGACCATGCGCAGGTTGGTGTTGCAAAAGCCCGGGTCATTGAACATGACGGGCGAGGACTCGGACACGACGCCGACGTAGCCCGTTTCTTCACGAAGCTCGCGGACTGCGGCCTGCTCGGGAGTCTCTCCGGCATCGATGAGACCCGCGGGCACCTCAATGGTGACCTTGTCGATGGGCGGGCGATATTGCTTCTGCAAGACAATCTCTGGGCCAGAGGGCTTGTCGAGCACGGCGACGATGCCCACGCCGTCAATGTCCGAGCCGGCGGGGCGGGAGAGGCGTTCGGACGACTCCCACGTGCGGGTCTGGCCCTTGGGGTCTTGGTAGGTGATCCTGAGGACGGGGGTCAGTGACGCGTTCCGGGGTGAAGCGGAGGCAGGGCGCACTTGGTGAGCTTGACCCATCGGGCCTCCTCGTCGGGCTGACAGTGACAATCGTTAGCGCGCGGGCTCTCTCGTGTGCGACGGGAATGCGAGGTGGCGCACCAGCGGCCCTTGCGACAGGACTTTGGCTTCCGTGAGCGACATGGTGTGAGTGATGTGTCACGGGCGAACAGTCGAGGGGGCGGGGGGAGCTGCTCAAGTGAAGCTATCGAGCTTGAGCTCCTCAATCTCAGTCTGACGGGAACCTTGGGAAGGATATGGTGGGGTGGCGGGGTCGTGAGGTCGCTCCTTCCAATCGACCCTGCTCCGATAGTGGACAGTGAGCAGCGAGTGGATCAGTGGACACCGACTGATACGGAAGGCCCCTGTACGGCTAGGCCAGGGGAGAACTTAGGGCTGTCAAAGGAGCTCAAGCTCGGGGCAGGCAGCACGACCAAGCTCCTCCGTCAACAGCTTTGGATGCGGCGAGCCAGCCATCAGCACCGACCAGGAAGCTATTCGGCCGCTTCTTCCGAACAGACAGCCACCGGCTCGCCTCTCAATGCTCGTCAGGGGCGGGCGACGATCTTTTTATTATGGATCCTAATCCTCGGCTGGTCAAAGGACCTTTGGCTTGCCCACCAACACTGACACCATCGTCTGCATGCTCAAAGGTCAGACGACAGACTGCTGCAGCAAACTGTTGATGGCGCATCCAAATCAGGATTGCATGACTGGGTACTTTGCAGATGCAACGTCTTGATAGTCCTCGGCTGTCGCGTCCGGTGAAACACGTCGAGATCGATTCCATTGCAGGCGTCCAGGGAACCAGTAATTCCAGACCACACAATCAGAGCATGCCTTCGGCTCAATGCCCAAAGCGACGGGTATCTTTGGCCTGGAAACACAGCTACAATGCCGACAGTCGGCCTCGCGCGCAGGGTGTCGAAGCAATTCTGCCGCGCCTATCATCGGCAACGCCTTTGGGGATGGACGTCGAGGCTAGTCGCTTTGGTCGAAATCAAGGGACTTTTGGTCTCCAACGCGTCATGCCCGGCCGGCATGGGGCTCGCAATAATAAGCCGGCATACAATATACGACCTCCGGTCCGGCGGTGCTGGAGCTTGGTGCTACCCCGAGCCAAGCAAGCCACGGTCCGTCGGCAGACGTACCCCGACGCCATGGCTTTATCCCCAGAGTTGGCCGACGCCACCGACTTCAACGACATGCCACCTCGCACCAACACTGCGTAACATTGCACCCGCGCGGGCGCGCGCATGGGCCGTGATCTCGCCCGGGTGAATATGGGAATGCGGGGTCGCGAGATAGCCGTCGCCTGCATCCCAGCGTTCATCGGTCGCACTACGATAGTGTAACGCGGGGATACTTGGCCATGTGGACCGCGAGCCTACTGCTGAGCCGCGAGGGACCGCTCGTGGGGGTCGCCAGTGCAACCACGGTCGTCGTGTAAGCGCGCCATCCCGTCGTGGCAACCAGGTCGTCCTGCTTTAAGCGGGCGATCCCCAGGGGCTCTCCGCATCGGCGAGCAGCAACTGCGTCTGCGTCTGCATCTGCGTCTGCGTGAGTGCGTGGCAAACACTTGTCTCACGGCACGCATTCATGATGAAGAACCCCTTCAAGACAGGCTCGGAGCCCATCTCGGAGCCCATCTCGGCCGAGTACAGCGACGAGAAGTCGCCGTCTCCGGATGTCGAGCGAATCGAGGCCGCACGCGCCGACCTGGAGCGAATTCGCAAGGCACACCAGTGGGATCCGAACCTGCCCAAGGACAAGCTCGACGCCGTCAACGCAGCCATCCAGCATGGCGACCCCAAGGAGCTGCTTCAGGCCGACGAGCTCTTCACCGAAGACTCACCCTATGAAGAGGTCCGAGCCGCCGTGCGCAATACGGACGGCGAGGAGGTGGCCAACACGTTGAGAGCCTGGATTCTCGGCATGTTTTTTGTCACCATAGGTAGCGGGCTCAACATGTTTCTCAGCATGAGGTATGATGATCAACACTCTCGATGTGCACATATACTAACCCTGGTGCAGGAGCCCAGCCATCAACTTTCCCGCCATTGTCGTCCAGCTGCTCGTCTATCCCATCGGATGCGCGTGGGCAAAAGTGCTCCCGACCAGAGTCTTCAACACCTTTGGTCTCCGCTGGACGCTGAACCCGGGCCCCTTTACCATCAAAGAACACGTCGTCGTCACGCTCATGGCCAACGTGTGCATTAGCTACGCCTACAGCACTGACGCCCTGCTCGCCCTGCAGGGCAAGCCGTTCTACAACATCAACCTCGGCTGGGGCTTTTCTCTCCTCTTCACCCTAAGCTCGCAGCTCATCGGCATCTCCCTCGCCGGCATCTTCCGCCGCTTCCTGGTCTGGCCCGCCGCCATGATGTGGCCCAACCAGTTCGCCAACACGTCTCTGTTTTATGCGCTGCACGACAAGAGCAAGAGCGACGGCGTCCACTCCAACGGCTGGCGCATCAGCCGCTACCGCTGGTTTGGTCTCGTCGCCATGGCCATGTTCTGCTACTACTGGATTCCCGGCGTCTTGTTTCAGGGGCTGTCTGTTTTTGCCTTCATTACCTGGATCAAACCCAACAACGTCGTGGTAAACCAGTTGTTTGGTGGCGTGACTGGCCTGTCGCTCATTCCCATCACGTTCGACTGGACGTATGTGACGGCCTATCTGGGCGACCCTCTGCTCGCCCCGACACACTCGCACGTCAATACCTTGATTGGTCTTTTTCTGTTCGTCATCATCACGACAATTGGCATCACGTACAGCGGCGCCTTGTTCGCCGACTACCTGCCCCTGGTCACGGCTCAGACGTATGACAACACGCAAAACTACTACAACGTCAGCCGTATCCTCGGTCCCGGCTACACCTTTGACGAGGCCAAGTACAAGTCGTACTCGCCACTGTTCCTGGCTCCTACGTTTGCTCTCAACTACGGCCTTTCGTTTGCCGCGCTCACGTCTGCCATTGTCCACGTCGGGCTGTATCATGGCAAAGAGGTCTGGTACCGTTTCCGGGCTGCCCACAACCAAGAGCCCGATGTGCACATGAAGCTGATGAAGAAGTACGCACATGCCCCGGACTGGTGGTACGCCGTTCTCTTCCTCGTCTCCATCGCGCTCGGCCTCGCCACCGCGGAAGGCTTCGAGTCGCAACTCCCGTGGTGGGCCTTTTTCGTGTCCATCATCATCGCCTGCGTTTTTGTTGTACCGACTACGATGATTCTCGCCGTGTCGAATATCTTGCTGAGTCTGAACGTCATATCGCCCTTCCTCGCCGGCTTCATCATCCCCGGCCGACCGATTGGCGTCATGATGTTCAAGGTGTTTAGCACCATCACGCTGGGCCAGGCGCAGACCTACAGCGGCAACCTGAAGCTTGCACACTACATGAAGGTGCCGCCGCGCGTCACTTTCATCTGTCAGGTCGTGGCTACGATCTGGGCCGTGTTCGTCCAGATTGCCGTCATGAACTGGACCCTAGGCAACATCGACGGAGTGTGCGACAACAAGCAGGTCAGCCATTTTACCTGCCCGAACGGCCGCGCCTTCTTCTCATCGAGCATCGTCTGGGGTGTCATCGGCCCGCGGCGCATGTTTGGCGTGGGTAGCATGTACGCTCACTTCAACTGGTTCTGGCTCGTCGGGGCATCCATGCCGGTGATTCTGTACGTGCTCACGAAGCGCCTCAAGATCAGCTTCTTTGGGCACTTCCAGGCACCCATCATGCTCGGCGCCATGGCGTGGCTGCCGCCAGCAACGCCCCTCAGCTTCTCGTCCTGGGCTATCTTTGGGCTCATCTTCAACCGCTGGATCCGGCGCAAGTGGCACGGCTGGTGGTCGACGTACAACTACGTGACGGCCGCGGCGCTGGACGCCGGGCTGGTGCTCAGCACAATCATCATCTTCTTCGCCATCACGTTCCCGGGAGTCAAGGCGCCGCAGTGGTGGGGAAACGTGACGGTCTTTGAGACCCTGGATGCATCGTATGCTGCAGTGCTCAAGACAGTGCCGGAGAATGGGACTTTTGGGCCCGCGACCTGGTGATGATGTGTATTGGGCAAAGTCTAACGAGTCTAATGAACCTAATGAAATCTACCTTGATCTTCTGTCCTGTGATGCCACGGCTCTACTGTGTTTAGTGCGTACGATGACTGAGACGCAAATACGTGGATCGGATCTGGAAACCTGCTCACGTTAGAACAAAGTCCTTCTCCACGCCTGAAGCCAGGGCCTCCCCGCCCATGATGCCATCGCAGTACGCCTCACCCACATACTCGCTCGTCCCGTCCCCCCTATCCCGCAGCACATGCGGCACCGTAGCCCCATACAAGACCACCACGTCGTCTCCCTCGCCCATCCCTGCCGGGCCCATGCCCACGCGGCCCCCTTCCGTCCTGTACACCCTCCTCCCCTTGTTCTTAAGCAAATGGCCCGTAAACTCGCCCATGTCCGGGTCCAGCACCGCCTGCGGATCGAGCCCCGTGCGCGCCACAGCATCAGGCTCCTGCCGCAACGTCACGTACTTCCATCGCCGCCGGAACGCGATCCACCACGAGGCCAAGCCCACGGCCGCCGCGGCGCCTACCAGCCCGACCATGTCCTCGACGAAGTCGACGGCCGCGTCGCGCAGCAGGAGGAGCGCGCGGGGCGGGTCGCACGCCAGGAGGCGCAGGGCGGCGGGCTCGGGCGCGGGGATCCAGTACCAGGGCGTGATGCCGACGGTGGCGTAGATGCGCGTGAGGCGGTAGGCGTCGCGGGTGGCGTCGGCGCGGAGGAGGCGCTGGCCGAGGTTGGAGATGGTGCTTTCGAGGGTGGAGAGCTTGGACATGGCGGCGGCGGCGGGAGGGGAGGGGAGCTTGGTGGTGAAGTAGCGCCAGGAGAGGCCCGAGTCGCATACGCGGAGGCACGTCTGACGATGCGCGAGTGCCTCCTCCTTGTCGTCATCCTGCTTGTTGCCGCTGCTGTCCTGTCGCGGGATGGAGCCGCCGCGAGCCTCGCGCACAAACTCGTCTACCTCGTCGAATACGCGGCGCGCAGAACGATAGTCGACCAGTTCGGTGATGCGGCCCTCCGAGTCGCCGCGGTACGTCTGCTCGCCCACGCGAGCAACCTTGTCGGCAGCGACGCCTCGTATTGTCAACCGCCCAGCCGCGTCGTCCACCGTAAATCGAGCAGCCTGCGCCGTGGCATCTTTTCCCGAGGCCGCAAAGACGGGCTCCCCGAGGCGGGCATACCCGACCGGCAGGCGCAGGTCCATGGCCCAGTCAGTCACCCACGACGGCAAGCCAGGCGTCGTGCACGGCCTCTGCGCAAGCAGAAGCGCATCGACGCTCTCCTCGAGTAGCAGGGCCGCGACCTCGGTATACACCCGCGCGACGACCTTCTCATCGCCATACCGCACGCGCACCCTCTTGGCCAGGGGGTCCTCCTCGTCAACGAGGCCCAGCAGCCCAAAGACGCGATCCTCGGGCAGCGCCGCGCCGATCTTGACGGGGACGATGCCGCCGCCGTCCTCGCCGACGAGGTTGTACTTGAGCAGCACGTCGTAGAGCGGCTTCCGGCGGCGCAGCTTGTGCACGGCCTTGCGCTCCTGGAAGATGCGGCCCATACCCGCGCCGAGGTCCAGCAGGGCGGCGCGCGACCGCAGCTCGGCGGGCGGGTGCGCGGCGCCTCCGCCGTGGGCCTGCCGCAGCCAGTGCGTGTTGGCGACGTTGAAGAAGAAGAGGGCGCCGCGCAGGCAGTCGAAGCAGAGGGTGCGGCGGCCGCAGACGAAGACGACGAGGGGCGCGAGCGTCGCCTCCTGGATGGTCCAGAGGCGGTTGTTCCACGGCCGGGACAGCACGTCGGCCATGCCGTCGCGGGGGAGGGCGTCGCCGCACCGGCGCACGAGGTCGAGCAGCGCGTCGCGGTCCGCGCGCAGGCGGCGCAGTTCCTCTTCGTCTTCGCCATCGCCATCCTCGGGCACGGGCTGCTCCGACACGACGGCGTCGAAGATGCACATGGCCGTCGACACGCGCGGGCCCAGCAGCCGGCCGAGCACGCCGTCGCCGCCCGGCAGCAGCTCCGAGGCGACAAAGTCGAAGTAGCGGTCCGAGGCGCGCGTGGGCGGGCCGAGCCAGACGAGGGTGCGGGCGCAGCGGGCGTAGATGACGCGCATGAGCGGCACCTGGACGCTCTTCTCATCGTTGTCGCGCTGGTTGAGGCAGATTTGGTCGACGAAGATCGGACGACGGTTAGTACCGCCGCTATTGTTGTCGTCGTCGCCATCATCGACGGTGGGCGAGAGGTACAGCAGCGCGAGCTCAAGGGCCCGGTAGATGCGCAGCTCCCGAGGGTCATCTCCGTCGTTGGGACCGGCCTCAACGATGATCCGCCGGTCAGGCTCCGTAACGCCCTTGGGGATGCTCCACGTGTAGGAAAGGGCATCGTACGGCGCGCTCACGGCGGCGACGTCGTCGTCGAGGTCCCGCTCGAGGATGCGCACGCGCACGGTGCCATGGCAGCCGGGGAGGAGGGAGGGCTTGGGCGGGAGCAGCTCGACGAGGCGAAAGGTGCGGCGCGAGGTGTCGTCGAGCGGCGCGTACTCGTAGGGCTTCGTCAGCGCGTACTTGTAAGCGTTGATGCCGGTGCTGGTGCTGATGAAGTCGAAGAGGGACGACACCAAGGATGACATCGGGGAGGCGGGTGCGGCGCAAGCCACGGCGCGGGAGTCGTCATGGCGCGGGCCAGGCCGAAGGAGAGCCAGGGGACGCAGGCGTCAGGCTTCTGTCGTCTATTTATTGATTTAATGGTGGGCTGGGTTGGTGAGTGAGAGGCGTGAGTCGGTTGGTCGCGATGGGATGGGATGCACGTCAGCCGCAATATTGGCTTGGGGCTTGCCAATCAAGCCCCCGGGGGGTTGGGCGCGGTCCACCCGCGATCTTGCATGAAGATGTTGGAGGCATGCAGGAGCCCGTGGCATTGATCCTTCTCGCGTGTTGCACGGGCAAGGAGCTTCGTTACCGGCGAATATGTGTCGCATGCTGCTGTGCGTATTCAAGAAAGAAAAGCTCGGTATGACGCAGCTGCGTGTAAGTCGACATGCGTGTAAGTCAGCTCGGGCGTAAGTCGAGCTATATGCAGAAAAGCTGTTGTTCACGTTGGTATAGTGCTCACTCACCGTTGATGCAGAGTTACAACACCCCAAAAAAGACATCCACGACCTGTACCAGCGACGGGCCTGTTGCGTCAATTTGGAGCTCGCAGTCGAGCCAGTGGCCGGAATTGGACATCAAGACCGATTAAAGCGGGTGAAGCACAACTTAACTACATCCAGTCCGTACTACAGGCTGTTTACAGCGGGGTCGCTTCCCCGAGACACGCCAGCAACAAGCTCAACACCATGACGCACTTGATTCCTCATCTCGGCCTGCAAGCTCGCGACGCTCGACGCACCTGGCCGCACTCATAGATAAGGCATACAAACAACCCACTCACCGTTTAATCATAACCCACGCCTCTCTTGTAATCCCATGAACCTGGTCTAGCCTCGCCAGAGTCATCACCAACCCGCAATGACGGACAACAGCATCGACATGAGGACGTGGCAGTTCGCCTCGCCAGGCCCGGTCACCTCAGTTCTGGCCCTCACCACCGCGGCGCGGCCCTCAGACGCAGACCTCGCCGCGTCGCCGCCCGGGTCCATCCTCGTGCAGGTCCTCGCCGCGGGGCTCAACCCGGCCGACTACAAGGTCGCCGAGGCGGGCATGCTCGCGCGCCTCCTCGCCCCGTTCCCCAAGACGCCCGGCATGGACCTCTGCGCGCGCGTCGTCGCCGTGCACCCCGGTGACAGCAGCAGCGGCGGCGACGTCAAGCCCGGCGACGCCGTCCTGGGCCGCCTCGACCCCACGAAGCGCGCCGGCTCGCTCGCCGAGTACGCCATCCTCAAGCCCGACGAGTGGGCCAAGCTGCCCGAGCAGGCGGCCAAGGACCCCGACACGCTGCGCGCCGCGGCCGGCGCCCCGACGACGGCCCTCACCGCGTACCAGACCATCCACCCGTACGTCAAGCCCGGGGCCCGCGTCTTCATCAACGGCGGCTCCGGCGGCACGGGCACGTTCGGCATCCAGATCGCCAAGCTGCTCGGCTGCAGCGTCACGGTGACGTGCTCGACGGCCAAGGCCGAGCTGTGCACCTCGCTCGGCGCCGACGCCCTCATCGACTACACCAAGACGGACGTCAAGGCGGAGCTCGCGCGCCTGGGCCCCGTCTTCGACCTCGCCGTCGACAACGTGGGCGTCTCGCCGCCGTACCTGCACGCGGCGTCGGCGTCCTTCCTCAAGCCCGCCGCGCCGTACGTCTTCGTCGGCGGCGAGGTCTCGCTCGCCAGCACCGCCAACATGGCCAACGCGCTGCTGCGCCCGGCGTTCCTCGGCGGCGGCAAGAACAGGGTGGTGCCGTACCTGACGCGCAACAGCCACGAGGACCTCGCGCAGATTGCGGGGTGGATCGGTGAGGGCAAGCTCAGGACGGTGGTGGACACGGAGTTCAAGTTTGAGGACGTGCCCAAGGCGTACGAGCGCGTGAAGAAGGGATCTAGCGCCGGCAAGGTCATCGTGCTGGTTCACGATGCGTAAGGAATGTGCTTACAAGGTATGAAATTATAATGTTTTCCCTATTCAGAGTCGTTTGTGAATTAGACCGCGAGCGTATCAAGGATCTCACTTATGCGGATGGGACGTTGAAGGTGTGTAATACCAGGCGCTTCGTGTTACGCCACCTCGGCCAGACAAACAACAAAACCTCGCGCGGGGCGGAGGCAACTCATGATGACTATCAACAGTGGAGATGGCAATCGGCCTTTGCGGCGGATGTTGCGTTGGTAAGAAGTGATCTGACGCTCCCTCTATTCGCGTCCCGGACGAGAACAGATCTGTTGGAACTTGGCCATCACGTTGCGGCGGCACAACGCAGTATCACTTTCACCTCTCATCCCCCAATTGCCTTGGTGGTTCTCCTTCATTAATCCACGCCCGCTCCAGAATCGCCTACCTCCTTTTGACTCATCACTGCGTTCAAGCCTCCGCCGTCACCTGTTGGCAAGCCCGCCGAGTAAGGCGCAGGCTTGGCCAATGGCGCCTAACCTCACCTTTACTTCCCTCGTCGAACGGGCTCGCATCATCCTCACTAGATTCTCTCCACGCAAGCACCATCACGTCCCAGAGCCATCTAGCGACTCCAACGCTGAACCATACGAGCCTGTACCCTGCGACTATCCCATCTTCCCTTCCCCGGCACCAGAACAAATACTCGAGGCCCCAGACGCGTTCTTCAAGGCAGTCCCGGCTCGCAAGTTCGCAGCGCCGCAGGGCGTCTTCAAGGACAATTCTCTCTTTGCTCTGTACAGGCTCTACGAATTCATCATTCTCGACAAGCGATTCGCCTACAGGAGCATCCTGGAGTGGTTCTGGCGACAGCACCAGTGGCCCGTCCACAACATCCCGGATCCTCGGGACGACAACCCGTTGCGCCTCACCGCCCTTGGCGGCGTGACGTACCTGATGGTAAAGTCTTTCAACGAGAGAATTGAAAAGGGCCTCCATGGGGTTACCTCTCCGCTGGTCTCTATGGAGGAGATTGAACGTCGCAGAGCAGAGCCAGAAAGCGAGCGCCCCTACGACCGAGTGCCTGATTGGGCTGCAGCGGCGCCCGCCCTGGCCGAGTTGCTTGTCATTCCTACCGAGGAAGATGAACGGCTTCAAGGCCCTGATGATGAGAGAGCGGACCCCGACTTTCTGGCCAAGAACATTCTGCTATGGACGCCACACATCTCCTTCACTTAACCCCTGACTAAATCCATCTAAACCTCTTGCTATCCACAACAGCCATTATTCAAGCCCCGTTTGCCCATGTCGTCCCTGGTACGCCGTCCTCAACCTCGACAAAATCTCGTCATTCACCTGATGGTTATACTTCTCGGCCCATCTCTGGATCTGACTCCTCTTGACCGGCCGACCATCGTCTCCAGATACGAGCTGGTGGAGAATGAGATATTCGACTGCGTCGCTCAAGTCATATGTCCGGACTTGAATACGGTTCAGCACCCTCGACAGCTTGGCCGTCAAAGCATACTCCCAGGGGCATGCGAGCAGCGTCAGACCAGGCGCGCTGAAGACGATGACGCCAAGGAAGACCTATGAATCTCCATGCCCCATTGCTCGCACTTAACCGTCGATTCCACAGGTAGAATTGCGGGCCCCTGAGAGGCAATGTTGAGCCGTCATGTCACCTCTGATGGCCAACCATGTCGACCTTGTCCGTGTCAGCCTCTCGAGGGTTGCTGATCTGGATTCAATCCGATCTTACGCAGTGCGGCCGCCTTTGGGAGCCAGGCGCTTTTCTACTTTTTTTTGCCAGCCTGAGGTCTATATCACGCCAACCTCAGCGTCGCTCCTCCACGACTTTGCAGGCGCCCTCAACCAGCTATCCAGCAGCTGTGTCGTCGTCTTAGCATGCCGCTCGGCGCAAGTTGAGGCGCATTAAGATGCAATGTCAGCCCCCCTCAATCACTGATGCGATATCCTGCCTTCCACTCGGCATGCCTCACAGCACGAAATGCAGTCCAATGCACGACGCGGCGGCCTCGTCTCTTCCGACATCAAATCGTCCATCGCGCTACCCCGTCGCCGAATCAAGGCCATCGCCACCTGGCTTCTGAACCACCACCCTATCCACAGCCATCCCGTCACTCAAGCCCCATCCGACCCATCATCCCCCATCCGCATCGTCTGCGTCTCCGACACGCACAACACGCAGCCCGCCCTGCCCCTCGGCGACATCCTCGTCCACGCAGGCGACCTCACCGAGAATGGCTCCTACGCCGAGCTCGGCGCGCAGCTCACCTGGCTCGCCGAGCAGCCTCACCCCCACAAGGTCATCGTCGCCGGCAACCACGACGTCCTCCTCGATGACGCGTTCCTCGCACGACATCCCGCCCGCCGCTATGGCGACACGCGCACCAAAGACGACCTTACGCTGGGCCCTCCCCTGACCTATCTGCAGGACTTCCCAGCGAGCGTGAGCGTCACCGGCCGTGATGGCGCCGAGAGGCGACTTGTCGTATACGGCAGCCCCTGGACGCCGGCCTACGGCGTTTCCGCCTTCCAGCATGCTCGCGATGAAGACCCCTGGGATGGCGTCGTTCCGGAAGGCGTCGATGTGCTTCTCACCCATGGGCCGCCTCGTGGACACCTCGACCGCCGTGACTTTCACGACGCTGGATGTAGCTATCTCGCGGCAGAGGTCTTCCGCGTGAGGCCGCGGCTGCACGTCTTCGGGCATATTCATGCCGCGTGCGGCAGAGAGGATCTCGTCCTAGACCGGGCGAGGAGGATTCACGATGAGGTTTACGCCGGCTGGGCAAGTTGGCCCGCCGTAGCTCTCCTAGCGGCGAATGTGATGTTCGCAAACATACAGTGCCTGCTTCTTGGCAGGAAGAGAATGCTGGCAAGAGAGCGCGTGACGACATTTGTAAACGCCGCTGTCGTGGGTGGGCCACACAGCGATCTGGTCAACGGGGCCGTCGTGGTAGAGCTTTGAATAGCAAGTCTATTTTCAGCGCCTATATACAAGTCGCAGTAAATCATCCCTGGCGTCAGCCATCAATACATCATTCTTGCGAATCGCTCTCTCTGCCCCGCTCAAAAGTCAACCTTCAACAGCTTACTGTCCCTCAGCCTGCTTGAGCAGACCCTCGAGGTTGATGCTCTTGGGTCGCTCAATGGGCAGGCCCAGGGCGCGGTCCCAGATGAGCTGCGCCAGCGGGCCCAGACCACGCGACACGCCAAACGTGGCCGTGTAGTAGAGCGTCTCGTGGAAGCCGTAGTGGTGGAAGAGGACGCCCGACGACGAGTCAACGTTGGGGTACGGGTTCTTGGTCTTGCCGTGCTTCTTGAGCACCTCAGGCGCGATGCGGCTGTTCTTCTCCACCAGCTGGAACACGGGGTCCTTGGCAATCTCCGGGCGCGCCGCCGCGTAGTCCATGAGAGCCTCGAAGCGCGGGTCGGGCTTGCGCAGGACGGCGTGGCCGTAGCCAGGCACGACGCGGCCCGAGTTGAGCGTCGACCACAGGTAGTCGTTGACATCCTGCTCCGTGTAGTTGGCGGGAATGTTCTCCTTCATCTGGAGGATCCAGCGGAGCACCTCCTGGGCGGCCAGACTGCACCGTAGTTAGCAGAAGCTCAGTCGAGTTAAGATTAAGATGACGTACCCGTGAAGAGGGCCGGCCAGACCCTGCAGGCCGGCAGAGTAGGACAGGAAGGGGTCGCTCAGGGCGCTGCCGACGAGGTGCGTGGCGTGAGCCGAGACGTTGCCACCCTCGTGGTCACCGTGCAGGGCGAGGTAGAGGCGCAGCAGGTCCTGGAAGTTTTCGTTCTCCTTTCCGCCCTTGCCCAGCATGGCGGCGAAGTTGTAGGACCAGTCCTGCTCGAGGTCGACCTCGGCGGGCAGGGCACCACCGCCGCGATAGGAGTTCTGGTAGATCTTGGCCGCGATCGTGGGCAGCTTGGCCAGCAGGGAAATGCAGTCGTCAAAGGTGGGCTCCCAGTAGTCGGCCTTGTTGAGGCCCTTCTCGTACGCCTTGGCAAACTTGGACTCGTAGTTGAGGGCCGAGACGGCAATAGCGAACTGCGTCATGGGGTGCAGGTCCGTGGGGAAGTCGTCCAGCATCTTGTTGACGAAGGCGGGCAGCTGGGCCTTCTCGGCGAGCTCGCGCGACAGGACGCGGACCTGGTTGGTGGAGGGCACCTGGCCGGTGAGGAGCAGCCAGAACATGGCCTCGGGCAGCATCTCGGTGCCGGTCTTGCCCTTGGGCAGGACCTTCTGGCAGTCCTTGATGGTCTTGCCGTGGAAGCGGATGCCTTCGTTGGCGTCGAGGACGGAGCCCTCCCAGACCATGGCCTTGAGGCCGCGCATGCCGCCGAGCGTGTTCTCGACCTTGACCTCGCCAATGGCCTTGGAACCGTGGGCCTTGACCTTCTTGAGGAGCTCGCGCTTGGCGGGGATGACCTCCTTGAGCGTGGCCTTGAGATCGGGCTCGGCGGAGCTGCTGTAAGGGCGCGCGCCGAGCAGCGCCGCGCGGGCAAGCTGCAATCGTCGTTAGTTGGCCTGTAGCAAGGCAAAGGCCAAGAATCGGTTGTCTCATACCTTCATCGAGCCCAGGGCTCGGGTCGTCCTCAGGTTGAGGGCCATGGCTGTGGTCGAGATTCGGGAAGTCGGGACTGTGGGGTATCTGGGGGAAATCCGGGGTCAAGTCAATTGACGTCTTCACAATCAAGTCGAGTGACGGCTACCAAGGAAGGGAGGCGACGAACCAGGCTGGGTTTTTTAGGAGAAGCTGACGGAGACAAAGGTTTGGAAAAATGTCCGGCAGCTTAGCCGAGCTGATGGTGGTGGTGTTGCAGCCGAGCGGCGTCCGACCACCGCGTGCCAACGGCACGGCTGGGCAAGCACCTGCATCCCACCTTCCCCAACGTTGGCGGGGAGGCGAGACAGCCGAGGAAAGCCGTCCAGGGCCGGACCAGCGGGTTCCACCGAGCGCCGTGATTGGCCAATGTGCACCAGATCTGAGCTTGCCGACGGGGAGGGGCAGGCCAGGCCGGGGCACGCGCCATGCTGGCGTTGCACGAGCAGCTCCAACGTCAGCCTCAAAAGCACGTCGAACAGGCAGGCTATCCGCGGCCTGAACGGCATCATGTCTGATTGCTAGACTGAAAAATGAAAGGCCACTGTTTCTATAGCCAGGTAGAGTGAGGGCATGGGCGGCATGGCGCTTTAAGTACTCGTTCCTAGGACCGCTATCCCGTCAATCTGTAGTATGTCATCGCTCTACCTCTCGCCACTCTTGCATTGAGAGATCCCGTTATTCAACAACTCGTAGCCTTTCTCGCAAGGACAAGGCGCCGAGCAGGGTCGCTAGAAATTGTGTTTGGCGTTTGTTAACGAAGACGGGCCGGCATTGCCCCCCGGGCTTAACAGCCCCGGGCCAGAGACGCCCTGGCGTGATCCACGATGCGCCCCTGGCCCAATGGACGCCGCCTGCTCACCACACCTGGGGCGGATCTGCGGGTCCAACGCACCTGCCGCTGGACATTTTTTTGCACGCGGAGAAGGGACCCTTCGGTGACGTTTCGGCCGCGCCTGCCGTCGCTGGCCAGCGCTGGCCAGCCCGGGCCCGGACCGTCCTCGGCTATGTTCGAATCGCGCTCGACTTCCGAGCTCTCCTGCTTTCGCCTCACCATTAATAATACCTGCAAACATCCTGGGCTTTAAGCGTGACCTGGAGTCCGCTTGTCTTGACACTGACGGCCCTCTTGCTCTCGTCACCCTCCTCCGCCATCGACGCCATGATGCAACGAATTGCATCCCGGGCTTCGCGCCGTGTCGTCACCACTTCCCGGCTTACCTCTCGCCCCGCGCGAGCCACCGCAACAGCTGTCCGCTGCCTCTCGACGACAACAGTCAACATGACCAACCCGTTCTCCCACGCCGTTCCCGCCGCCGACGCCTTTCAGCTGCTGCCCGAGTCGCAGAAGACTGGCGACGCCGAAGATGCCTTGTACGAGGCGCAGCTCAAGGAGGTTGAGGCCTGGTGGTCGTCGCCACGTTTCCAGGGCATCAAGAGGCCCTACTCGGCCGCCGACGTCGTTTCCAAGCGCGGTACCCAGAAGATTTCATACCCGAGCTCCGTCATGGCCACAAAGCTCTTTGAGCTACTCAAGGCGCGCCTGTCCAAGGGCGAGCCGGTGCACACCAGTTAGTCCTCACCCACGCCTTTACCTCTACAAGGGAGCCTCGCTAACAGATCCTCCTAGTGGGCGCAATCGACCCCGTTCAGATGACGCAGCAAGCGCCGCACCAAGAGGTCCTCTACATCTCCGGCTGGGCCTGCTCTTCCCTCCTCACGACCACCAACGAAGTCTCGCCCGACTTTGGCGACTACCCCTACAATACGGTGCCTAACCAGGTCCAGCGACTCGCCAAGGCCCAGTCCATGCACGACCGCAAGCAGTGGGACACGCGCCGCAAGCTGACGGCTCAGGAGCGTGCCTCAACCCCTTATATCGACTACCTGCGACCCATCATCGCCGACGGTGACACGGGCCACGGCGGCCTTTCTGCCGTGCTCAAGCTCGCCAAGCTCTTCGCTGAGAACGGTGCCGCCGCTGTCCATTTTGAAGACCAGCTTCACGGCGGCAAGAAGTGCGGCCACCTTGCCGGCAAGGTGCTGGTCCCAACAGGCGAACACATCAACAGGCTCAACGCCGCCCGCTTCCAGTGGGACGTCATGGGCACCGAGAACCTTGTCATTGCTCGCACCGACTCCGAGTCGGGCAAGCTCATCTCATCGGCTATCGACGTGCGCGACCACGAATTCATTCTCGGTGTCGCCGACCCGTCCATCGAGCCTCTCGCGGAGACCATTCAGGCCATGGAGGCCAAGGGCGCGTCGGGCGCCGAGATTGATGTTTTCGAGGCCCAGTGGGTCAAGAGCACCAAGCTCGTCACCTTTGACGAGGCTGCCGTCGCGCACATGCGCAGCGAGGGCGTGAGCAAAGAGAGGATTGACGAGTACCTGAACGCCACGGCCGCCGACCGCGACATGGGCATCACGCGTCGCCGCGCTCTCGCCTCGCACTACGCCAAGTCCCCCGTCTACTTCAACTGGGACGTGCCGCGCACGCGGGAGGGATTTTACCACTTCAAGGCCGGTATGCCCGCAGCGACCAAGCGCGCCATCGCATTCGCTCCCTACGCCGACCTCCTGTGGGTCGAGACGGGCGACCCCAACGTCGACGTCGCCACCAAGCTGGGCCGCGCTGTCCGTGACGTCCACCCGGGCAAGGGCCTCGTCTATAACCTCTCCCCGTCGTTCAACTGGATGGCCCACGGCTTCACGCCGGAGACGCTCAAGAGCTTCATTTGGGACATCGCCCGCGAGGGCTTCGTCCTGCAGCTCGTGTCGCTCGCGGGTCTGCACTCGAACGCCACCATCTCCAACGAGCTGGCCAAGAACTTCAAGACGGATGGCATGAAGGCTTACGTCGAGCTCGTCCAACGTCGCGAGAAGGAGCTTGGCTGCGACGTGCTGACCCACCAGAAGTGGAGTGGCGCCAGCTACATCGATGGCATCCTGGGCGCCATCCAGAGCGGAAGCTCCAGCAGCAAGAGCATGGGCGAGGGCAACACGGAGGGGCAATTCAACTAGATTCTCATCGGATGTAGTGTAACGTACCTTGCGATTTAGCATCGGACGGAGTTTGGGTACATAATGTCTTGCAACGAATACAAAATTTTACACTAGAACATGTCTTGAACTCGCGACAAGCATTATTATCATGGTTCTCATTAAGCCTCCATCTACTCAAGCGAGTTCTTGGACGCGTTGTTGGTAGGGGCCGCGGGCGCCGGGCCCTCGGGCGTGACGTAGGCCTTGCTCAGGCCACCGTCGACGACAAAGTCGTGGCCATTGACGAAGCTGGCCTCGTCGCTGGCGAGGAAGACGACGGCGTGAGCCTGCTCAATAGCCTCACCGAAGCGGCCGGTGGGGAAGTGGACCTCACGACGGTGGCGCTTGGCCTGGTCATCGCCGAGCCAGTCCTGCAGCAGGGGCGTGTTGAGAGGGGCGGGGCAGAGCGAGTTGAAGCGGAAACCCTCGCGGGCGTGGACCATGGCGAGCTCGCGCGTGAGGGCGAGGACGGCGCCCTTGGAGGCCGTGTAGGCGAGCTGAGGAGTGGCGGCACCCATGAGGGCGACGAACGAGGCCGTGTTAATGATGCTGCCCTTTTGCTTCTTGTGGCGGCGGAGGGCGAGGACGGCGTGCTTGCAGCCGAACCAGACACCCTTGACGTTGATGTTTTGCGTCAGGTCCCAGATGTTCTCGGGTGTGTTGACGGCGTCGTCGTCCTTGGCATGCATGATGCCGGCGTTGTTGAACATGACGTCGAGGCCGCCCCAAGAGTCGACCGCCTCGACGAGGGCCTGGATCTCGGCCTCCTTGGAGACGTCGCATTTCTGCTGGTGTGAGTGTCTGCCGCCTGGTATTCCGGAGTAGTGAGCCGTACCTTGATCTCGACCTTCTGCGCGTTGGGGACGAGCTGCTTGACCTTGGCCTGGGCCTTTTCGAGGGCCTCGGCGGAGATGTCGGACATGAGGACGTTGGCGCCCTCCTTGGCGAACAGGATGGATGTCTCAAGGCCAATGCCGCTGGAAGCTCCGGCGTTAGCAACACACATCGGAGAGTCGCGGACGGAACACATACCCAGCGGCACCAGTGATGACGGCGTTCTTGCCGGCCAGGCGGCCAGAGGGAGCTGCAGCGGCCATTGTGATGTGCGTGTGTCGGAAACTTGGTGAGAAACCGGGGTATAGAAGAGAGGACAGCAGATGAAGAAGATGGGAGATGAAGGATGAGAGAGGGTGAGGAGGAACGGGCCACGATATTGTAAGGTAATGGCTTGACCTTTATGGTGGGGTTCAGATGGGATGTGCAACGCGACCGCGGGGCAAGTGCGACCGATAAGATAGAGCTGTCTCCAGGTCTACGAGTGAGGTGTGGATCACCAGCCGACAATTGGAGACTCACTGTACTGTACCGTCTGTATCACTGTGCTGCGGCAAGAGCGACCAGGCGGATGCCAGGCGCGCCTTCCCGGCACGTCCGCCAAGTGGCAGCTCACGTGGCCGTTGCGGCAGGCGGCAGTTTGTCATGAATTCAAAGTGCCACTTTTGTCAAACTGCATGCATGCCGCACGTTCGTCTGGCAGTTTCCCAAGAATTCGTGTCCCGACGACCGCGAGCGACGCCACGGCCGTGCGAGCGCGGGGCCGACAGCGGCGGCGGTCTCGGTGCGCGCTCCGATGGACCCGAACCCACCCCGGCCCTCGCACACACCGAGACGCCCATAGCCGCGATGGCCACGGCGACGCTGCGCGAGCCTTCAGTCAGCGTCTGGCGAGAACACGGGGACTCGTAATGGTCGCTGGATGCTGCCACGGTGTGTCACGGGACAGTCCATGACGTTTCACAGACGCATGTCGTCGATGGAGGTGGCAGCCAAAAGACGGTGTGAGGTCGCTCTGCAGGGTCCACGGGCTCACCGTGCGACACATTGGGACGCATTGGGACGCCGCGCAGCAATCCCGGCTGGACAGCTGCAGCGCCAGTGTCCAATCACGGATGGTCGGCGGCTCAGCCCGTCGACGGCGGATTTGGCTTTCATGGATGCGCCGAGATAACATTTCGCCCCAACGATTGGACGCAGGGCGACGGGCCTCGACTGGTCGCAGCGTCGCGGTCTCGTCTCGCCAGAGCATGCATGCATGGGAGCTGCGAGCAAGGCGAGAGATGACAGACAGGTGCGCTTGGCGCACACGGCGAACCAGCCGCGCGGGACGAGGACACAAGACGGGCGGCCACTTGGGTGTGTGCGACGGCATCCGCGCGGTCTCAACAAGAGAGCGAGCTGGCTTGCTTGCCGTCGCAGCAGCAATGTCGCGGAGCATTCATCGCGGAGCAACGCGAACAAGGCCGAAGAGCGCGCGCATCGCCTGCCGCGAGATGGAGCTGCGCCCGGGAGCAGCACTATCAAGCTCCAGATCCCCATCGCAGGTGGGCACCCGGAGCGAGGGCCCTGGGGTGCCGCGTTCTCCCCACGATGCAGGCCCTATCGTCCCTGAATCGAGCCGCCAATGACGGCGCCCGGTCGCAAGCCACGAGCCAACATGGACCTTGGTGTGGCAGCGGTGCCCCGCCAGGAAGCCCGCGCGCGGATCCATCCAGATGACGATGGCTACGTCGGCACGCAGCGCAGCGCTGCTAACTCGGAGCCTGCCTGCCTGCTGCTGCTGCTGCTCCTCGATCCTGTTTCCTGCCTTGGCCGCGTGCCCGGTCCCGCGTCCACTCGAGCGACCGAATCAACCCCCGCGCGGCTGAGCCTCTTTTCTTCCCTTTCTCCGCCTCGTCGACTCCATCTCGCTTTACCCCAGCTTTCGTCTTCTCTTCTGCCTCTTGTCGTCCGTCCTTGCCGTGAGCGCGCCGACGTCAGCCCGAGTCGCGCGACTCTCAACCTCAACCCTCACCCATACTACAAACACCCTCCGTCCGCCATCTCCTCTCCAGTGCTCTCTATTTCCATCTCGACCCCCTTCCATCTCCTCCATTCTCTTTCCTCCCAAGTCCACCGTCCGCTCCGTCATCATGTCAGAAATCACCGCCGCCTCCCTTCCCGCGCTCCTCGAGCATGACAACCGCGTCAAGCTCGCCGGCCTCGACGTCGACGGCATCCTGCGCGGCAAGATTGTCTCCAAGAAGAAGTTCCTCTCCATCGCCGAGGCCGGCTTCGGGTTCTGCTCCGTAATCTTTGGCTGGGATATGCACGACCAGACGTACCTGCGCGAGCTCAAGGTCTCCAACGCCGAGAACGGCTACCGCGACATGCTCGCCATCCCCGACCTGTCCAGCTACCGGCGCATCCCCTGGGAGAACAACGTGCCCTTCTTCCTGGTCAGCTTCTTCGACCCCGAGACCCGCGAGCCCATTTCCGCATGTCCCCGGGGCCTGCTGCGCAATCAGGTCGAGAAGCTCAAGGCGCATGGCTACGGCGCCATGGCTGGAGGTGCGCCCCCGATTGCCCCTCGCCCTCCGATCCCATGCTAACTGCTGACGCCTACCAGCCGAGTACGAGTTTTACACATTCAAGACACCTTCATCCGACGATTCGTCCCCGGCCGCCTTCCTGCAGAGGAATCCACCGAGCCAACTCCCCTCGCTCACTGAGGGCATGTTTGGATACTCGCTCACGCGTCCCGTACACAACAAGGACTGGTACTACGACGTCTACGACACATGCGCCAACTTTTCGTGCGACATCGAGGGCTGGCACACCGAGTCCGGCCCCGGCGTGTACGAGGCCGCGCTCGAGTTTGGCGAGGTGGCGCAGATGGCGGACCGCGCCAGCCTCTTCAAGTACGTCGTCAAGAGCGTCGGCGCGAACCACGGCATCACGCCCTGCTTCATGGCCAAGCCCAAGCAGGGCCTGCCCGGCAACAGCGGCCACATGCACATCTCCCTCGTAGACAAGGAAGGCAAGAACCTGCTCGCGCGGGAGACCATGGACGAGAGCGCCGAGTGGAAGGACATTGCCGGCCTGTCGGACATGGGGCGGCACTTCCTGGCGGGCCTGCTCGAGGGCCTGCCGGACATCATGCCCATCCTCGCGCCCACCATCAACTCGTACAAGCGGCTCGTCGAGAACTTCTGGGCCCCCGTCACGGTGTCGTGGGGGTTCGAGCACCGCGCCGCGTCGATCCGCATCATCTCGCCGCCCACGTCCAAGGCCGGCGCCACGCGCTTCGAGGTGCGCGTCCCCGGCGCCGACACCAACCCGCACTTCGTCCTGGCCGCCATCCTGGGCTGCGGCTGGCGCGGCGTCGAGCGCAAGCTGGCCATTCCGTGCCCGCCCCTCGCCATGGGCCAGGACGTCGGCGGCAAGGAGGACATGGGCGAGCGCCTGGCCAAGAGCCTGCGCGAGGCGACGGACCGCTTCAAGCGCGAGGGCAGCGTCGCGCGCGAAGTGTTTGGCGACGACTTTGTGGACCACTTTGGCGGCACGCGGGAGAACGAGGTGCGCCTGTGGGACGAGGCGGTCACGGACTGGTACGTTCATCTTCGTCTCTTCGCTTTCTTTCCGTCTTCCTGTCGTGTCACTCCAACTACGAGACTTCGGCGACCACGAGATGCTAACGTTGACGAACAGGGAGATGAAGCGGTACATAGAGACGGTGTAGTAGTAGCATGGGGACACATCTTTAGAGAAGAGCAAGGATACCCGCTTTCTGTTTGGCCCCCGATGCGCCTACTTGATTGTGTCGTCTCGTCGTCTTCATTGGCTCGTCAAGTCGCAGTGATGTTGATGTCACGCCCACGTCGTACGCGATATCGCAGCCCGGCTGCCGCATCGAGGGCTAGGTAGAGCCTGTGCAACGTGCAACGTGCGGCGGCGTTAGATACACGACGCATGCCGGCGGACAGCAGCAAACCGTTACCCCTGTCCTCCCAGCCCCCGCCGTCGCGGCGTACACCCCCTTGCGCTTGCCCGCCTGCCCGTGTAAGGACTGCATGCCCCCTTTGTCGATGCCCGACGTGCTCGGCATGCGGCCCTCCCGCCTACCCACTGCCAGCGCCAGGCGTCGTCTCGCCGTTGTCATCCTCTTCGGCGAGGGGCTTCTTAGCCGTGATGAATGTCCTGTAGACGGGCATCAGCTTTCATGTCATCTTCAGCAAGTGACGGCAGCAAAGGCTTTCTGGGCGCTGTCACGCTCGGTGCACCACGTGAGTCCTACGTCTCGGGGGCAAGAATGACCGTCGCCCGGGAAAGGTACCGTGTGAAAGACGGTGGCTTGAACTCACATCTTCATGTAGCTCCGCCCACGGGGGTCTCGAATCTCGCCCTTGACACGCTCGATGAGGGCCCGCGTCTTGTGTTCCTCCCACCCAGAGCGGCCAAAGAGCATAAGCGTCCAGTTTTCGAGGCCTGCGGCTGTCAGCGTTCCATACGTTCCGGGCAACACTCCATCCAGGTCGAGATGGAAACGACGTCCGGTTCGAGAGCACTCGGGCAGGAGCCGTCAGGCCATGGACACTTACAGACGTCTAGCATCTCCTCCACCAGCCTCCCCTTGCGCCGCTGCAGGACGTCGCTCCCCCATGCCCGTACGGGCAGCCAGTCGACACGCTCGCGCACTACTTGCGCCCCCAGCTCGCTGAGCCAGCCGCATACTTTCGGGACAGGGTCAAAGTCTACGCCCAGCTTGTCGGCGTTCTCGACAAAGACGCGCTGGTACTCCTCGCACGCGGGACCAACACCTCCTGGTGGCTTGCTGGCAGGCGCCGACGACGATGACGGCGGCGAGCCTGGCGGTGAGGATGACGACAAGGACGGCGATTGCGAGGGCGTGGGTGAGGGTGATGAGCGCGGCAGAAATGCGGATGCTGCGTCGACGTCGAAGAACCGCGGGCGCACCTCTGTGAACTCGAGCTGGCCGCCGGGTTTGAGGTAGCCCATGGCCGTGGCGAGGAGGGCACGCCAGTCCGGCACACCGCCGCCGATGAGGTTCCGGATGTGTATGAAGTCAAAGGGTGCCTCGTCGCCATCGACAGACGTCCCGCGCCAGAACGCCGCGCTCGCATCGGCGGCATCGGCAACCTCGAATCGACAATTTGCAGGCACCGCAGCGTCACCTTCCTTTGGCAGCAGCGCAGCCGATAGGTCCACGCCAAGAACCTGCGCGGAAGGATACTTGCGCGCCGCCTCGACGGCCCACGCGCCCGTCCCGGTCCCGACGTCGAGGATCCGAAACGGAGCCGCGGGCCGCTCAGTGGCCCCCGGGTCGGCAGCCTTTTCGACACCGGCAGTGACGGATGCCGAAGCAAGGGGCCCCGGCGGTGTCCTTGCGGCCGGCCGGCGCGGCGCGGCTGCCGCTCTGTGAGCCGCCGACGGCCCCGCCGCAGAAGCGGAGGGGGGCGCGGGCTGTGAGGAAGATGAAGAGGAAGGGGGGCGGCGCTGGTTCCAACTCGAGGTCCGCGGTACGTGCGGGTGCGTCTGCGGTCTCAGTCCCGCGCCGGGGCGGTCAATGGGCAGCCGCGCAGCCGCGAGCCGCCCGTCGAGGCACAGCTTCAGGAGGTCGTGCATGAGCCTCATGCGGCGCGCCTCTGACGCATCGTCGGGTATGAGGACGCGGCCTGAGGAATGGTAGGTGTGCCCATACGCCCGGATGCTCTCGTCCTGCGCGGTAGCCTCAGGCGGTCCCCTTTCGGTGCGGGCTACATTTGTGCTTTTGGCCGTTCCCTTGGCCTCCCCGTCGGCAGGGGTGCCCTCTCCATCGCTGCTGCTCACAAGGTCGTTCCCCGCAGGCCGGTGCTGCTCGGGGGCATGATGAAGCTGCGGTTGCCGTATTGGCAGGGCGGTGGCCGGCTTAGACCGAGGGGGCGGCATTCTGGCGACGAGCGTGTTGCGAACAATGCCGTGCCGTGGCTGCCGCACGGTGATGCTGGCGATGAGGGATCACGGGTCGGTGAGGCGAGAGAAAGGCGGAGGTGGTGCGATGCGGTGCGGTGCGGTGCGGCACACTCTATGCGCTGGGCAGCGCCGTCTAGGCGACTCAGCAAAGCCGCGCGCGCCGAGGCCCGGGACGAGTCCAGCGTCAGTCGTGTCGATGGGTGACAAGCCTAGACCAGCATCACCCCGTCTACCCTTGGCAATGCAAAGGGGAAGCCGCGCTGTGTTGTGTCTTGTTTCGGTTGCGCTGCGATGCGACGCACCGCAAAGTCAACGAGTGCCAATGCCGATGCCACGCCTGGGACCCGCCGCGTGGCTCTCCGCTTGAGTTGGTTGCTGCTCTGAGCACCGGGGAGCCAGCCGGCGGACAGACGAGCGGGACAGGCAGAGCAGGGGCTCCCTCTTTCTGCGCCTCTGCTACGAAGTACCCCCGTTGTGGTTGCTTGGCCGCTGCCGGCTCCGAGTGGACAGGGCGAGTGTGGATGTGGACGTGGATACGGACGTGGGATGGAGTGGTCCGTCGGCTGGATGGATGGCCGGATGGGGTGTGGGTGGTGGCCAGACAGACAGATGGGATGGGTTGGGATGGGATGGACGCGCTGTTGTCCGCCTCGGTCACGGCGGGCGGCGGCGGCGACGGTGGCAGGCCCGAGACGGGCAATTCGCTCTCGCGGTCTTGTCCTGTTTGTCTTGACGAGCGAACGGGAGGTTTGGTTGAGTGGCGGACGGGCCTTGCTGAGGTCCCGGTCCAGCTCTCAGTTGAGGTGCAGCAGATGCATGCAATGCAGGTGATGCAGGACGGACCCTTGTCGATGGCTGTCTTTTATCGTCAACGGCGGCAATGGGGCGGGCCAACAACGGGCTGGGCTGGGCTGGGCTGTGCTTTGCTGTGCTGCGCTGGCTGGTGGGCGGGCGCTCGCTTCGGCAGGACGGGAGGAGGGAGGCGTTACGGGGTGTCGAGCTGCAGCGTGCGGACCGTGGATGATGGAGGTTGAAGACGATGATGATGAGGAGGATGAAGCGGGAGAGTCGAGGGGGAACATGCCATGAGGTGCCTGCCTTCTCTACTTGCCCCTGCCCTGATAGCAGAGGCGACTGGTCGACCGACCGACCGACTGTGGAAGGAGCCCTGGACAGATGGGCCGGCCGGCGGGCATGGTGGCCCCCAGGGCCGGCAAAGGACGGGAGCCTCCCGTTAGTTGGTCGGCGTCCCGCACAGACGCCCCCTCTTACCTTAGGTTTCGCCCTCCCGCCGCCGCCGGCTTTTGCCTAGGTTCCGTCTCCGCTGGGCGTCTTTCATTCCAGGTCCTGAGGCAGGTCTTGTGTGTGCTAGGGGACCCATGGGAAGCGGGAGCCGTTGATGAGCGCCGTCAGAGCTGCCAGTGGCCCTACCTGGGGACCTAGTGGCTTTCGTTTAGCGAGCGGGCGGGTTGACGGGCTGATCTCGGGTGCTGCCGCTTCTGTAACGGCTCTACGACGTGCTTTCGTCGTCGCTGCGACGTAATAACTCAGGTCGTGTTTGACATTCATCCACCCGACGCCGCAACCCAAGCGTCGCGTTTCAAGAGTAGGCAGTATATGTACTACACAATACAATAATTGCCTTATTCAAACCATCCACGGATCATACAACGACGGGATGCAACCCAGCCGAGGGCCCTCGTCAGTGTCAGTCATATTATGTAGTTATATGTGCAACCAAGGTTTTGTCTCTTCGCACCCCCGCCCTCGAGAACAAACCCTGTTCCCTGGGTATGTGCCCAGTGAGAGCCAGTGCCGTGCAATGCGTCTCGCCAACACTTTTTGTTTCGTGCACCTCGTCCTCTGGGTGCTGCATCTCCGAAGAGAGAAAGACAGATAGATAGATACCCAGAGAGAGAGAGAGAGGGAGCCCCCGTCCACCTCCGTTCTGCAGCCCTCTCCATGAGCGAATGGGATCCCACCCCGGGGGCAGGCCTCACCTCGATGGATCATGCCTGTTGGGTTTTTTATTTATCTATCTACTATCTGTCCCTTGTTGGTCCTCCCTCCTCGTCACGACGCACGTCACTCACACACAGACGCACACGCACACACGCAGGCGCTTCACCCGACGTGCAGCAAGGCCCTTATTGCCGGCTCCCCTGCCCTCCCGTACCCTACCCTACCCACTGTTTCCGTGCCTCATTGCGCTTTGACTTTTTGCTGCTCTCTTTTTTACGCACCCTAAGCATTGCCATCATCACACACACATCCCATCATCTATTTCATCAAGCTCAATCAAACCCTCACCAGCGAGAGCGAAAAGCAAAGAACCACCCACCACCCCGCCGCTTGCTCCTCCCTCTCCCCTCTTTAACCGTTTTACCCGCCCGCCATCGCGCGCCGTCGCCCCTCTCCCCACTGTTGGCCAGAGCCCGCCCCCGCTGCCCCTCTTCGCCCGCCCGCCGTTGAAAGTGCCCAGCCCGCAGTGTGCCAAAGTGCAGTGCATCTGGTAGCCCAGTGGAGGTACGGAGGCAGTTGGCTCGCTGCCCCCAAGCCGGCCCCCCCCGCCGCGCCGCGCCGCCGCGGATCCCTCCCGTCCGCTGCAACGTACAGTAGCGCGCCAAAACGTGGCATTGCATGAGATCGGCTCCATGCAATCCGCGTTGCCTTTTTTTTGTCCTCTGCGCAGGTTTTTTCGGTGGTTGCCCTTGCTCCTTCACTTCCGTGATAATTTTTCCTTCTTGTTGGTCCTGGTCTTCTTTGGTCAACTATCGTTGGTCAATTCAGCCTGGCGCCCTGGTTCGTTCGGTTCCCTTCGCCGCGACAGGTGTGCCTACTGAATTTGCCCTTCCATCCCTCCATACACCACGGCCTGTGCCTCACAACCACACGTCCATCATCAAGTACTCCGTAATGAAAATGGACACAATAAAGGATGGCTGCCACTACCTTCTACTGTGCAGACGGGTCCGCGCAGTCACCCAGCTATCGGGCCTGCAGCTACGCGGCCGCTCTAACGCACAGCCAACACCACAGTCACGCACTCGTGAAACCGTCTCAGAGTCTGCCAATGCGAACCCATGCAATGCTATATCTCAAGACACGCCCGCCAAAACGCCAGTGCTATGGGTAAGCAGCCCCTCCGTCGTCCCAGGTCTGGCTCCCCAGCAAACGTCACGCCGACCCTCGACCCAACATACGAAACCGACATGGCCTCATGCCTCATTAGTCCTGCGCTCCATCCACTCAACATGATATCCAGAATCCTCCTTGCCCACGGCCCATCACATGCCGTTCCAAGCCGCTCCCTTTGCGGCCCCGCGCCGGCGGCCAACCTCATTCCCTCTCCCGTTTGCCCTTCTTCTTGGTCGTCCGCATCTCACCGTCGTCCTCCGGGCTCCACTCCTCCGGATGGAAGTCCGGGTTCCCGTAGTGCGCCCGGTTCCACACGCTGTTCTTGAACGTGCTCGTCTTGACCTGGAAGCTCGATTCCCGGAACCCACTGTTCGACTCGTCGTACTCGAGCTGCACGGGGCTGAACCGTATCGGGTACCCTGCCGACGCCGCGAGCCCGCCCGGCACCAGCGACGGCCGCTTCTGCTCCATGGACAGGCAGCCCCCCATCATCGGCGGACTCGGGCCGACGGGCGACGTCGGTGACGACGGCGTCGGCGGCTGCGCCGCGACCGTCGGTGGCTGCGGCGCCTGGGAAACTTGGATCCGCACGTCGTCCGAGAATGGTGACGTCCAAGGGCTCTGCTGCGGTCCCGGCGAAAAGGCCGACTCCACGGGGCTTGATGTCGATGGCGCTGGCATCGGCATCGACATCGAAGACATGCCCGACACACCAGAGAAACCAGGGATCATGGACAGCGCGCCAAAGTCGAGCGTTGAAAAGGCCCCGAGGCTGGCGCTGTTGCTGGCGATTTGAACGTCATGCGACATGCTTGACACGCGATTTACTTGCATCGTGACCGGCGCGGGGTTCTCCGGCGCGCGATACAGGATGTCATAGTGGTCCGGCCGGTACAGCAGGTACACAACGGGCGCGCCCGGCAGCGAGCCCTGGTCATCGCCGTCATCGTCTGTGAAGCGGTGGTGGTTCACCTGGCTACCCGGGCTGCGGTCGAGGTAGGCAATCTCGAGGGCGATGCCGGCAGGTTTCAACAGGACGTTGACGAGGGCGACGATGCCAAGGTGCTCGATCTCGTGGTTGACAAGCTCGACGGACTGGCTGCAGTAGGCCTGCACCCCCTGGCCGTCGGGCACAAAAGGGTCGTAAGTGGCGGCGTTGGCCTTGAGGTAGGTGGCGGCCAGGAGGCGTAGGTAGTAGATGAGACCGCCCTCGACCGAGGCATCGTTCCAGCGCTGGAGCAGCATGGCGTGGGCGACGGCCGGGTCGGTGAGGTTGGCGGCCAGGTCGCGCACGAGGCCCAGCATCTCGTCGGCCCAGTCCTCATAGTAGCTGTAGCCGCCGACGGTGGAGAGCATGTGGTTGAGACTCATGAGGCGGGCCACCTCGCCCTCCATCCTGTCCTGGTCGCCGGCCTCGACGAGCTTCTCGAGGTACGAGAAGCCAATGGCTGCCGTCGCGCGTCAGCAAGAAAAGCAAGCAGGAGATGTGACGGCTCGAACGGGGGACCCGCGTAGCGTCGCCCTGTGCGACACGTGGGCAGCAGGGTTGCGGCGGTGTGGTGGTGATACAGAACGACGACATTGGCCGCCCGAAGGAACAGGAAAACGCACCTCGCCAGCCACAGTTGCCATCGCCCTGGATTGGCCGGTAGTGCGAGTATGTCTGAGGGAGTGCCTGGCGGACGTGTCAGCGGACGGTGTCACGGAGGGGCGGGCGGGCAGAGAGAGCGGTAGATGCGGTGGGCAGACGGCGGAGCGACTTACCACTGTCTTGTCGACGTAGACGGCATCAGCCTTGGCGTACTCGTGGGTGATGGCGTCGCTAGGCGTCTTGTCGCCGACGAGAGGGCCCTGTTTTGCAGCCGGTCAGCGGTCGAGCCTGTGTCGCGGGAGAAGCAGCGGGCGATGCCGCGTCTCGGGGCGGCGCGAGCGACGGGGCAACGCGTGGTGGTTTACCTCGAGGACCGGCTGGTAGTCCTTTGCGGCCTCTTGCTGGGCGGCCAGGCCGTGGCTGCCCTGCTCATCCATGACCACGGCGCCGTAGAAGGGCTGAGGCGGAGGGTGTTGACGATGCTGGCTGTGCTGATGCTGATGCTGATGGCGATGCTGATGCTGGTTCCGCTGATGGTGGTGGTGATGCTGGGGGTGAAGTTGACGCTGAGAATGGCGGGTCTGACGTTGATGATGTAGCTGCGGGAGCTGGTGGAGCTGGTCGAGTCTCTGGAGCTGGGGATGCTGGGCGTGGGCGAGCGCGTGCGCGTGAGAGTGGGTGTCCGTGTGCGGGAAGAGCGGCTGCTGAGCGTGATGCGAATGCGGATGCGGCTGCTGTCGAGGGTGATGAGGTCGATGCTGGGGGCTCGGGTGCAGGTGGTGAGGATGAGAGCTCGATGCCGCCGCGGACGGGCTGGAGCCACTATCGCTGACGGAGCGCGAGCTGGAGCAGCCCGTGCCGTCGCTGGCGGTGCCGGCGCTGTGGTTGCCGGCGCCAGCGCCCTGGCTGGAGGAGGTGGTGGTGGGGATGGAGGCTGCAGTGGAGGCGGCGGCGGCGTGGGCGGCGGCGGCAGCGCAGGTGGTGCTGTTGCTGCTGCTATTGCTGGCGCCGGCGTTGGCGCTGGCGCCGTCGTGTGGCGGGTAGCGCAGCAGCTGGAGGTCCGTGTGGCCAACTGCCCCAGCTGCCGCTCCCGCTCCCGCTCCCGCACCCACCTCTATTGGAGGAGCTCCGGCTCCAGATCCAGGCGCAGATGCAGACGCAGACGCAGACGCAGAAGCTGGGCGAGCCGTCACTACTCCTCCAGCGCCAATGTCCCCAGCTCGTCTGGCGGCCGCCGCGGGAACGGGGACTGGCACGAGCGATGACTGCGTCGGCGGTGGTGGCGGCTGCGGCGGTGGTGGAGGCGGGATGCCAAAGCCCAGCGCGAGGCCATACGGCGACGCCGCGAAGCAGGACGACGATGTCGGGCCAAAGGGCGCGGGGTGAGGCTGGAACATGCCTCGCGGTCCTGTCCTCGGCCGGCCGGATGCCGTCGCGAGCGAGCCTTGTTGTTCGAGGAGGACGACTCTCTTGTCTGGCGAGGGCGACGAGGGAGGGAGACGAGGAGGAAGAAGAGGAGGAGGGAAACGGGCTGGCGACGAGAGGCGGCACGGGCCCGGGAGAAATGGGCAAACCGCCAGCCAAAGTGGCCGCCTGTGTCGGTGCTGCAGGTGAGCTGCTGATGCTGGCACCGACTGGATGGAGGATGCAGTGCCTCTGCCTCTCCTCGCACCGATGGGAGCAACATACCTGGAGAACTAAGGCAAGGCCTGGACGCTAGCAGGGGGAGCTTCAGTCCAATGCTGGAGCTCCGGGGGTGCAATCGACGGACGGGTGGAGAAAGGCGAACGGATGGAACAGCAGACCCCCCTCTCTGACGGATCCCTGCCCTACTTTCTTGAGCACTGTTCCAGAGGTAGGTTTCCTACCTTATCCCTACCAGGTGCTTGGCCGGGGGCGTCCTGGCGCCGAACGGCGCGCGCTAAGTCTAACTTGTGGGCGCGGGGGCGGGCCGTCCCAGCGAGAAGGATTGCCGTCCGATGGTTGCTCGCTCTGTCGATGTTTGCAAGCAACGTGGTTTGGGGGACCTTAACACTACCCAACTTGGTAGCTTTGATACCCGTGTAATCGATTGCGACGACGCCTGGTCCTTGTCTCAGCGGTGACAGCGGCAGCCAGCGAGACCCGACGGCGTGACGTGAGGTGACGTGCCGTGCCGCAACGTGAGGTGACGGGAGCCGACGCGAGCTGAGGTGGTGGTGCGTCCCAGACGGCTGGAGCAGCAGCGGTGTTGGGTCTCACTTGGTGACGAGGGCGATCGATGCACGAGACGAGACGGTGACGACGGCACCAGCACCGCACCGCACCGCAGTGTCGAGCAGGTAGGTTAGGTATATCCCGCGCACAGCTCGACGGCTGCTGTTCTGTCGATGGAGGGATGAAGGCTCGCGAGGTTGCTCAGACAGCCATTCACAAACAAGGTGAACGCGAGGGCGGATCCGACGCCAGTAGAGAGTCTAGGTCCTTGACCTTTGTTGCCGAAGAGAGAATGGTGGTTGCGGGGGGTGGAGGCCTAGGAGAAGGGGGCGGAGGAGGAGGAAGAATAAAATGGAAGAGAAGAATTAAAAAGTCCAACGACGAGATGTGCGTGAACGACGACAAAGCAACACCACCGCCGCCGCCCTCGCCGCCGTCAACGGGCTCGCACACATACACACGCACGCCTGCACTTCGTACCAGCGCACACAAGGCGTCCGGCCGCGGCCCCAATTGGCCCCTCCCCTCGTCCCGTCCATGAGGCGCGCACGAATACCTAGGTGTGCCGCACAAAGATGGCGTCGCATATATTGCCCGTTGTCCCATGCACGCGCTACGGGCACGCCGCCGCACCCGCCGGGGGAACTTGTAACTGAACGTTAGTATGTAGTCGGGTCGAGCCGAGTCGAGTTGACTTGCGACCGTGAGCTCCCGGGCCCGTACGTACAAAGGTACATGCACACACAGATTGTACGGAGTACATTAATTACCCGACGTCTGTTTGCTTGTGAAGGCAGATTATCGCTGGCCACCTACTACTCCTCCCTCTGTGTGCGGTGCGGTGCAGTGCGGTGCTCCACGATCTACGGCTCGCCGCCTGCAATGCACGCGCCCGGGCCGTGTAAGTCGACTGAGGCCCCCGGCCCTCGTGCCACACACACAAACACACACACGCACACACACTTCCATGTGTCTCCTTGTCTCTCCATCTCTGGCTTTCTTTTTTTATTATTTTCCAATTCAGCCAGCACCTGCCACACACGTCCGTGCACAATGAAAGCGCGAGCCTAGAGGATCCATTGCCGAGCGTGAGAGCTCGTCCACGGCGGCGGCCGCCGCCCGCTGCATACATACTACACCGAGCAGCGGCAGCACCGCCAGCCCTCATGCAGGGCCAACCAACCCCCAGGGCGGGACCCCCCGTTGCCTCTCTTCCATCAAGGGGAAGCATTGTGGGTGGGAGTCTCCGTCGATTGGGACATCCCCCCGCCACCAGCCAAGGAGCAAGCTTCCTCCCAACACCACAAACTCTCCGCCAGAACAGACCCCTCCATGTGTCGTCCATGTGTGTCTGCAGAGCAGGTATGGATGTGGATCATGGATGTGCGTGTCGTCCACTGCCTGTAAAGAGTACGCGACGACTGGACCCGGCCGCGGGAACATGACGGGCGTGTCCTCCACCGGGCGGGAGTGTGCCGCCGTGTCAGACAGACAGACAGGCAGACAGTGACCCAGACGACGACGACGACGACGACGACGGGTGACGGCATGGCAGGCCCGTTCTTTTCTGGCAACCCGCGCGCAACGTACATACGTACGTGCTGTATCACGTATGTCTCAACGACACGCATCAATCTGGGCTGCCTCCACGTCGTCTCGTCCCGCGGGCCCGGTGCGTCTCACTCACTCACCTTCGTCTCGCTCCCCCGTTTGCCAATTCATTCAATCCCCTTCATCTCATCCCCAATGCCCTGACTCCGCTGCTCTCGCGCCGCCGCTGCCGAGACCCGTGCGACTGACCCCTCCCTCCAGAGTCCAGGCACAGCCACTGAAGCGCGGGCGCCATAGACATGTGCGTGTGCAAGGCCAGAGGCAGCAGCAGCAACAGAAGAGGAAGAAGAACAGGAAGATAAAACCATTCCCGTCCAATAATCTCCCCTACACCCCATCTCCTTGTCCCATTCCTTCACGGCCGGTACCCGCGCCAAGGAGAGGGCCTCGCGGCGGTGACACTGCATTCTCCCCTCCACCGTCCGTCCGTCCGTCCTCCCCCTCTCTGTGTAACGCAGACTTCTACCCGCCACCGTACGTGTGTGCCTTGTCTCGCCCGCTCTTCCTCCCTCCCTCCCCCCATCTCTCTCTCTCTTTGCACACTGTCAACGAGTGAGACCGCACGGGCTGGGACCGGTTGGGAGGGCTGCCCCCCCTCCCGCCTTAACGGCGATGCAGCGGACCGCGCGACCCACGGCGGTAGGCAGCATGTATCAACACGGGCTGCCTGAGAGGACGGCACATTGCGTTTTTTCCCGTGCGATTGCATCAACGTTCCACCAGAGGTCTACAAAAGGGGGCCGATATCATCAATTTGTGTGTGCCTCAGCGGGGAATCCGCCGCGGGGCGTTGATATAGCACGGAAGGCATGACTAGCTCTGATATACACCAAACCGTTCCGAGACGTGCGCGTGCTTGTCACCGCTTCAAAGCCCCAATACGAAGCATCTGCCTTCTCATACCACCTCGCACGGCCGGGCACTTCTTACTCCCACGCAAAAGGCGGCTGTTTGCCTCGCACGGCCGCACGCAAGAGCGAGGGGGCAAGGGGGGTGAGATCTTCCATGCCGTGCCTCTCATCCAAAGAGCCTCGCAGGACCACATGTAACCCCCTTTTCCTTTTCCCCTCGCTTCGGCGCAGATGGCCACCCCCAAGAAGGACGCTCCCAGCGAGGCAGGCTGCAAACCCCAATCTCGAAGCCACTTCTCTGCCGCGTCGCTCTGCCCGCGGTTTGCCTCTTGTGCGACATGCAGCGCTCAGGGGAGAGGTGGCGGCCTCTCCTGTTCCCCTCGAAAGAAGGGGTTCGGCAGAGGGCGTCATTCTTTGCGAAGGATGTTGCGGTTGTTACGAGGGCAGAGATGTGTTAGCATGAACCTCTCGAAGGGCTGACAACAGAGGAGGTAACTCGGCTTGAACCCAGATTCCCGGGTTGATGCTTTGAACTCTGTAAGGCCGAGGCTATCACGTATATCCTCTGCTAACAAAAATCTATGATCAAAGTCTTTTCCCCAAGTCGCGTTTGAGAGTCTCGACCACAGCAGATAGTAAACTTCTTCTCGCCTCCCCATCTCGCCTCCCCATCTCGTCTCTCACTCACTCACTCACTCACCACTCAATCCCAGCCCGTGCTCCCAGCTTCCCTCTCCTCCCCCTCCACCCCATCCATACTTTTCTCGTCACACACAGCGCCTCGGCTACCCGCATGTCCTCACCTCCTCGTGTCCAGCCACGCACCCGTCGCCGTCGCCCTCGCGGCAGCGGCATAGCTCACCAGACAGAATACGTCCCGAAACGAAACCTCTTCACCCCGTCCGTGCGACCGCCGGTGCCCGCGCCCGTCCCTCTCCGGGCCGTCTCACGAGCTCTTTCGCGGGGGTGTCGACGGCTTGCAGAACTTGGGACTCTCTCGGACCCTCTTAGTTTTAGACCTGCCTTCTCCTGCCTTCCCGGAGCCTCGTCAGCTTCTCACGTTGACCGCGCAGAAACGCACGGCTTGGTAATTCTTAATGTCTGAGTGGCGCGGGCCAGGGCACCATATGGGTCTGCATTTTCTAATGTCCTGCTGCGATGCCACCTAGAGTTGGTCCACATGGACTGGAAAGACAAACAAGACATCCATGAATGCACACGATGGATCGAGCTAGCCATGCATTACGTCCATGTTTCGCAAGGCTTCTTGACTCAGAAACGGGTGCTCCCTATCTGAATACGAACGGAGTCCAACCCAGGCAGTCATCCTGACCCGATGGCCCATTTAGACCTCGACACACCGTCAAAGATCCCCGGGACATCTCCCTTCTCTCAGGTTGGCATCCGGCGGTTGCCTCTTCGCCCGCTGCCTTCCGTCCGTCCACTTCTCGTTTGCCGTTCCACTCGCTTGCTTCGCCAAGTGCCGTGCGACACACATGCTTCCCGCTGGCCCAACCACCCTCACAAACTCCCTCTGCAGCCGCGGCAAGACTTTTTGCGTTCGCTTGTACCCGCTGTTTCCGCAGCGTTTATTATGCTCTCGTTTGGAAAGTAACCCGCATCAACGCCGTCGTTGATCATTCATTTGAGGACATGCGGGTGCTGACCGCGCCAATTCATCAGATTCGTTACATGACCGTGGATGGCTCGATCCCGACGGATCGCCAGTGCCGGTAACCGGCCATTCATCCAGTCGAGTCCGCGGCTCGGATGACGCAGAGTCGTTACAATGTCGTGATATCGAGTGGAGCCGGCGGGTGCATGCAAAGGCACCTCGGCGGCCGAAGACGACCGCCCAGTACGTCTCGCGAAACAACGCTCGATACGTCGCCCATTGTGGCGCGTCTACACGAGCTGCGCTAGTCCTCTGCCTTTCTTGGTCCGTTGGTTCTCTCGCATTCGGGCCGCCTTACGGCTCGAGAGACCCTGGACTGCCTCCAGGCTGTTCTCCTCTGCTCCTTGTTCGAGGTTCTTAAAGCCGTCGCCGTCTTTGAAGACGACACCGAAGAGGTCTTGGATAGACGAGCTGAGGTTTCGTAGAGCCTGGGTGCGTTCGACATCGGCATTCGTCTCCATGATCAGAGTGCCGTCTTTCTGATTGACACAGCCCTTGATCATGCCATCTACAATTAGAAACCCGATGATATCCTGGACCTCGACAGTCGAGACCTGGAGCTGCTGGGCGATCCACGACAGCCGCATTCGCGTGTACGGTGCAATGATTTTGAGGACCGCCTTGGTCCTCATGTTGCGAGTGACCTCGTCAATGTTCTCGGCAATGAATGGGTCGTCGAGGATGCCCTGATTGCGTTGCAGCACCTTCTCGTACCCGTGGATGTCGTCTCGCTGGAACGCATCGACGAGTTCCGTCATGGCCAAGATCCGGGGATCTGACTTGTATGGTTTGGTCTCTTGCGAGTCGAAGGGGTTGATGTCGGACTTCATGAGCATGGTCGCGAGAAGCAGGTACTTGAGCACCTGGATACGCTGGAGGGAGCCGGCCTCGTCGTAGTTGCGGAACGACTCGAAAAAGTCGCTCTGGGCCGCGTGCCAGTTCTCTTCGCTCATGTGCATCTTGCCGCCGCATTCGCGTATGATGCCCATGACGCGAGGGTGAGGCACCGCCGACTTGACCTCGAGGGCGCGGTTGTACAGGGCCTTGAGCTGCTTCGTGTTCTTAGTCTCGGAAAACATTTGGATCTCGAGGGCATAAATCTCGAGCGAATAGGTGCCCTTGCTGGGGTCGTCGGAGCCGTCAGGGCGCTGGCAGGCCTTGTGAAGGTCTCGCAGTTTCTTCACCGCAGCGCCGTATTCCTTACGGTCCAGTAGCAGCTTGGCGAGCTTCAGGTTCGTCTTCAGCCATAACCGCTCATTGTTGGTGCTTTGAAAGCTCTGCAACGTCAAAGAGTAAAATCTCTCGATACTCTCGCCGGCTTGCGTGCTGTCGACGGCCTTTTCGACAAAGTCGAGCATGTTGTTGATGGACTTTTCGGAGTAGTTGCGCGTGACGGCCGACTTGACGTAGGTGAGGAGCTCGGCATAGTGGTCGGCGGCCTGGCGGTCAGCGATGCTCGTGCATGTCCATCAGAAGACCTACCTTATCGTAGCGGCCCTGCTTGAACTCGAGCTTGATGGCCTGTTTTAGGCCTTTGAAGCCCCATTCGCCTTTTTCCTCCTCCAGCGCCGGGATGCCCAGAAACTCGGCAATGGCATCGTCCGGGTCCGTGAGCTTCAGCTGCTTGGCATTGTAGTATTTGTTCTCGATGTCGACATCGCCGCTGTCCTGATCGTCGTCTTCCTCGTACTCGAAGTCATATCTGTACGCGGTTAGGTCTGGTCGAGGGTCGGGGACACTTGAGCCGACTCACTCCTCGTCGGACTCTTGCATGAAGTCCTCGTCGTCCGACATGGCTGCGGCGGGCGTTTGGCGCTGTGTATATGTACAGGAGAAGCTATGCAGTCGGTACTTGCTGGTGGGAGAAGCGCTGTGCGCGGTGCGTGGGCTTGTGGTATGTCGCAGTTGCAGCGGTGACCGGAGTGATGATGGAAGTTGGGTGTGCTAAGCTGTGGTGGAGCGGAGGCGGGGTGCATCACTGCATCGACGTGCGTCCGGTGCCTGCGCTATCGATAAGAGCTCCAGTACTGTGCAGTGGGTACTGGCACTGGGGTGGGCCACTGCTGCTGCACCACAGCGCCCCAGCGCTGCCCGTCGTTTGGAAACGCACTGGAGCGCTCCCTACCTAGATTACCTAGGTAGGTTCCCTAACATCCAATCGTGAGAGCGATATGGCGTTGAACGATGTTGGGCAGGCAGCCTCAAACTGCCGGTGGCCGATGATTGCCTCTCCTTTCCGTGCCGTCCCCTGCCCTAGGTACGATCCCACAACCACGGCTGTTCCTCTTCTCTCCGCCGTGACCTGCGTCAATCCGAAATCACCCATCATGACGAGAGGCTATTCATCCAAGGTATTACGAGACCCAAGTCTTCTTGTATCATAAACGCCGTACACACATCATAGTCCTTATTTTAAAAGCATCGCCCCGGCCGTCACAGCTGCGCCTGCGCAAAGCCAGCCGGGATCCTAAACGCAAACACCGCCACCAGCACCAGCGCCGAGCATATCGCCGTCACCAGGTACGGCAGCCCCAGCCACGGGCCCCCGAGCTCCATCCCGCGGCTCATCAGCCAGCCCAGCGCCGGCGCGCCCACGAGCCCCATCAGCGTCTCCATGGTCGAGATGGTCGTGTTGAGCGTCGCCACCGTGTGCGGCTCGACCACGGCGTTGAGCAGCGCGCGGCAGAGCATCGTGAACCCGATGCCCATGCTCGTCACGATGAGCGACGACACAAGCAGCCACGGAACCGCCGCGAAGGCGAGCATGAACCCTCCAGTCACGACGAGCACGACAGACACGCGGCTGAGGTACAAATCCCGACGCAGGGCGTCGTATCCGTAGCGCTTGGTCAGGTAGGATGAAGCGAGGGGCAGGATGACGAGGAGCACGACGACGGACGTCAGGTTGCCAATGGTCGAGATGAGAGTGGCCTATATTACACGAGTCAGCATATGGTCAGAAACGGCGAGAGGGCTCCAACGTACCGTCGACCACTTCCAGTTGAAGCGCTTGGTCATGTACTGCAGAATATTCAACGTTACGTTGAGCTTGACCGGGAAGAAGAGGCCATATGCAGCAATCAGCATCATGATGCTCTTGGACGCAAATATGAAGCGCCAGATGTGGCCCATGTCGTTTCTCACGGCAAACCACGTCTGTTGCAGCTTGCTCTTCTTGCCGGCCACCGGTTCATCACGCCGGCCGATACTGCGGCTTCGACTCCGCGCGCGCCGCTTGCTGTCCGCCGCCTGCCGCAGACGGAGTGTTTCTGGGACCAGCAGCGACGAGAACATTCCGAGGACAAGGATGCCGAAACCAAGCCACATGGCGATCCAGGGGTCGATGTTGAGCAGCATCGCCGCAATCGGATTGACGACGACGGCGAGCACGAGCGTCAAGGCGTACAGGCGAAAGAAGACGTCGGTGCGCTCCGCGACGGGGACGGCGTCGGCCAAGATCGTCCACACCATGGCGCCGGCCATTTGTCCTCCGCCTCCGATGAAGAAGGCCAGGTTGCCGTAGAGCATCGCCCAGATGGAGAAGACGTTGGGGAGAAACACTGACAATTAGCCTCGCTGCGACAAGACAGTAGACGGCTCACTCACAAACAATCATGATCCACCCCATCTGAAGCACGCAACCAAAGAGAGACAAGAACAAGACGGTCCTTCGTCCATACTTGTCCGCGACAATTCCGTAAGGGACCTGCACCAGAAGAGCTGTGTCCGTCAGCGCAGCCACCATCAAACAAGTCGAATGACGTACGGATGAGCATCTCGCCGGACGCGGACCAGGATCGCACCATGGCCAGTGTCTGCTGCACGTCCGTGTTCTTGCACCGGTCGTCCTCGACGCTCGGCATGCGCAAGAGGTGGTCCGGGTACCGGTCCCGGCAGATGATGTCCTCCATGATCTGCTGCGTCGGCGGCGCCATGATGAAGACGCTGACCTCGACGATGAAGAGCAGGACAGTGCACATGGCCACGACGAGCCGCCGAAACTTTTTGTCGGGCGCAACATCGGGCGGCAGGTCCGTGTTGTGCAGAAGGGGCGTCCCCTCGCTGGAGGGTGTAGTCTGGCCGTCGTCCATGGCATCGGGAGCGTCGCTCTCCACGTCGACGAGCGACTCTTCTTCGCGGTCCGCCTGAGGGCGCATTGCTGTTGCTGTCCCGGGAAGACAACACGGTGCGCAGCAACTCCGGGTGAAAAGGAGAGAAGAGAAAAAGTCTGGGGACGAGGACAATGGGAAAGGAGTGAATGAATGGCGAGTGCCGATTACACACAACTAGTAGTACTCATACATGGCCCGGGCGTGCTCGCATGATGACAATGGCAAGACCAACGAGTAGCGGCCCTGGCAGCCGAGCTGACGAGGTGATAACGTCTGCGCTCCCAGAAGGGAATGGTGACAACGCGGCCTCGATCGGATCCCTAATCCTAATCGGGGGTGCCGCTCCTGGAATGCACAGTGGCCCGTGGCTTTGGCCTGGGGTAAGGTACCCGGGATCATGCCGTAGCTGACACGGAGCTGGGACAAGCATAAATGACGTGCCAATAATCTGTCTGAGATTGGACCTTTTTGAGGTCGTACGGGGTTCCTTTTTGCGGCCTTGGGTTCCGTCCCTCAATCGCGGTTTCGTGACCAGCCAAAGTTCAGCCCTGCGACCCCCGGTGCCCAGGAGGAGATGCATCGATGCAGGGCGATGGATGCCACGCGGGGCGCCACGCAAGCTGCGGCCCGTTGCTGTCCTGATGGTCGGCGCTGTCGAATCGGCTTCTGCACCCGCACTGACGAGCGCGCTACCACGTCATCATGCCGCTGGCTTGCCCTGGAACCTGCCCAATTGGTGTTTTTCGCTTTGCTCCGTGGCGTCAGCTCCAATGCCCGCGTAACTTGGTCGCCGGACAGCAAGGTGAGCACTCGAAACGTGCAAATGCAGACCGTAAGCTGGCATGATGTGTATGCACTTGGTCCAGATAACTTTTTCGATATATCGTCGCATTGGTGCTGAATTTAATGTGCGCCCGCACTCGCCAAATCAAGTCGTGCCATCCAACGACGGCCGATGGTGAGCGACAGCCTCACCTCGTCTTACGGAAGGAGCGAGCGCTCACCACTTGCCTCGCATCAACGTGCATCCACCAAATAGTCAACGGTCAGCCGTAATTGGCCGTAACTTTAATCGGACGACCATTTCGGTTCCATCACTATGGCTCAGATTGCCATTGCGCTCTGCCGTGCTGTGGGCAAGAGTCGCAATACGGCCAACCGGCGCCAGAGTCATGCGGAACCCGTCGATGGAATTTGACCTAGGGCTTCTTGCGGGCAAATTAGTTTAATGAAGGCACATGTTGCCCGCTTCGAGACTTTCTTTCCTGCGCATACTTGGCCTCAACCGGTGACCGTCTCTGAAGGCGATGTGCCGTGACAATCGCCAAGGGCAAGCCCTTTATTAACCTCATTAGGTTCCAACCGCACGTGTGTAGGATGGGGCCGCTGGGGCTACGGTGGGAAAGACCCTAGGCCGTTGCGGAATTGAACGCGCTTGTGAGGCGCGTCACGATGGAGCCGTCGCTGAGGACGCGCCTACGGGGCGGGGCGCGCGTCGCGCTGTCCGTCCAGAATCATTTTGGCAAGCTCTTCAGACACCAATGCGTAGAAATCCGTCATGCTGCACGCAGCCCGATGAGCTGGGTGGTAAATGATGACGGCGGAACGCCGAAGACGGTCATGGAGTTGAGACGTACAGTTCGCTGCTTTTGTTGCCCATCTGTGGCTCCCACTATGTCGCACATCCCGCTGTGCCGTGCTATGCAATTTTCAGAAAGAAGCTGCGTCTCCTTCCACAGCCTCCGACCGCCTACTGTGCGATTTGACAGTCTTCCACGGGAGGCCTACTATTGAACGTGTGGCATGCGCAGGAGTGATGTCCCCCCTGTGCCTTGCTCGTGACTGTCTCCTGATGTTGTGCCCTTGGTCTCGGCCGTAGTCTTCAACTTGAGGATGACATGGAGGAATCTTTGCGCCCGCGCGACTAGAAATCGTCGCATCGCAAACTGCATGTCTGGAAGTTAAAAGACAGACAGGTCCACGAACTCGCGTCTTCTGGTTCAGGTCTGTCACAAGTTCGCATTTGAAGCATTGCGTTCTTCGCAGGCAGTTCCTCAAGGTACGTCGCCGATTCTGTGGGCACTACCCTGGAGAACTGCGCTGAAGGGCAAGCCTCATGATGCAAGATCTTGTGGTGGGTGGGTGGTGGATGAAGTGGTGTTTGAGGAATATTGATGGTTTGGCAATGCCGTGTGAGTTGTGGGTTTTGTCATGGTGCCCAAAATGTGCTCGTTGTTGTGACTCCTCGAGTCGTGAGTTGAGGTCTTGGTGATGGTTCGCCAGCTTCATCACCACCCACCTGCCCAAGCCACCCCACCCACCAAACACGCGGCAAGAGCATGAGCACTGAAGAAAACCAGTAGATGACCTAGAAATGGAAGTCGGTGACTTGTTTGACCAGTCGTTGGCGGGATGTACCTGTTCATTTGCGCCCTCTCCCGTGGCCGCTCCCAGTCATGCTTGTTGACCTCTCCGGAAGGTTCTTATTCATTATTTCGTGCTCTGGATCATAACAAGTACAAGGCAACGTGCCAGAGTGGTTAATGGGATAGCCTCGAAATCTCGCAAGCTATTGACTTCGGTCGCACAGGTTCGAATCCTGTCGTTGTCGGACAATGAATCTGAGTATCTCCAGGTTCCTCCATTTTTTGGTGTCCCAGACGCCTGGGACGTCCTCACTTGCCTTTGGATAACTTTTTTTTTAGTCTCTCTGCACCGCACAATGTTCTTTCCCGTTTCGATTGCGATTGTTTCATTAATTGAATCGGGAGGGCTCAGCTGTCGTTGGTGGTGTGGGTGGTGGTGGTGCGCCCAGGGTTGTGGTGGAGGACTCTTGTGGAGACGTGGCGTCCTGGATGCCTCGGCTGATTTTTTCCCCCAGTGGGACACAAGGACACTTCCGTCCAGCTCCCAGGCTGATATCTGACAGTGGCAGGCGCCAAACAGTTTGACAGTTTGCTGCGCCAGCGCAGAGCTTCTGTCTGGTGTGACCATCCATGTCCATGAGACATGCCGGAGGCAACATATGATTGAAATTTTTTGATCCGGGGTTATTTTCATTCAAAGTAGAATGACCACGACATGAAGGAGAACATGATTGATCTCACTAAACATGCGAGTTCCCCACAAGCGTCCATGCCAGCGCGACAGGCTCAGCGCGACAACATGACTGGAGGCACCTACTTTTGAGTCCATCGCGGCGCTGTCAGCGCCGCGACGGGCACTGCACCTTGGACTGGAGTTTGAAGTGTTGCGTGCAAATGCGGAGACACTGTCATATCTGGCGTGTACCACTCGCCAGAGACCAACCGCCAGGTTCAGAACATGGTCTCGCCCTCGAATGCGTGTGATACTTCAGCGAGAACAATTGACGTTCAGCTGTTATCGCTTCGCCGCCACCTCGCGTACCAAGGTACTACCTTCTTGCGGCTGTCACACTCATAACCATTGATGTCTGTCTTGCCTGCGGCTCCTGCCGTATCTGCTGCATCCGCCGTGACTGCTGTGCCTGCTGTGTCTACTGTGTCTGCTGTGGCAGTTGTTTCTATTCTGTCTGTCGTGTCTATTATGCCTGCTGTGACCCTCGTGGCCGTCGTGGCTGTCTGTCGCATGAGCCCGCGATGGCCGTCGTTGCTTCCAAAGCCGCATGCCAAATAGACAAAAGTCCGCTGGATGAGTAGCTCTTTTCACAATGTACCAAATATCCATCCATGTTGTAAGCTGATGCAACTTTGCAGTGACTTCCGCTGCGAGGGGGGCAATCTCAGGGGCGGCGGCTCGGATCAATCGGACACTTGCCTGGCCATTTCGAGATCGTATGTGCAATTGTTAACAGTAGGAATACGGCGCACCATAGTTTCTAAATTGTGTAGCTCACTGTGGTAGTCCTTGGGGAGAGCAGGACGGCGGGGCGCGGCCATTCGTCAAGGGCTTCCAGCATGCCCAAAAGTTGCCAGCTGCTGACAGTTGCCGCCAGCTGTTCAAGCACCCCCTTTCGCACACGGTCACAGCTGCAGGCCAGCACAGCCGCCAGTATAAAATGCTCGCCTCATCGCGCACCTCTTTATGCTCTCTCTTTCCTCCTTCAAAGCATTTCGTGCCTTGGTAAGTCCAGCTATCTTCGCCGCGAGCCTCAACGCCCAACACCCCTGCCCCTTTGCTTTTATCTATATTGCCACTCTTCTTCTTCACTCTCCTTTCGCCCTTCTCCAGTCGCTTTTGCACCCGCCACGCACACCAGCAGGAGCCCAGAGTGATGCGAAACTCTGAGGCTTTGGCACTGCTGGCCAGCACATTCCGCGGCGATTCCCATGCCACGCCGACTCCATGTCCAGCTCATGCTCCCAGTCAAGTGAAAAGAGCGAGCACAGCCCAGCTCTAGTTACCCTTTGCACGCTCAAAGCCCGTTGAAACCTCTGCTTGCTTTCTTGGACCCCATTGGCACCGCACCTTTATGAAGTTTGCCTCGCTGAGAACATTCCTGGCCGATCTTACCACCACCTGTCCCGTGACGGCTCCAATCTGCTTGAATAGTTTTCGCTAACGGTACTTGAACTTCGCAGTAAAAAAACAATATTTTGACGGTAAGTATAGAACCTCATCTTCCCCAACAACAGAACCCAGTGCAAACTAACGCTCTTAAAACAGCAGAAAAGCTTTTTTACGTGAGTGCCATCTGGCTGAGTAGCAGCAGGGAAAGTTGCTAACTGATAAGCTAGAATCTTCAAGCCCATCGTCGCCGCCGCCGCCGCTATCGCCGCCGCCGCCGCCGCCATGACGGTAAGTTCACCAAGAGCATTCCAGGGCATCTCTTGTGGCCTATGCTGATCCGGAATAGTAGACCCCGCCTCCCCCCGCCGCTGCCGTCGCCGACGCCCCCGCCGACGCTACCGCCGTTGCCGCCGTCAAGGACGGCGACAAGAAGAAGAAGAAGAACAAGAAGAAGAAGGGCAATAGGTCCATCCGCTCGGAGTGCGGGCGGTGTGGCAAGTGGCACTCCGGGGAGTGCCGCTCTGCGGGTAAGTGAACACGAACCATGGTGCTTTGTAGGACATGGACATTGTGCACCGGATGAAGTGCTAACGCGTCAATCTAGCGAGAACGACTTCGGTCGTTTATAATTTCTTTGGTGTAAGTTTTCGTCAATGAAGCCTACCAATCTACGAGCGTATGACCTGCTAACAGAAACAATTACAGGTTGCCCCGGCTCCGGCTCCGGCTCCGAACCCCGGCCCCGCCCCGGCCCCGACCACCACCACCACCACCATCACCACCACCTCCGCCGCCGCCCACCGCCGCCGCCGCCGCCGCCGCAACGGGGGTGGGAGCAATCACCCCACCCCGACAAGAAGGCCAAGGCCAAGGAGGAGGAGAAGGAGAAAAAAGGGGAGGAGAAGCCTGGCGCCGGCAAGACGGCCTGATTTTTTTGTCCTTTTTTGTGGCGTTTTCTTCGCTTTTTTTGCGATTTTTTTTAACAAAAAAAAATAAAACGTTTTTGGGGGACTTTCCACGCCCCATGCGTGAAACTGTCTGGTGTACCTATGTCCTGCCAACATCGCAGGATTCGAACCTGTGCGACCGAAGTCAATAGCTTGCGAGATTCGAGGCTATCCCATGTTCCTCGGCTTGCCTTTCGTTTCCCGTTCTGCCTCAGTCTCCTTTATTGCTACTGTCGCCGCCATACCTCAGGTTCCTTCCGTGCCTGTCGTTCCTTCCGTTGCTGTCGTTCCTTTCGTTGCTGTCGTTTCTTCCGTGGCTGTCATTCCCCCCGTTCCTCACGTTCCTTCCGTGTCTCCTGGCTCCCGCTTCCACCAATTATGCAGAGGATGGCATAGCTGCGCAGAACGTAAGGATCCGCCCGGGCATCGCCCAGGCTCGCGAGTTGCCACCCTTGCGCGTTCATGTGCACGAGTTTTCCCTCGTGATTAAGGGCATCGACAATCAAGTCCATGCCGATGGATACCATCATCAGGACGACATTGCCTTTTGAAAGAGGCCATGCTTATAATCTTGGCAAATGGGGCTGTCAGACGTCTCAAGCCTCCTGTCGGTCCCAGGACCGCAACGGTAGCACAAGACGACATCTACGCCGACTAAGGCTTTTTATACACCCAGGCCTTTTGTCTCAACCGATCCGTTCAACGCCACGAACTCGCCATATGCGTCTGACTCAGCCAATTCCTCTTCTACACTCATGCCTTCCGTCATACCCCAGGTCACCAAGAGTATCAAGCCTATTCCTAAATCGGTCATGCCGTCCTCTACCCTCGAGGCCTTCGGCTTCATGAAGCAAAATTCCGGATCGGACATGTCTTCCGTCTTGACTCCGGACACAAATACCATCAAGCCTATCTCCCAATCGGACATGGCTTGCACTGCCACAATGCCTTCCGTCACGCCCAGGACAGTTGCCAGTATCAAACAGGGATCCAGTGATCTTCCAACTTGCCCCTTTTTTCACATGTGTGGGATCGCGTCAAAGCAGGACTATGGGGAGCTTACAGCGCTCCTAAAGAGCAAGCCTTGGAACGACCTCAGGGAGGCCACCTTCGTTAGATGCGAATCAAGGTATGCGGTGAGACTGGCCTTCAAATCGCTGGGCAGCGCCATGGCGGAGAGCGAGGCGACATTCAACGTGCGACTCCTTTCGTGCAAGCTACAACTTCTAGAAATCGCAACTTGGCCTTGATAAATAAAGTCGCATCAACGTGTCAAGAATCTGTGAATACCATCGTCGTCGTCCACTATTCAGGTGATGGGGGTGTGAGGCCCACTTCATCGGCAAATGTTCCCGCGTTATTCCCCAACTGGCGACGTCAGAGACAATGCAAGTGGGTTTTGGCGTTAGGACCCCGAAGCCACTGTGGAGATACCTGTCCACAGCCCAGCAAAGTCTGCCAAGTTCGCCACTCCTTCATCATGCGGTCAATAGTGTCTTACAGCAAGGTAGGACAGCGTGGCATTCGACGATGCAGAGTATTGTTCTTTTGATGCCTGTCTAAGACTTTGCACGCTCCGCCATGACGGTGACTGATCCAGCTCGTTTACTTACATGTATTGACGGACTCAAAGGGACGCAACACTGAATTGTCATACGTAGTGTCTTCTACTGTGCGCTTGAACCACTAACAGGGGACTTTGGAAGATTATTTATATAACTATTATTTGCACCATTTTGCATGCACCATGCACTGTGGAATTCTTGACCACTATATAGTGCATGTACTTGTTCATCCTGTGCTCAAGTTGGGACGCATCACATGTGCAACGTCAACGGTGGAACGCATGCATGATTCACGCCTCGGTGTTAAGTCAAACCCCCACGAGTTGAGACGTGGTGTAATGGCCTGGAAGTCCTACAGTAGTTGAAATGGGGTCAAATTGCCGGTAACGACGGCCAGTAGCTTTCAGTGCTCTTCGGGCGAAAGGTCGAAGAGTCGTTGCTGGACGACCCCAGTCGGATGTCGATGGAACATCATTGATGGATGCCATTGAGTGCACGTGAGGACATGACTGGGCACCTCCCCGGAGGTACCATGAAGCGAGAATTTCAAATTCTCCCGGAAGAGCCTTACATATTCAGATGAACCAAAAGGGGGAGGGTGGCGCTGAATGTTTGGCCATGTGGACGCCGGTTGCTCCCGTCGAGTCATGGCAGACGGGACGGCGGAGGCCGAGGACACCCACTCCGGACACAAAAGGCGGACTACTGTTTGATGTTGTCTTTAATCCACACAAAGAGCAGCCGCGTCGTCATAAAGGAAAATCAACCTCGCGACTAGACGCAGTCATGCCGTTGGAAGCCGTTGGCGGGTGCCACCCTGAGCTGACAGCGCATGCCGCCATCCCCCACCGCTGAAAGCACACTTCCTTGCTCTCACGTACCGAAGCAGACGGCCAAACAGCATGCTACTGGCTGTTTATGTCTCCGAGGCGTCGCGCTACAAAAAAGAAAGCAGCCCGGCCGCGTTGGCTCGATGCAGAACGGCCGGGAAAACCTGGCAGGCAATGTCTCACAACGCACAAAGGACTCCCGTGATGGTTCGGGTTCGTCTCGTGAACTGGCGGTCGCGCGTGATCTTGCGTTGGTGAGGCGGGAGTCATGTGGGAGTTGAGATGCTGCGGCCAAGGCGGCTTTGGGTGTGCGATGGTTCATGTTGTCGAGTGACGGCGCGTTCAGACGAAGATTACGATGCGGGGAGGGTGTAGGGACAACACGTTACGTCGTATCATCGGCACTTGGTGATGCGGGTTTGGTTTGTGCAGTAGATTCAAGTGATAGATCATGTAGAGGCGTTGCGGTGCAGCGTGGCTGCTTCATCTTGGTCATGAGCCAGATGCCGCGCGGCGCGGCTTACCCCCTGGACGTCCGTCCCTCAGCACCGCCGTCTCTAGAGGCCATTCTAAACATGCTGTCACGCCCAATGATATTCCTTGATGCTGATTTACACCCGGAGCTGCGAAATACACGTCCCTCCAGGTCGACGAGGCTTCATGCCCACGGCTTGACCGGTGAGTTGCTCCCACTCCCCGTCTCACGGCTCGTAGGCCTTGCCCCCACCAGCCAGTGCCGTCAGATTCTTGTTCCCCACTTTCAGGATCGTCTTCTCCTTGGGGAGGCTATCAATCAGCTTGTCCGGCAGCTTCAGGTGATCCTTGACCGTCTGCTTGGGCGTCAACGCCAGCCACTGGGCGACGGACACGTCGGAGAACTTGGGCGCCTGCAGCACCTCGAGGAAGACGAGGTCCTCTGTGCCCGTGTTCTCGACGTAGTGCGCCTCGGCCTGCGAGATGTAGCCCACGTCGCCGGCGGTAAAGTCAAATGTGCGGCCGGCGCTGGGGGCGTGGTAGATGGTCGCGCGGCCGGACCCCTGGAGGAAGTAGTCCCACTCGTCCGACGTGGTGTGCCAGTGCATCTCGCGCATCGCGCCCGGCTGGACCGTCACCAGCGCGGCGGAGAACATGGTCGCGATGGGAAAGGTGCGCGGGTCGAGGATCTTGACGCTGCCGCCGGGTACGTGGTAAGGCTCCTGCTGCGACCAGTGGTACGTGTAGGAGCCGTTGCCTGTCAGGAACCCACCCGGCGCGGTAATGTTCTGCTGCTGTATGTCCTTGGGCTGCTGCGTGCCGTTGAAAATGTACAGCTCGCCCTCGGGCAGGTCCTTGAAGGCGTCGACGTCGGCCTGGAAGTTCTTGGAGAGCACCTCGCGCGGGGTGCGGGCAAACATCTCGCTGACGAGAAAGGTGCCGTTCTCGTCAAAGTCGCCCTCGTCAAAGACGAGCAGGAACTCGACGCCCTTGTCAAAGGCCTGGATGGAGTGCGGCACGCCCGGCGGGAAGAACCAGACGTCGCCCTCGCAGAGGTCATCCGTGAAGGACTGGTTCTCGTCGTTGATGGCCGCGACGCGCACGCAGCCCTTGAGGACGAGCGCCCACTCGCCCGCCGTGTGCCAGTGCAGCTCGCGGTAGGCGTTGGGCGCGAGCTTCATGTCGACGCCGGCCATGCGCTTGGCGTTGGGCAGCACGTCGGTGTTTTGCTGGCGCGCCCAGCCGGAGCGGCCGCGGTAGCCGGGCCGGTTGTGGGACAGGCCGAGGGGCCACACGGCGTTGGGCACGGAGCCGGCGTCGGTGCCGGGCGGCGCGAAGAGGTCCGGGTTGAGCTTCTCGTACTGGAACGTCCGCGGGCCTGGGTCGACCTGCCCGTAGTCGCCGCGGATGGGCTGCGGCTCGTCTACAGAGTTGAGGTCCAGGTAGAGGCCGAGGTCGGCGTCGGCATCTTGTCCGTTGACGAGCTGCGGCTTCTCCGGCAGCTGGGCCGTGTCTGAGTCGACGTCGGGGAGGCGCGCGTTGCCCCCTAGGAGGCTGCTGCCGCCGTAGAGGCTGCCCGAGGCGGCCGTCGCGGTGGGTATCGGGGGCGTGACGCCTCCTACAGGGCCTGTGTTCCCTCCATATTTGAGTCTGTCTGTGTGAGACCCGTACATGCATCGAAGCGAGGGGAGGGAACTCACTGGGGTGCTGCCGAGGCCAGCTGGGCCAACAGCAGGGCTACCGCGGACGATTGAATGTACATGTTGCTGGTTCGGCTCTGGCGCTATTCTTGCATCAACTACGCTCTATCAACAGGCGAATCTGCTGCAATTTATATGTCTTTCCACGTCGTCCTCTCCACGGCCCTGCCGTAAAGCGCATTCATCATTGACTCCGGGCATGGCCCGAGCCGCCTCACTGCCGGACTATCCGAACGAGCCTGTGTCTTTTGCGTACGCATTTCGCCAATGCCGAAGGCGAGTACGCACCGTCCATGGAGTCGCCGGAGTCAAGATGTAGGTCCCGCCGCGACAGGGCGTCTCACCGGATGTCGTGACGTCAACGGTATAGATCTGTGCAGGCACCGGAGAAGCGGGTCGCCGCTGTTGATCCAAAGCCAAATCCCACTGTGCCACGCCAAACCTGCGTGCTGTTTACTATTCCATTAGGCTCCGTCTCGCTGGTTGGACCGCGAGGCGTTGCCGTCTTTTGCCTGCGGAGGGGTTCGGCAACGTGTCTCGGGCTGCAGTTGTGAGCGTTGTCACCGACTGGTAGCTCGGTCAGTTTCCACCAAAACGTCGCGGCATATCGGCCATGCGATGCACGTGAGACTTGGGAGGCTATGCTGTGCTACGCTCTGCGCGGTAGTGGCCGACTCAACAAAAGCCGGCTCTGCCCTGATGAGGTTGCATTGAGCCGCGCATGCACCGGATTTGCGGCACGCAGGCGAATGCAAGCGCTCAAAGATGCCGAGAAAACGGCGAGGCAAATGCTGTCGCAAAGGCCTCCGCTGGTATCGATATATCGTTGGAAAGTCGCCGCTCGGATTTGATGATGCAAGACACGATTGTACACTCACGTCATTCGCATGAAGCCGGTGACCAACGAGACTTGCGACTGCTTATTTCTCCGGCGTAACTTGATATAAAGACTCGGCTCCGAGCTTGACGGACATGCCTCGGGGTTTTGTCCCAATGTTCCAGGTTGACCGCGCAAAACATTCTCGGAAGCTTTCCGATCGCTCGGGGATTGTGTGCGCGTCTTCATTCAATCCTTTGTCAGCTAGGCAAGCATGGAGAGTCGGCGTCGATGATTGCCAGTCATCAGCGAGCTGGATCACTGCGCAAGCAGCCCGGTCAGACACTCTAAAAGATCCGGGTGTTTGCGCTTGGCCAACAATTCCACCACAAGCATCACACGACTCCTGGCTGGGTCCCAGTGCACGCCGACTGGCAACGCCTTTTGATGTTGGCGGTTCGGAACCGGCAGATCCCCAAGGAGACGCGTGCCTTGGCTGCATCAGCGATTCTCTAATAGCACCGCAAAATGCCCCAAAGATGTTGCCCATGTGCATGGGGAACGTCGCCCCGGGCCAAAGGCGCGTGTCGTTGAAGCAGGCCAGCGTGCTAGCTTCCTCCGCGACGATTGCCCATTCAACGTCACATCTGAGGCGGGCCGGAGGATGTCAGACACCAGTATTTAATTGCATTAATTGCAATTTATGAGACGCGCGTGCGGATTGTCGGGAGGAGAAGAAGCGAGAGGTGTATAGACCCAATGCGTCGTCAATCGCTCCGACGAGACGTGCCGTCGGCATGATTGTCGTCGGTGCAACATTCTGGAAGCGGCTAGGAGCCGGAGAGACAATGGGAACTTTCTGTGCTCTCAAGTGATTGCTGTCACGGATTGAATGCCTGCGGCGCCTGGCTCATCAAAGGCAGCGCCTGGCGACATCCAAGCACAAAGTTACAACCTACAACCAGGTTTATAGCGCCCGAGTCGGGCCTTTCGCGCCGATCACGGCGGGAGCGGGAGCGTGTTTCACGATTCCATCTGGAGCACAACGGCGAGAAAACCACGCGGGGACATCCATCAGGGGTAAACGGTCAGCAGCTGCAGTGGGGTTCTTCCTGGCCGTGAGCGAGCGCGCGCAGGAGCGTGTGGGGGACTCCTGTAAGAGCAGCTGAAGGCAGACAGGGGCAGTCGAGGAAACACAGCCAACCAGACCGGCGGCCTGGACCTCGGAGAGGAAACGGATCTGGGAGCCGGCCGACGTAGCCGTTTGTGCCTCGCCCCGGATCGCCGTGGTGGACCATGGTTGGTCAACCCCCAACGGCCGCCATCACACGCGATGCGGATTGCGGAGGCCGAAGGATCCAGATGCCCCTGACTAGAGCCCAGGCCCCGGGGGGTCCAAACCAAACCAAAGTCCAGAGGCTGCAGCAGAGAAGCAGCTCCTCTGCGGCTCGAGAGTAAGCACCAGGGGCAGAAAATAAACTCGTGCAGTTTGCAGTGCAAGAGGACCGGAGGGGAGGAAGAGGGAACAGGGGCTTGGGGGCAGAAATCAGCCCTGCGGACATGCAGCGCGGCGCTCAGCCGCAACTCGGGTGCCTATAATAAGGAACGCCAACGAGCCGGCGATGTGGCTGATGCATCTCTTGGCAATGCAGCTGACGAGCGCATCGGACAGACTGTTTGTGTCTGTGTTCATGTCTCTCGTCTGTCTGTCTCTCTGTTCGTACGTACACACAGGCCTCACTCGCGTTTGGCACATGGCTCGACACATGGTCAACCGCCTCGCATGCTGCCGCCGTCGTCGAGGGCCCGCCTGACCCCTCCTCAGTTGTTTCGGCTGCTGCACTGCACTCCTTGCGCGCGCGAGCGATGGACGCGACGATCATGGCTCCTCCGCCTGCAGGCAGACAGACCATCCATCCAGGCGGGAAAAGCAGCGCAGGCAGGGCCCCGTGGCGCCCACGCGCCCGCCCAAACAGGCATGTCAGTCGGACGTGAGACGACGGCGGGCACTTACACTCTCTCCAATGAGCGGCGGCCATTACGCTGCCGCTTGCGCACTGCCCGCCGGGGGGCCAGAGTGCCCATGCATGTTCCCCCCCGGCTGGGGCCCTCCCTGCCGCCGCGCTGAAGAAGGAGGGCCTTTGCGGCCAATGGCGCGGCGCAGACGCGGGCATGTCTTCTTCTGCGGCGGCACCCGTGGCTCCGATAGTTCACGACGCCATTAGGTAGCTGTGCCTGCCTGCTCGCGTTTGACCACGGAGGAGACGAGATGCCCTGCGGCGTCGTTGTGGGACAATGCCGCAGAAATTCGCTCAAAGAAAAAGGGGGCCGGGTAAGAGGCGAAACAAACAAGAAGAAAAAAATCCATCCGAAAAATCCGAGGGGGGAAAAAAAAATGCTGATTGCCGACCCGGCCCGCGTTGTGAATGGTCATGATGTCGAGTCGCGCGCTTACAGAGTCAGTCGGCGGCCCACAATGTGCCTTGCTGCTTGTAAGCGGCAAGCGGAGACCGTCGATGAATGCCCCCGTGTAAGTTGCTTCCACGGCGTGTAAGTGGCCACAGGGCCCAAATGCGCGCACACCAGCTTTGGCCCGCCACTGCGGCGATTGCAAGCCAGGCGAGAAGAGTAGTCAGGGGGGCCAGACGCCTCAAACGGGCAATCGGAGAGGCAGAAGGGGGGGAGGACCAGCCGGGGGGCCACAGCAGAGCAGGCTGCATGTCACCGCCCGAGTCTGGCGCCTCCGTGCCTTTGTGGCTTTTGGGGCAACTCCCGAGATGGTTGCCCTCCTTCTTTTCTGACTCGGCACCGACAAAACGACGAGCCATCCATCACACGTACCTTGGTAGTGTGACTGTGCATGCGGGCCCCATGTCACGTCTCCTGGAGTTTGCATGTCGTCGTCTACTGGGGCCTCAATGGAGAGGTCCGTCTGCTGCCGGTTAGCGCGGCATACGACGAGTCAACATGACCCAGCAGAGCGGGCGGGCGGGCGGCGACGCGATGGAGATGCGGGTGGGTGGTGGACGACGACAAAGAAGCCGCCCCCTGGTCAAGCAGTAGCATCATCCATCTGCGGGTGCGAAGTGCGGCTGCCGGGCGGGTAAGCCTCACGGCGTCCTCGCGTCTATAAGTATGCCCCGTCTGCCTGTGCCGTGGTCGTGATGACCCGAATCCCCTTCAGCACGCAACGAGCCAGTCTCTTATAACCTTCTCTCTTTCTTCATACACTCAAGGTCCCTGGCGGATCTGTCCATTCCCTCCTTCAAGCCTCGCTTCATCAGACAAGCCGTGGTCAACACCCTTTCCCTCCTGTACATATATACACCACCTGTTTGTTTTCTCAGACGCTCCCTTGCACACACTCCTTCACGATGCACTCCGTCGCTTCTTCCCTCGCCTGCCTCGGCCTCTTGGCCACCTCGGCCCTGGCGGCCCCCTTCAAGAGCACCGTCGCCCGCGGCGCCGGTGGCGGCAATGACAGCGCCGCCCAAAACGTCGTCTACTGGGGACAAAACGGCGGCAGCATCACCGAGAACAACGACCTGGCGTCGTACTGCACCAAGGAGGCCGGTGTCGACATCGTCGTCCTCTCCTTCATCTACCAGTACGGCAACGGCCAGCTGCTCCCCGGCGGCACCATCGGCCAGTCGTGCAGCATCACCAACGGCCAGGCCACCGGCTGCGACGACCTCGCCAAGGCCATCGACACGTGCAAGTCCAACGGCGTCAAGGTCATTCTCTCCCTCGGCGGCGCCACCGGCGCCTACTCGCTCTCCTCCCAGCAGGAGGCCGAGACCATCGGCCAGAACCTGTGGGACGCCTACGGCAACAGCCAGAGCCCCGCCGCCTCGCGCCCCTTTGGCAAGACGTTCGTCTCCGGCTTCGACTTTGACATTGAGAGCAACAGCGGCAACGGCTTCTACGAGCACATGATTGCCAAGCTGCGCTCCAACTTTGCCTCCGACTCGGCCAACACCTACTACATCACCGGCGCGCCGCAGTGCCCGACCCCCGAGCCCAACATGAACGAAATCATCACCAAGGCCCAGTTCGACTACCTCTTCATCCAGTTCTACAACAACCCGGGCTGCTCCGTCGACGGCGAGATCAACTGGGACGCCTGGAAGTCCAACATCGCCAACGGGCCCTCCGCCAAGGCCAAGCTCTTCCTCGGCGTCCCGGCCTCGCCCCTCGGCGCTACTGGCACCCAGAGCGGCGCAAAGTACTACCTCGAGCCCGCCAAGCTGGCCACCCTCGCCAACAAGCTCAAGACGGACGGTGTCTTTGGCGGCATCATGATGTGGGCTGCCGGCTTCTCTGACGCCAACGTCAACAACGGCTGCACCTACGCGCAGGCCGCGAAGCGCATCTTGACGACTGGCTCGCCGTGCTAAGCGCTACGCTCGTTTATCGGCTCTCCGAGACGTGCCTCTCTTTTTTGGTATCCGTCCAGAGCGGCCGCTGGTCCAGACCCAACTTTTTCACTTCTTGAACATATTTGGAACTTTTGAACATGCTGGACACTCACTTGCATGATATACGCATATACACGTGCATGGATCCACGGCCACAGGTCCGTGCTTGGATGAGGAGTTGGGGCACAGATACCAATCGTTATACACCATCTTCAAATTGAACGTATCATATCATGTCAAGTTTTGAGGGTCGAGACTGCGCGTGGCCATGTGCAGATGTAGTGACTCAAAAGTGACATGAGTTGCGCTCGTTGCTGTCGTTGCTGTCGTCGCTGTCGTCGCTTCGCAGATACATGTAGGTAGACTTCTCTTATTTCTCGCACGTTAAGACTGCACGTTTACAAGCGTGTATTGCTACGTGTATCCTCATCCATATCCACAGGCCCATATTGAGCCAAGGTGTTCATCCGACAGCCTCAACAGTCTCGAAGTGGCTCGCGCCCTCCGCCTTCTCCCCCTTCCTGTACTCGACCCGCTTCTCAATAATGGCCGCCGTGTTAACCCTGTACTTGCCGAACCAAACAATGTACGGAGCTGTCACGAACAGCTCGTCCAGCTCCTCGAGCGTCAGCCCCTGCGTCTCGGGCAGGAAGAACAGCGTGATGAGCGTGCTAAACGCGCAGAGGCCTGCCACTCATCAACAACGGGGCTCCACATACGCTGATGGGGAGAACTCACCGGCGTAGTAAAAGTAGGTGCGGTACTCTATCGCGACAAACAGCAGCGGCGTCGTCTTGGACACGCACAGGTTGTACAGAAACGTCAGCGCCACCGACACGGCGGCCCCCTTGGCGCGCAGGTTGGTTGGCAGTACCTCCATCGGCACCCACCACCCGCAGGGGCCCCAGCTCGCAACGTAGACGCTGTAGAAGAGCCAGATGAAGAGCACGATGAAGCCGTGCGGCACGGCGGCCGTGGTTGCCGTCGCAGGGTAGAACTTGAGGAGCAGGCCGATCATGAGCCAGAGGCACGTCATGGCCGAGATGCCGGCGAGGAGGACGCGCCGGCGGCCGAACCTGTCGAGGGTGTACAGGGCGGTCAGGGAGACAATCGTTCCTGCGATCGAGCGATGTTAGATGATTCGTGCATGACTGGCGAGGTGCATGTACGCACCTAGGGTGGTGTTGCCAGCGTTGAGGAGAATTTGGGAGTGAAAGTCTTTGATGCCGGCGCTCTCAAAGATGGCAGGGGCATCTGCGTCGGGTCAGCTCAGTTCACAACCCAAGACAGAGCACGCGGCATGGACTCACAATACGTGATTGCGTTGATCCCCGTAAACTGTTGAATTCCAGGCAGGACCAAAGCCAGAGCAAACCTCCTGAGGTTTGGGCCCGGGCGGAGCAGCTCCAGCCAGCTGCTCTTGCTGGCCAGGGCATATTCCTCTTGCACCGTGTCGTGGATCTGAGCGGCCTCGAAGCGCACCAGCGGATCCGACTCGTCGCCATCAGCTGCAACCCTGTCAGCGACGCAAAGCCTTCCTTTTTACTCTCCCACCCTGGAGACGCACCATGCAGGTTCGCGAGAACCTTGAGGCTGTCCTCGCCCCGGTCCTTGAGCGCCAGCCACCTTGGCGAGCTCGGCAGCACATACACGCCGTACATGAGAATCACGGAGCCGACGTACTGGCACGCAAAAATGAGCCGCCACGACGTCTGCCCCGCGACGTAGCTAAACGCAAACGACACCCACGCGATGAGCGCAAAGCCCAGGTCCTCCATGACGTTGGACAGGCTGGTGTAGCGGCCGCGGCGGTGCGCGGGCGAGATCTCGCTCAGGTAGAGCGGCGTGTTGTTGGCGACGGCGCCGCACCCGATTCCCGAGACGAGGCGCCCGACGTACAGCATGGGGATGTTGACGGCCGCGGTGAGGAGCGTCGCGCCGACGGTGAAGATGGCCACGCCGGTGCCGATGACGGTCAGCCGACCGAGGCGGTCGGAGAAGCAGCCCGCCAGGAAGGCCCCGACCATGCCGCCGACGATGAAGAGGATGACAATGTTGCCCTGCTCGTTGGCGTCCGGGTTATCCTAAGACACGGCACGGCACCGGACGGTCAGCGGACGGGTTTTCCGGATCGGGATGGAGAGGGTGGCCGTGTAAGTCGGCATGAGTGACGGCACATACAAAGTACTCAGTGAACTGCGGCAGCGCAAAGGCGTTGGCGACGACCGATTGGTCGAAGCTGCGTTGCAGTCAAGTCAGGATGCATGTACGAGGATGGATGCAGCGATCGACTTGCCCGAAAAAGGTACCGCCAAAGGCGGCGAGGATGGCGCATCGCTTAAAGTACCAGCTGGTGCCGCGATGCGTCTCGGGGAGGGACGACGGATCCTCCATGGTCGGGTCTGCTCTGGGTCTTGCGGGTGGCAATGTCGGTGATCCGGAGCCGCTCGTATGACCTTTCCGAATTACACGCCATCAAGGGCGTCTTTATATACTGAGGCTCGCGGGCAACGATAGCTCACAGCCGTGGTGTAAGTGCCCCGTCTCCATCTCCATCATCGGCATCCCCACACTCAACCCCACGATGCGGTGGAGCTTGGGACAAGCTTCAACCGAGCCGAGTCCGGGGAACAGCGCTAGAGCGTCGTAACGCCCTCCAATTGCAGCCAGAGTCGGATGTCGTCCGCTCGTCGTCGTCGCGACGCTCCCCCAATGAGGGCGCGAGGCCAAGTCGCCGCGGCGGGAGGCGTTCCGTTGTCGCAACGCTGCGTAACGCCCGCCGCGCGACTGGACTGAGATGCGCTGGAGGAGGGGGGAATAGCCACGGTAATGATGAAGCTATAGCCTAAACGAGGGGCGACAGCTGACCTAAAAGGTGGACCGTCCCCGAATGCCGAGCGCCCGTGAGGGAGACCATCAGCTGGCGGTGCTTGTCTGTGAGGAATCGGGAAGGGCATAAATAAGGTTGAGAGACGACATGGAAAGAGGCGAGAAGTCAACCATCGAGAGACCCAAAGCGTCGACACCGCAATGGCCACCGTCACCATGACCGTTGAGAGACCGCCCATCGCGGTGGGATCGAACCAGGGCAAGATTGCCTCCCAGAACCTGGGCTGGATGCGACCGACTACGACCGACACTCCGCTGGAGGAGATGAGGGAACGGCTGCGACAGGACGGATATCTCTTCGTCAAGAATCTGATTCCCAGAAAGGACGTCTTGCGCGTGCGCAAAGAGTGAGTCCAGCCCCAGCACGAGACTACGGCAGTAACAGCGTCGCCTGCCCGCCCAAGTGTCTGACTTACACTGACACCTCGCGACCCAGCTACTTCCAGCGCTACGCCCCGACGGGTATCCTCGAGCCCGGCTCCGACCCCGAGGCGGGCGTCTTCAACGGCGGCGAGCCCGCGTCCTCACACGGGGGCATCGGCGCGGGCGAGCTGCCGCCGACGGAGCTGCAGGTGCGCACCATGACGGACGCGCACAAGACGCCCGAGTACCTGGCCTTCCTCGAGCACGCCAACCTGCGCGGGTTCGTGCGCGAGCTCATGGGCTGGGACAGCGAGGTGCTGCTGCGGCGCACCATGCTGCGGCACAACGTGCCCGGCGGGCTGAGCACCGCGGTGCACTACGACAAGCTGTTTCTGCGAGGGGGGGAGGCGTATTTCCTGACGGCCTGGGTGCCGATAGGTGCGTGGCCTCATCGTCCCTGTCATCCCCTGAATGAAGCCCAGGATGTGTGTCTGTCTGTGAGAGTAATGTCGGCTGACCGCGGTGAGCGCATCAAGGCGACATCTCGCAGACAGGCGGCGGCCTCATGTACCTCTCCGACTCGACCTCGCTCGGGCGCTCCATCGAAGACGACTTTACGCGCCGCGCCGCGCAGCTGACGCCCGAGGAGCGCATCAGCGCCTTCAACGTCAACATGGAAAAGTACGGGCAGCTGTCGCACAACGCGGCCGAGTTCGGGGAGGCGCACCGCGACGACGGAAGCCCGGGAGGCAAGCCGCGGCGCTGGCTGGTGGCCGACTACGAGGCGGGCGACGTCGTCTTCCACGACCCGTACATGATCCACACGAGCACGCGCAACGAGGACGCGGCGCGGCGCATCCGGCTCAGCACGGACTTGCGCTTCTACCGCGAGGGCAGCGACCTGGACGCGCGGTGGATGAAGTTTTGGACGCCGGGCGACGGGCTGTAGGGGGACACATTGATGAAGGGGGGAAACAAGTCGAGGTCAAGATAGGGGCTGGGGGTTGGTAGGAGAGGCAACGGGAGGCTTGATGATGTACATGACGATAAACTACAGAATGGAACACAGCCTCCGAGCGTGGCATTAACCAAGAAGAATCGCCGCATCGCCACTCGCCTCTTGTATAGCCGCCGAGTCAACGAGCCGCCCACGCCCCCAGTGCGTCGCGGCGCTGCGCCTCGCGTCCTCGACGACCCTCATGTTCTGCCGCTGCTGCAGCCGCACAAACACCTGCTCGACGAGCGTCCGGTCCGACGCCGAGCGCGCCTGCAGCGCGACCGTGTACAGCGGCCACGTCAGCGTCGACATGGTCCCCGAGAGCACGCACACGCGCAGCAGGCTGTCGAACGCGCGCCGGTACGTCTCCTGCAGGAGCGCCGCCTCCTCTGCGCGGCGCGGGGGTGAGGCCTCCGTGTCGCCGCTGGCGCCGTCGAGGAGCGTTGACGAGTAGAGCGTCAGCAGACTGCTGTACTTGTACGTCTGGGCGATCTGCACCATGGCTTCGGCGTCGACATCGGTTGTCGTCGGATGTGGTGGCGGGGGAGGAGGCGGCGGCGATGATGATGATGAGGATGAGGATGAGGACAACGACGACTCGTCAGGGGCGGCGCGCTCGATGGACCACGACCGCAGCTCGCGCTCCAGCATCTCGGCCTCGCACGAGACGCACTCGCCTTGATGGTGTCGCGCAAGCAGCTCCGCCAGGCGCTGCATCATCGGCCAGAGGCTGCCCGTCAGGCCAAACGTCTCGTCGACGCCGGCCGCGTCGATGGGTGAGCGCAGGCGCAGGCCGAGCGGCGCCTCGCGCAGCGACAGCGCAATCATGACGTCAAAGTAGAGAAAGACCTTGCATAGGAAGCGCATGCGCGCACTCGGCTGCGGCTGTTGTCCGTCGCTGCCCTGGGCCAGGGACGGGTCCGTGTCGAGGATGGCCTTGGCTCCGCGGAGATGGCAGCGCGCGGCGCGGACCGAGCTGCCCAAGACGACCTAAATAGTTTACCGTTGTTAGCCATCTGAGCTTCCCGTCTTCAGTCATCTGCAATGTCGGCGACGGCATACCTCGTAGTAGATGAGCAGCAGGCTCGCCGTGACGAGCTGCTCGCGCGCGTCCCCTCCGAGCTCCCCGCCGCCGGCGCGCACGCAGTCCCCTAGCTGGCGCAGCGTGTCGAGCTGGAGCGTCTGCGCGCGCAGCTGCGGCTCGGCGCCCAGGCCGTGCAGGTGCGCGGCGGCAACGGCCTCGACGGCGGTGCGCACGAGCGTCGACGCCGACACGAGCGGCAGGACGTGCGCGAAGAAGGGGTTCTGCGCGCCGCACGGCGCAAACGAGATGAGCCCCGCGACGATGGAGTGGAAGTGCGCGACGAAGCCGCCGTCGGTGCTGAGCGCCAGGCTCGCGGGCACGCCGCGCGGGTTCGTGTTGGCGATGCTGCCCACCGCGCTCACGGGAGCCTGTCGCAGCGGGACGTAGGCAGAGGCCTGGATTCACAGACGCGACGTGTCAGCTCGTGGCCCTGTTGGAGACGGACGTATATGATGAGACGCGGTCGACGACGACGTACCGAGCTGCCGCGGCGCTGCGACTTGGGCGTGCTGTACACGCAGGGGATCCTGCGGTCAACGCAGGCCTGGCACGAGGGCCGCTCCTCGTCGCACTTTTTGCGTCGGTTACGGCTGTCGTTTATCAAAAGTCAGCGTCAGCGAACGTCGCGTCCTCCGGCCGGGCGTCAGCCGGCGAGGGAGACACGGAGGGAAAACGCACCAGGCCTGGCAGCCCCATCTCGAGCGTCGCGCGGTCGACACGTATATCGTCAGGTTGTCGCCCATTTGTCGCGTGAGCCCCTCGGGGGCGGCATGACTGTGCGCAGGCGAGCGGCGGCGGATGGACGATTGATGGCGAGTCTTGCCGAGACGATGATGAAGGAGATGACGAGATGGTGAGATGGCGGGATGATGGGAAGCCGGATGACGGCGACGACGCCCGCCGCCCCGGGCGTTGACGACGGCGAAGCTCTCGGCTGAATGCGTGTGGTGGAATTCGGGAATCCCGACCGCTCCCATTAGTTAGTCGTCAATCGAGATGAGGGGGTGACGGAAGGCCGACCCCGGCCGCCGCCCACAGTATCGTGAGGCGCCGCCGCCGCCACCATATGACAGGAGAGAACCGAATTGTGAGTGAGTGAATGTGTGTTACCCAAGGCGAGTTCATGTAGTATGTACGGATTGATGAGTTGCTGAAATTGAGTCGAGTTTTGGCATTGGACACTCGTCGCGTGGGCTCTGACATGGCCACCGTCTCACCAACATGACGCTCGCTTGTGCCTTGATAATCGCCAGAAGATGAGTGTCATTCATTCCCTCGTCTGTAGTGCGGCCGGATCCGAATTTCTCGAATATGTCTCGTCTCATTCAATATAGACCCGAATCGTCTGGCCGCTCATGTCGCCTGGTATATACAAGAATGTAGTCCATGTCCATAACCCATCATCCCGTCGTAACATTGGAACCCGTGATCCGTAACTCCGCCCAAAAGTCCATCCATCCATGATCCATTCATCCATCGCTAACCCGCAGGAACATTACAATATCCATCTCGTGGCGCAAGCAACACCCAAGAAAAGCGACAGGACGTGAAGCATCAAGCTCACACGCACTTTGCATTCTTCTCGGAGTGGTCGTTGCCGCACCACACAAAGATGCGCGAAAACGACGACGACGCCGACGTCTGGTTGCGCTCGTTGCACCAGTACCCCACGTAGCCCTCGTTCGTCGCGTTGTTGCAAAACGACAGGCAGCACGACGTCAGCCGCGGCCGCCACACGTAGCTGTGGATGTCGAACTCAAAGTCGGTGCCCTTTTCCTTGGTCACGATGTCCGTGTACGCCCCGGAGAAGTTGTCCCGCGCGAAGCCCTGGAAGGCCAGCCCGTTGCCCGGCACCGTCATGTTGTTGAGGAAGATGGGCGCGGGCGTGTGCGTCGGCGTCGCGCTCGAGGATGTGGCGGACGTGGATGTCGGTGTTGTGGAAGCGCTGCGCGGCTGGGTTAGCAACCTCGTCTTGTTGTCGGGGATGCACGAGCCTTACCTTGCAGTTGTGCTCGTCGCTGCGGGAGCCGAGCTGTCCGACTTTGACTTTGTCGATGCGACCGCACCTCCCACGCCGCCGCCCACTGCGGCCGCGACAATGATGAGGAGCACGGCTAGCAGGATGAGGAACCCCTTGCGGCTCATTCCCAAAATCTTCTTCTTGCCGCCGCCCTTTTCAGACGGAGGCGGCGGCAACGAGGCTCCCGCCCCCGCGCCCCCTATCGTGGACGCTCCCGCCGCCGTCGACGGCTGCCGCTTGTGGTGCTCCGAGTGGCCGTCGTCCACCGTCGTCGAGTTGTCTCCCCACGGCGCCGAGTAGTTTGTGCTCGTCGCCGTCTGCGGGTACTGCCCGTGCTGCATCTCCGAAGGGACGACCACCTTGGCCGTCTCGTCAAACGGCATCACCTCCTTGGCCGTATCGTCGTTGGGCACCATGGGGTGCTCCGCCGCTCTCCGCTCCAGGTACTGGCGCTTGTATTCCTGCTCCAGGTTGGAGACGTGCGTCACGGGCGACTGCGCCGCATAGTGCACCTCGGGGGCCTGCTCATGGCGGTCCAGCGGCGGCGACGATTGCTGGTGCTGGTAAAAGGGGTTGCTGTACGGCGGGCTCAGTGCCGAGACCGGGCTGATGAAGTTTTGGTACTGCTTTTCGGCGTCGTCATGGCTGTAGCTCGTCATGATCACGCTCAGACATCCAGTGGTCACTGCTCCCTAAAAGGCGGTCGTGTCGTGGTGCTGGGATTGGCGACGGGGAGATGCTGGGCTACGCTGCTGCGCTGGGTCGGTTCAACGAGCGATTGACAGTCACCGAGCCGCGAATGCGGGACACGCAGGAGGCCAGACAGTTTTGTAAGTCGCTCATCCAGCCTCTCATCCTCGCAGCGGCGAATAAAACACCAGGACGCCCGTCTGCGTCAAGGCCCCTTTCATGTCTGGCTGTCTGCCGACAAGCCGCCTGCACGGGCTCTCGAGCTTGCAACCCTGACTTGCCTGAGCAAGGGCAGGGCTGAATCACAGCCAGAGAAGCTCCAACGAGGCACGCCGGCATGACATCAAAGGGCCTGCCCCCCCGGGAGATCACTGCGAGGACCAGGTAAGACGGAGGAACAGTTGTCGTGGATGGAGCAGCGATCGGCGCAGGAGCCAGACACGCTCTGGCTCTCTGCCGGGGTCCATTCGCCCGCTCAAGGCGTTCTTGTGCCTGGCCGGCCCCTTGATTGGCAGACGGCATCGTCGAGCAGGGTGCATCGTGGGCTGCGGGCATGAGACAGGGTGTGTGGGGGCCAACTCAGCTTGGGGACTGGGGGAGCTGGCGATGGTGCCTGGGCCTGCTGGGCTTCGAGTAGAGTAAGGCCTCAGCCGCACTGCGACGCTGAGGATGAGGACGTGCGCATGGCACACGACGAGGCTCTGAATTGGGGACGAGAGAAGGTCGCAACGGCTTCCATGTCGTGAACCCTGAGATGAAAGATTGTGGCGAAACAGCGTGGGTGGGACGGCAGGAGATGAGCAAGTGGCTGCCATGAAACCTGTTGTCGACGATGAACCTAGGGCGCCACTGAAGCTTTCGCGCAGATGCTAACGGCCCGCCCCGGAATATTGGTCTCTCCAACTCCAAGGTCCAACTCCACCGGAGCGCCACTTGCTAAATAAAGGCCCGCCCGGCATCTGGGGGCTGGCGGGCATTATCGCTCACCAAGAGCCGGCACGTCTTTCATTGACGGGGTGCGTCTTGGCGGAGCTGGACCCTGGGGGGAACAATGGGTGCTTGCTCCAGTCGCTGGTGATGCGATCCATACGATCGGATTGGATCGGGCTGACTGCTGTTGCTGACAGGGGGTCAAGCGGGAGCCGCGATGGGATCGTGGGCTAAGCCAACGGCCTGGTTCGCCTTTCGTTGGTTCGTGGCGTTTGCCACAGGGCTGACCGGTTTCTCTTGGGCTTCCTCTTTGCCTTGGGTCTGCAACGGTGACCGAGAAGCTGAACAGGAAGCGCGAACATGTCCAAGTTGGGTACAGTCAAGACGGGCTGCTTTGTGAATTCTGAGACGAGGGTCCTCTCTATGTCTGGTGTCTTTCACTGCTAACAGTTTGGGATAACGCCTAGTTGTTGGGACCCTTGGGAGATTCTCCATTCGCAGCAGAGATTTGCGGCGCAAGTTTTTGTCAATGGTCTGCCGACCTACTGCGTTGATTGACTGTGCCCATATACAACGTCGAATGTGGCGGGGTGACGCCAGTGCTCAACCGATCCCTCAGCTTGAAGGACCAACTCCACGGGTTTACGAGTGGGCAACCATGTGGCACAGGAGCAACAAGATTGGTTTCACTGCATCATATGAGTTGCCAGCCCATCTCACGGGGCGCAGGAGGGGCAGAGAGCGACGTCGACTCGAATGCCTCGACTCCGAAGGCAGGCATGTCCTCATTTTCGACCGTCGCCTTAGACCAAAAGATACAAGCCTCCGCCCTCCTTCATTCTCATGCCCCCTGAGACTACAGTTGCTTCTGCTCGACCTCCTCGACCCTGCGCTCCAGGTCCTCGCCGGCAGCGAACCGAGACGAGTCCATGGTCGGCACAAAGAGCGGCGCCTCCGTAAACAGGTGACGCATCTCCTCGAGCGGCCGCTTCGCCGTCTCGGGCAGAAACGCCCAGAAAAAGACGGCATTGGTAAAGTTGCACACCTACAGACCCGTATTAGTCTTGTATATGAACAGACGTGGCGAGCAACTTACAATAAAGACAATGTACCACCGCCACCCGATGCCCGTCTTGTCGTCCAGGGCCACCGACGTCGTCTGCCCAATCATGGTGTTAAACGCAAACGACACCATGGTCGCAATGGACACGCCCTTGGAGCGCGTCTTGGTGTCGAAGATCTCGGCCGGGATGATCCACGACAGCGGGCCGCACGTCGCGCTGAACGAAAAGTTGTACAGCCACGTCATGGCGATGAACCCCCAGGCCGCGCCTCCGCTGCCCTCGGCAGAACCCGGCGGGAACTTGGCCAGCAGCACCGTCGCGATGATGAAAGTGACCATGTTGCCGAGGTTGCCGAGGATCAGGGGCCAGCGACGGCCCGTGTGGTCGATGAGCATCATGCACAGAAACTGCGCGACGAGGGCAATCACCGACGAGATGGCCTGGTAGCGCAGCGTCTCGTCGCCGGCGATGCCAATCTTGGCGTAGATCTCGACTGAGTAGTACTGGATGGCGCTGACGCCCGTCATCTGCACCGAGGCCTGCAGCGCGCACGCCAGAAGCAGCCGCCGGAAGCAGCTGCGGTCGCGGAACAGCTCGCTGTAGCTCTTGGCCGCGTTGTCGTGCTCAAAGGTGATGCTCTCCTGGATCTGGTCGAACTCGGCCCGAACCCACACGTCGTTGGTGTCGCCGTGCGCGTGCAGCTTGGCTAGCGTGAGGAGGCCCTCGTCGGCGCGCCCGTGGTCGATGAGCCATCGCGGGGATTCGGGGAAGAGGAGGATGAGAAGCCCGAGGATGACACCTGGTATGATTTGGATGCCCAGCGAGACGCGCCATTGCCGCGAGTCGTCGGCGTCGAAGCCAATGTATGCCCCTGAGTACTATGAGAACGTGTCCTGGCCCGAGTCTTCAGTGTCGAGTTGGGAGGCTTACCATACGAGATCCAGGCCGCAGCCAACGCACCCACGCCAAGCATAAACTGCTGCAGTGACGTGACCCGGCCACGAATGCTGGGGTGGCACAGCTCAGCTTGGTATAGGGGCACAATCATGACGAGGAAGCCGATGCTGCTGCTGATCAGCACCTGTACCACTTTTAGAGTCCGCAAAGTAGCATCACTCACCCGACACCGGCGAGACAGCGCCCCGAGTAGAGGTAGTTGATGTTCATGGCCGCCGTCTGCAGGGCGCCGCCAAGGCAAAAGATGATGGACCCGATGAGAATCGTCAATTTGCGGCCAAACCTGTCACCGATGGGGCCGGCAAACAGGGCGCCGAAGAAGGCACCCCCCGTGAAGACGGACACGACCGCGCCGCTGCCTTTCGTCAGTATATACACAAACACATCCAACGGCAACGTGGAGCATACCGCTCATCTGGGTTGTCGCCAAACTTGGACTTGAAGTTTTCCGAGGCAATGGCCTCGGCAATGACACCGAGGTCGTAGCCATAGAGGAGCGACCCCAGCGACGCGAAGACGCTGATGAGGAACTGGTGGACCTTGGGAGGGAGAGCCATGATGGGTGCTGTCTCGACGACACGGTGGACACGACAGGAGCCCTTGCTCGAAGTGAGCGGCCGGCTACGATCTGCTTCTTATCTGCCAATATCGACCGGCTGCCGAGGGCCACCAGACTTTCATGCACCGACGCACATGCAGCCCGCCCTGGACATCAACGCGTCACCAATACGCCTTGGCAAGCCGGCATCGATGCCCTTCTCGTCCTTGCGCCTTCCTCATGTTTACCCGACTCGCGACGCCTTTTCCCGCACGCGAGGTTCGGGAGGATGGACGCCGAAGCCCACACGCGGTCCAGAATCCAGCTCGAGACATCAACGGAGAGTGGACATCCCCGCATTCCGGGGTCTCCATGCGGGGGACTCGGGGGTGTGCGGGCCGGCACGCCATGGAGACTGCTCAGAGAGTCAATGAGACGCTCGACTGAAAGGGCTATGTATTGGCATAACGATTGATCTTGAAGATGGAGCGTTAAAGGTCCATCTCGGGAGTCTTCAGGTCCACCTTGCCCCCCAAAACGACCAGGATTCTCCACGAATCGGCGCTTAACTTGCAAGTGGCCTGGCGGCGGCTTTGCGCGCAAATAGGCAGAATGCAGCGAGTCTATTGATGGTCGCATGCCGCGCCCCCTCGGCTGTTAACCCTCGGCAATGTCGACGCTCGACGTGCCGTCTCTGCGTGCTCAGCTGCTGCTGCTGCCGCTGGTCAGAGTCGCGCTGCTGAGCTCGCCCACTTTCCGTCCGTGGAGACCGGCGAGCCGCATCCCGCACAAGCGCTCCAATGGCGAACCGTCTCACTTACATGCGAAGACGGCTGGTGAAGCCCAGCGCCGAGACCCCATCGCGCGCGCGCGCTGCTGTCGTCGGGACATCATCCGAGCGAAAGTCCACCACCCCGCTGGTGACACATGGGCGCTTGTCGTGAGAAATCAAGATTGCGTTGCTGTGCCTCTGTGGTTGCTGCTCAATGTCGGTGCAGTGCTGACTGGCGTGGAGCTGGAGAGGGCCGTAGCAACTCCAGCTTGAATTAAGAAATCGCCATCCTCACTCTCTCTTCGGCCATCAGCATCACCTCTGTGAACTACTCGCTCTCGCCATGGCCACTTTCGCGCGCATTGCAGACGACGAGATGCCGTCCATATCCGTGGATGCGCGGGCCATAGTCGCCGACGTTGACGATAACATCTATGGCGGCTTTACTGAGTAGGCACCCCATTCGTCAAGCTTCCCCAAGCCAGCAACAGGTCCTCTGCGCTATTACCTCTGATCTGGCCTCATGAAATTTGAACGTTCGCACAGGTCGACTGATCAATTCCTGTACACAGGCACATAGGCCGGTGCATCTACGGCGGCATCTACGACCCAGGCAACGCGCTGGCCGACGAAAACGGCTTCCGCAAGGATGTCATTGAAGCGCTCCAGGAGCTCAGAGTCCCCGTCGTTCGCTACCCCGGCGGCAACTTTGTCGCCACATATCACTGGCTTGATGGCGTTGGTCCTAAAGCCGACCGGCCAAAGAGGTGCGTGAGCTGCCATTCTGCAGGGAACCAAGGGCCCAGAACTTACGGGTACCAGGCCTGAGCTGGCGTGGGACGGCATGGAGTCGAATCAATTTGGCACAGACGAGTTTCTGAAGTGGTGCGAGGTCGTCGGGACTGAGCCGTACTTCTGTCTCAATTTTGGGACAGGTGAGCTATGCGCCTGTATTTGCGATGACAAGACTGACAATATACAGGCACACTGGATGAAGGTGAGCACTTTATACACCAGCTGCATGCTACCCGCTCCACCGTCTAACAGGAACCAATGCCAGCCCTCGGCTGGATCGAGTACTGCAACAGCAACAAAGACACACACTACGCAAACCTGCGCAGGAAACATGGTCGCAAAGAGCCCTACAATGTCAGCACCCCCAACCCCTCGTCAAGTCCTCGCAGCATCTGACGCCCGGCAGGTCAAGTACTGGGCTCTGGGCAACGAGGTCTGGGGCCCCTGGCAGGTCGAGCAGATGACCAAGGAGGACTACGCCAAGAAGGCGTACCAGTGGGCCAAGGCCATCAAGCTGCTCGACCCCTCCGTCAAGCTCATCCTCTGCGGCGAGACGGGCTACAGCTCGTGGGACTTTCACGTCATCAAGGAGTGCATCAAGCTGGACCTGCACGGCCTGGGCGGCAGCACCACCGTCGGGCTCATTGACATGCACAGCATCCACATCTACACGGCCAGCTCCGACCACGCCAAGAACGCCACCGGTAGGTGCAGCTTCTGTTGATATTATAGGCAAAGATACTGACGGGGCAAACAGCGCCCCGGGCTGCGGAACGCGCGATCGAAATCACCGCCGGCTTAATCGACCTCGCGCGCGCCGAGAACCACGTCCCGCCCACCGTCCCGCGCCAAAAGATCTGCTTCGACGAGTGGAATGTCTGGGACCCCGTGCGTGCGCCGGGCGAACAGGGCGCAGAGGAGCGGTACACGCTCTCCGACGCGCTCGCCGTCGGCGTCTGGCTCAACGTCTTTGTGCGCCAGGCCAAGCACGTGGGCATGGCCAACATCGCGCAGTCGGTCAACGTCATCTCGCCGCTGATGACCACGAGCAAGGGCGTCGTCAAGCAGACCACGTGGTGGCCGCTGCTTCTGTTCAGCAAGTACATGCGTGGCAGGACCGTGGCGGTCAACGTGCGGTCGGGCGAGTACCAGGGCGACACCGAGCCGGCTTGGATTCGCGGCACGATGGACACGCCGTGGCTTGATGTGAGCGCCGTGCTGGACAATGGTGTCGTTAATCTTGCCGTCGTCAATGTACACGAGCAGCGGGACTTTGTGACCGAGTTGGCCGGCGTTGAAGCTTCCGGGAAGGTTGAGGTGTATGCAGTCACTGGACCTGGCGTCGATGCCGTCAACACGGAGGAGAAGCAGGAGGTTGGCATCTCGGAGTCGACCTGGGATGGTCAGGGGAAGTACACCTTCCCCAAGCACTCACTGACTCTGCTCCGCTGGAGACTGCCCTGAGCCACGCGAATCTCGTCACAAACGCTTCCTAGATGCCCAAATAGAATAGATCTCCAGATTCCTGTTCTCGGTTTTGCAAATTGGGCGCGCGCCCCAGATGATCTAACCGCTCTTAGTCCCTCGCCGGCCAAACGGCATGTAAGCGCCAACTAGCACCACAGAACATCACATCCCTTACACGCGGTTGGTCACTCGCACCCGTCAATACGTACGACCACGTACATGGCATATGCCAATGCCCCGGTAGCGAGCAGGTAGCCGTTATCTTCCTATTGTGGATAATGGCACCGGGGCTCGCGTATAAATGTCATGGGGACGGTCGCACTCCTGCCAAACGTGCCCCCTTTCCTACCCTCTTCACCTGACATACCGAGCCATCATGAATTGGCAGATTATAGACCGCCTTCGAAACTACGCGGACCCCTGGCAGCCAGTCTCATATGCTATATGGGGCATGTTTCTCTCTGCCCCCATCGTGCTCCTCCACGTGCGCTGACCTGGTATTCTTCACACCAGCCGTCTATGCCAGCGCCAGGGATGCCCTCCGCGGGGGAAAGTATGGCACCCTTGGTAGCCCTGCCGCATTCAAGGAATCAGCGTTTTACCTCTGGTTCAAAACAATAAGTTAGTTCCCCTGGGTGGCCTGCCGTTGCATCGCCCGACTGACAATGCGCCAGACCACCACTTCATCGAGATCGAGTCCACGAGGACGCCCGTCCCGCAATTGGTGCCGCAGGCGAGCGGGCTCGTCCTGGAGCTTGGCCCTGGCATGGGCAACCAGCTCCGCCGCTTCGACAAGGCCAAGGTAACGCGCGTCGTAGGCGTAGAGAGCAACGCACATTTCGCACCGGACATTCTCCTCCAGGTCAAGGAGCAAGGGCTGGAGGACGTGTATGAGCTCCTCACCTGCAGCGTGGACGACAGCAACGCGCTCGAACGCCACGGCATCGTCGCCGGAAGCCTCGACACCGTGCTGAGCATCCAAGTGCTGTGCTCGGTGCCGCATCCCGAGGCGACGCTCAAGGAGCTGTACCGGCTGCTCAAGCCGGGGGGCAAGCTCATCTTCTGGGAGCACCACCGCAGCTCGGACTGGGTCACGGTCGTCATGCAGTGTCAGCACCCCATCGCCCAATCGCCCGTCGTGGGAGCTGTTCTGACCGAGATGCAGATTTATGGAATCCAATCTGGAGCCAGTTCATCGGCTGCCACATGACGCGCGACATTCCGGCGGCCATCGCCACGGCGGGGGAGTGGGAGAACCTAGACAGCATCGACGGGGACAAGCGGACCTGGGCTTTGATGCCGAGAGCATGGGGGGTGTTGATCAAGCCGAGTGCGCCTGCCTGATGTGTGTATGGACGGGTTGGCGACTTTGCGTGCTCAAAGGCTGAAGGGGGATTTCCGCGAACGCACACAAGCTTTGCGGCGAAAGGGGGGTCATTCGGACCAACCTCGCGGGCCAGTCTCGCACAACAGCGTGAATGAATCGAACCTGGATTTGACGGGCGAAGCAATCAGCTTCTGTACTGGACTCAGCAACATGTATCTATACAGACGCGCACAGGAAAGGTCCTCGCCAGCCATGACTGGATCGGTGTTGCCCAGTGCCCACGCCCTACCCTACTATCCGGTCTGCATTGTGTCTATGCCCATCTATGGCGTTAATTTACAGCCTCGTCTTCAAATCAAAGAAAAACAGGTTCCGCTCATCATCCTTGCGCACAAAGCCCGCCCGCCCAACCTGCTCAGCAGACGTGTTCGCCAGCTGCGCAAGCGTCTGCTCGTCCCCGTGGTTCGCCAGGAAGCGCCGCCCCGAGCCCTGCAGCTTGCCGACGATGAGGCCCAGCGACGGCGCGCCCTGGCGGTCATACTCAATGGTGTACGTCTGCAGACAAGAAACGATCGTTAGCCAATTTGCAGCTAGATACGTGGGAATTCGAGGGAGGGGATAACGGACTTCGATGGTTGCTGGACCTTCGGCGGATTCGGTGAAGGGCGGCGACGACTCGTCGAGGATCAGGGGGAGGGGGTTCCGGCTCGGATACGCGCGCCCGTCGGACCTTTGCTGGGCGGAGAGGCACAGGACGTGCTGGTGGGTGAGCATGCCGCCGTTGGCCAGGATGAGGCCGTTTTTGTGCTTCTTTGTTCTCAGAACTCGCGCCATGGCGGAGATGGCCTGGGGATGGGTCAGGTTTCGGACTACTCGATGACACCGAGGAGATGTCTATAAAGGGGCAGCTGGAGGAGGGACTTACATGCATCGAGTAGTTGTTCCCCGCGCCGCCAAAGGACGTCAGTCCGCCTAACAGACTGATGGGCTTGTCGCCGCCCGTTGTTGGCAGCCCAAGGTGGTCGCAGGCCAGCTTCGGGACGATGGGAAAGCACCTAGCACACACAATTAGAAGCATCCTTCTGAATGTGCCGCGCAAGACCTACGAGTAAAAGTCGTAAACATCCACTTGTTCCCTGGTCAGGCCCGAGACCTCAAGGCCAGCGTCGATGGACCTCGACAGAGCCGGACTGTCGTGGAAGTGAGGCCGTTCCCAGACTACCCTGCGGTCAGCATTCGCACGCTCACGACTATCGCGGGCGTCATAATCTCACAATAGTCCTTTTCGTGTGTGCCAGCGCCTCCGAGGACATACACCCATCGATCGCGCGGGATGCCCAGCTTCTCCGCGTACTCAGTCGAGGTCACGATGCAAGCCGCCGCGAGGTTCACCGCGTTGAAAGCATTCATGAGCAGCGGATCTTGACAGCGTGTTAGTTGCGACTTGCAAGCCCAATGGTTGCACTCGGATATGGCGTCTTACAGGGATCGCAGATCATGCGATTCTTCTTGGATACGGTTCCGATAAACTCTGCGCTCTTGACCGGCTCGCCCGCGTTCCACGAAAACTCGTTCCCCGAGGCGATCTTGTCGAAATCGGCGTACATGCAGGCCGACTCGTGCGAGTTTTGCTGGTAGGTCTGCTTCCGATGGGCCCGGCGGCAGTTCTCGTAGAGCGGGTAGACGTGAATCGGCAGGCCCATGGAATGTCTCGTTCCGGCGCCTTGCAGCGTCTCGTCAGTCGGCTGTCTAGAGGCACGGAGAATGGGCGAGCCTCACTCTCTTTGAGAATCGACATGTCCAGGGAAGCCAGCGATTTGCCGCTCGGGTCCGCCTCCTCCCATCCTTTCGGAGGCGTCTGGCCCGCCTTTTGACAGGCTCCGACTGTGCACGGTGTCAGCTCCAACTCCACGCCTCTGCGTCGCTTGCACAGGGACTCACGGGATGCGAGCGCCTCTCCTCCGGTCAAGATCGCAACGTCACTCTCCCCATTTGCAATCGCTCTGGCGGCTTCGTCGCATTGTAGCGCAGGCTGGTTCCCGCCATGGTCTGGCATTACCCTAGTTCGGGGGTTTATCCCCAGACCCGACGCGATCGAGCCTGGCAGGTCCTTGTAAGCCCACGTCCATGTCGGCACGACGCGCAGACTGTCCGCCTTGAGGAGCAGCTCCTTTTGCAGAGGCTCGGCTAGGCCAGTATCGGAGAAGGCGTTGCGGATCGCTCTGACCATCAGCTGTGCGGGCTCGACGGCATCTTCGACCTTGAACGACTTGTTGCGGACGTCGCCCACGCCGACGATGATGGGAACTGCCGGCCTGCTCGCCATGGTGCACGTATGAGGTCGTTGAGTTGTGTGATTTCCAAACGGCACAGGAAAGGGGAGCTCTACGTCAGAAATTGGGCTGGTCGCATCGCGCTCGGTAGTGTAAGTGAATGGCACCCGTCATCCTCGGCGACAGGAGCTCTGCCCCGCGATCTGGCACGTCATGTGTAAACGAGGAGCTGGGGAAATAGGCACGATGAGCGCTAGCAGCAGACTTGCCGGTTTCCCGTCCGCGCCATTGTGAAGCGTCGGGCACTCGTGAGGAGCAGTAGTAGCAGGTAGGCCCGCCGGAGCGGGTTGCCCTGATTTCGTCCGAGGCTCCGGAGCCGCGGTTGACAGCCCGGGGCCCCGCACTCGGATAGCCGGACCAAGTGCCAGACGCCACTCCCAACAATTATCCATAGCCTATTACGGTGGCCTTCTTATTGACGCGGTCGCGGTGTAGAAGGACTCGGTTGTACTTTGTATGCACAGCTCTGATTTCGCGTTCTCTTGGCTTCAGTCTCGCATCGGCGGGCACATCAGTCACCATGGCGGACAAACTGGCTACGCAGCCTCCAAAGACGACATACTACGAGCTCAGTTATCCTGCCCCGTATGTCATGCTCGTCACCATCAACCGCGAAGCGGCAATGAATGCCATACCGATGGCCGGCCACTGGGACGGCATGCGACTCTGGGCATGGTTCGACGAGGAGCCCGGGCTGCGGGTGGCCGTCGTCACGGGCAAGGGCAAAAAGGCGTTTTGCTGCGGAGCAGACCTCAAGGAGCAGTTTGAGAAGAAGAGCTCGTCGGCAGAGGCGCCCCAGGTGACGCCGTTCCCGCCTGGATCCTTTATGGGACTAAGCACGCGCGTCGGCAAGAAACCAGTCATTGCAGCCGTCAACGGCTTTGCCCTGGGCGGTGGGTTTGAGATTGCGTTGAACTGGTGAGTAAGGAAACAAAGCAAGATCTCGAATGACAAGGTTGACGAGATGCGACAGTGACTTGGTGGTTGCATCGCCCTCTGCCACCTTTGGTCTACCAGAGGCAAAGAGAGGGCTGTGGGCGGCCGCCGGAGGCATCCCCCGCGTCGTCCGGACGTTTGGCATGCAAAAGGCCTCGGAGATTGTACTGGCCGGGCGAACGCTGACAGCAGAAGAGGCCAAAGACCTGGGCTTCTGCCGAGTGTCCGCCTCTCCCGATTCTCTCCTGGACGAGGCCGTGACGCTTGCCAAGGAGGTGGCCGACATGTCGCCCGACGCCGTCGTGGTGAGCCGGGCTGGGCTCCGCGAGACCTGGGAGACGGCCAGCGTGGACCGATCGGCCCAGCTCGTGAGCGACAGATACGCCAAGGGCATCCTGGAAGGCGAGAACCTGCGGATCGGGTTGACGGCCTTTGTGACCAAGTCTAAGCCAGAGTGGGTACCGTCCAAGCTATGACAGGGTGGTCGCGGGTTGCTCGCCTGCGACTCGTATGTAAGATAGAAGCAAAGCGAACATCGGTGTTGATAGCAGAGGGCACCACGAAGACGAGGCCGGTGCCCCAAACTTTGTTTGAGCGGGTCGTGTAAAGGACCTACTTTGGACGCATTGACGTCCTCATACTCGCACGCACGAGACACACGCGTCGTGGCCGCCCGGTGATGGTCACGTGGCTGAATCGGCGCCACCCCCTATCAGGAGAAGGGCTGGCGATGGGTCGCGATGCATGGCGATGCGCGGCGATGCACAGCGCCGGACTTGTGCCCTTCGATGTAACCACGGTTCCGCCATCGTGTCTGGCCCGCCAATCTCACCACTCGTCTCGCGCCGCGTTCGTGTAAGACAGGTATAGGCCGGCGAGAAGGTCGAAGACAGCGTCGCTGGCGGGCAAGCCCCTCGTGTCCCGACGTGCTGGCGGCGAGGGCGGGCGGATGCTGCGCCGGCGATCCTGTGCAGGGTGCTGCATGTCCGTCTCCATCCTTCCCGCACCCGCAATCGGTCAGGCACGAGGAGAGTTGCCGGCGCGTCTCTGGCACGGTAAGCGGACTGGAGGCGCCATGGCCGTGGACACGAATTACTGGGCCAGACTGCGGGGTTGAAGGTTCACCAACCGTCGCTCCGTGGGATGATGCGGTCAGGAGGGGGCCGCGGGTGGGGGTGGGCGCCGGCTCCCTCTGCCACTTGCGCTCGCGATTGCTGTGCACACGCCCTTTGCTCTCTTGGGCCACCCGGCGCCGGCGGGGAGGGGCAGACGGAGCTCGGGGAGGCAGGCGCCAGCCAGGTGAGGTAAGCTGCAAGCTGCAGGTGCGTCGAGCGGGCAGGTCCAGGTAGGTAGGTTCAGGTACAGCGGGCTCCAACGACGGCGTCGAGTCCGGCAGGTACGAGTACAAGTACCGTCCCCCAGACCGGCGGCGGGGCCCCGAGCCAGCGAGCCCAGGAGCTAAAAGGGCCAAAGACAGCAAAGCAAGGTTGCTCGTGTAAAGTACAGTACTCGTACTGAACAGGCTCGTACATGCGTTGCGCCTTCCACAGCGAACCGAACAACGTCCCTTCCCTCCTGATGAGGTGCAGTCCAGGTTTGGCCCTCTGCAAGCCAGCCCGCCCACCCAGTGCCCTCGCAGGTCCTCCAGGTCTGGCGTGACGCAACTCCCACCGCTTCCAGGTTGTAGGCTGCTGTCGTCTCGGAGCAAACGAGCACCAAGTATCGTGACCCTGGCTGCTGACCCGCGGGCCGTGCCCAGCCCAGGCCTTGGTCATGGCCCGACGTCTGCTTTTGTCCGGCTCCCTCTGCAACCTCGGCGGCCGCAGACACGGCGCGAGCATCGGGACTCGACGCATGTCTCGCCCTGTCTTTCTTTTCGAGTTGGTTCCGCCGACTCGCCGAGAGCACAGGTGCCAGGCCATGCCCCGCCCTCGGCCAGGTACCTCCTCGACCATGAATTTGTGAGCGAAGGGAGCTTGGATCTTGAGCTCAGCTGCTCGGGCGGCGAGCGCACTAACACAAGCTGGCCGTCCCGTCCGTCCGTCCGTCCTGCCTCCCGTCGCCCTCGCCTCGCCTCACTCCCATCCACCACGCCAGCGGCCCCGTCCAATTTGCCGGTGGGCCCAGCGATCTGGACGAAACAGCCCAAGGTTCGTCTCAAGGCTGACTGTGACGCTGATGACTGGCCACGACAGATCTGCAATCTGCCTCCCATCGCATCGCGTCCTCGTCTGTGCCAGATTGCCGTTGTGTCTCTCGGCTGCCCCAGGGACGCGGTCCCAGGAATGCTCCGTTCGGCGGTCGTTGGGGACTTCAGCAGCGCCGGTCGGGGCACGGCCAGTCCTCCACAACGATGCGGAATCTGAGGAATCGCGTGGATACCTCCGCCCGCCAGTCGACGTGCCGGCCTCAGCGGCGCACTCGGTACCAGAACAAGAAAAAAAGCGAGCCCGCCCACCGACGCATTTACGGCCGCCCACGGGCCTATTACCCACTCTGCCACTATACGCGACCATGCGCAGCTGCAGGAGCTGCCCCCTGGCCCTGACGTCGCGCCAGTGACGGCGAGACAGGTCGATTGCCTCGATTGACTCGCGTGTGCGTGCGTCCTTGCGCTCGCTCGCTCGCTCGTTCGCTCGCCTGCCCACGCGGACGGGATCGGGAGCGGGAGGCTTCATCCACCAGGCGACGAGCCGGGCTGATTCCCGCTGCTGCCAGCACTAATGAAATTGCTTCAGGAGACGCGAACGGGGCCCGAGCCGATGTCGATGCGCGCGACGTGCGCCTGAAGGACGCGCCGTCCTCGTACGGGGGGGATAATAATAACCTACAGACCTGAGATTGCAGCGCCGGCCCCCTGGAGGGAATTCAGTGAAATTAGCCCCCCTCTGACTCGGGAGAGATTGCTCTGTCCCAGTCCCAGTCCCAGGCCCAGTCCCAGGCCAGCCGGGCGAGCCAAGGGCGGCCGCCGCCCCGCTGAAGCAGCAAGCCGTGCCGATGGCCAACCTGGACGGCGCGCCAACAGGCGGTGACACACCGCCCGGTACAGTGCGTCTCGCAACCACGACGCGCGACCAGGGAGCACCTGGGCAGGCCCTCTCAGGCCGGGCCAGTGGAGGAGGATGGGGCCGGACGCCCTGGGCGAAGCTAGGCTCCGGCATCGAACCCGTCTGGGGGCCCTCGCCACGCCTGGTGGGCCGATGTGAGGATTCAGGTCGCGGGCTCCAACCGGCCAGGATGCAAGGCGCAGCCACTGGAAACGGCATCGCGGCGCTGACTTTTTCTTCTCTCTGCCGTGGGTATCGTTATTTCCTTTTTGTTTCGCCTTTTCATGCGGCGCTGTGACGCGACCATTCGTTCCTCGATGGCAGCGTCCATTGCAGAAGCGTCCCGGTCGCGCCCGTTCCGATGGTCTAGCGGCCTAGCGCAGCCACTCCGTCGGGAACCATGGCGGCGAAGGAACCATTGATGCACGCACTCAAAACGGCGGCGTTCCTGCCTGGGGCCTCCATTGTCGATGCTGGAGCCCTTTGCCCGTGGCCACAGGCCATGGCCCGATGACCTGTGGTCGCCACCAACGAGCACTCTGGCTGGACACCGACATCTCTCACCGTCACGTCGTCGGGTCTTGACCGCACTCTCGGGTCGCTGGGGCTCGCCGAGCTCGTCCCCGTGCTTCCGGACCGGTGACCAAGAGGTGGATAGCGTCCGCGGACGGACAGGCAGCTTCATGACGAAGGGGCGGCGAGGGAGAGGGCCCGACGTTGCCGAGCGCAACTCCAAGCTGCTCCACGTCGCCCCTTGGCCACTGACGCTTCTCTATTCCATGTAGGGAGTGCCCCGTGCAGTACTGTGCTGTACTTTGGACCAAGCAAATTGTCATGTCCTCTCCCGTCCCGGTGCCGCGGGAACACAGACGAACGCATCCGTTTGCTGTGCCGACTCTCAGCATCGAACAAGCAAACCTCGGTGCACAAGCAGGCAGAAAAAGCAAAGCGATGCGCTCAAGGGGATGCAGGAACATGCAAGTTGGCTTTCTGGGCCGGCCCGCTCGATGTTTAGCTCCCAGCATGTCTGAACATCCATCATCCAGGTACACCAGCATGTACCCGTCCCAGGCCGAATGGTGCGCTGGAACGGGCTGGCGGACAGGGGAGTCGACCTTGTTCCTTGCAAGGTTCTCTGCGGTAAGTGGTCGCGTCTCGGTGACTGTGCAACACGGTCCCAGATGCCAGGGCCGCTTTTAGTGGCCCGCGCCGTCCAGGTTCTCCTGGAAGAATTTTCATCAGTGGGCTCCCCGGTTAGGCAGGGCGCTCACATTCACTGGCCCAGGGCGCAAGTGCCTGGGCTGGCTCGCTGGCGGCGTGCCAGGTTGGCAAGTCGCCATTCGCGCCAAGGCGCGCACAGGTCCCCGCGTGTCTGGTGTCTGGTGTCCGGTGTCCTGGGCAGTGTCCGGCCAGCTGTTGTTGGCGACCTGGCGCGTTCTGCGTGCTGGAGGTGGCTCCCGTTGATTGCAGACACACGCGCGTACCGGTACCTGCCCGACTCTGTACGTAAGCACTCCGCGGTCAGAAGCTGGCCCCCCCGTTGGTGCCCTCCCACGCACACGAGGTACAGTACCTCAGTGATGCCCATGCCATCTCGGACGCCATGCCACGCCGTGCCGGCCAGGCAGACAGGCCGCCACGAGAGGGATGGAGGGAGTGGAGGGGACCCCGCCGCCCGCCCGCCCGCCTCACATCCGTCCTCACCCCTCCGCGCTGACGGGAGCCCCGCCGCAGCTTCGTTGTCCCGCCAGTGGGCTCGCCTGCTGGAGACGGGCGGGACCAGAGGGGCTTCGGTCGTCGCCGCGACAGGCTGCCAGCGCAGCGCAACGCAGCACCGCGCGCACCGCAGCGCACCGCATCACGAGCGCATCGCATCCCATCACCGTCCATGGGCCTCCCGTTGCGCGAATCACGCCAGCGCCGCACAGCGCCAGCGCCCGCCAGCCCGTGCAGCACGCTCCCCCCCTCGACTGCATTGCATCCCGCGGGCTCCTCCAACCACACGGTGGGCGCGCTCTTGCACGGGCCGGCCACAGGATGAGGCGAGGCCAGATGCCCACCCTCACGACGGAAGCCCCTAGGCCTCGTTGGGGCGTGGCCAGCAGACGTCGCGTCGCATCCGTGATGGACGGTACGGCGTTGAGCTGGCCGCCGACGGTGGCGGTCCGGGTACCTCCCAACCTGCTTGGGCCCCAAGTTTGGCGACCCGCGATCGTGGCTGGAACGGCCGCAAGACGCCTGGAGACGCGCAGCCCACGCCGTCGGCGACGCTGGCAACGCGGGCAACACTGGCAACAGCGCCCCCCCCGCTCGCTGCGGTGCCCCCCCACGCCTGTCTCTTATACACATCTAGATGTGTATAAGAGACAGGCCCAGCCCCTCACCTCCCTCCCCTCCTTTTGGCCTGCTCCCTCCCACTTTCCCACTCTGTGTCTCTTTTTCCTCCTCCCCTCCCCCTCACTGCGCGCGCCCCCCTTTTCCGCTAATCCGACGCCCTCGCTACCCAGCTTCTGGCTTCCCCCCCAGAATCTTTCCCCTCCCTCCCTCTGCTCCTCGAAGACTACTACCTCCCACCTCCTCTCCTCTTCTTCCCTCCTTCCCCTCCCATCCCATCAGCTCCATAAACGCACCTCCCAACGGCTCAACATTGCCAGCAAGCCATCGTCGTCGTCGCCCGCACCGTCCGGGACAGACACGCAGACTCGTCGAGGCCATCCAGAGCCTCTGACCTGAACAAAACCCACACACAGCCTTTCCATGACTAGGATACCACCACCAATGACCATCTTCGCGACCGAATCCACCGCTGTCACACTTTAAACCCCACGGGAGCGCGTGCGAGCGAGGAGCTAGGAGTCGAGAGCGAGATCTGAGATCCAGACGATATTCAACCATCGTGCTGTCCTGAGGACAAGACCCTCGGCCACAGTCGCACATCGCCGTGTTGCTGCCCACTGCTTTCCCAGCGCAGCCAGCCCGCGGTATCAAACACCACCGACACAAGGCCACCAAGATGCCCGGCGCAAGCGTCGCAGTCCTCCCGCCACCGGCGGCCTCGACTTCCTCCTCGCGGAAGGCATCTCTCGCACCGGAACGCAAGTACAAGTGCCAGTTCTGCAACAGAGCCTTCAGCCGGAGCGAACACCGAAGCCGACATGAGCGATCCCGTACGTAACCCTTGCCTAGAGCGCGCGAGCACCTGCAAACATCCTTGTCGACGTCTTCAACGCGTCGCAGCCGTTTTCCGTCTGCTTGCGCTGTTTCGCAGCCATTTTACCCTTTCGCAGCCCGCCCTCTCCCTCTCTGCGACACAACAATGCTGACCAGTCGCAGACACCAAAGAGCGCCCGTTCAAGTGCATGAAGTGCAGGAGTACGTTTGTCCGCCGCGACCTTCTTCTCCGACACGACAGGACCGTCCATGCAAAAGATGGAGGCGTTCCCCTGCACAGCGACGGCAAGCGTCGTGCCGGCGGCCCCAAGACGCGAGCTATCGGCGGCCCTTCCAAGGCCTCTTTGCCCCTGGACACGTCAACTCTGGAGCAAATGGAGGCTGGCAGCGACGGCATCTTCGACGTAGAAGCCGCCGCGATGCTTGTTGCCGATCTGCACCACAAGGCGACGGCCGCCATGCGCGCCGACGACAGTGCCTACGACGACAACGCGTCCATGGCCTACTCGCCGCGGAGTTCGTCCATTGTGGAGTCGACCGTTACGTACCCGTCCGGAGCCATTGCTCTGCCTCAGATGCAGTGGGATGGTTTCATGCCGGCCGAACCCAAGGCGCACTCGATCTCGTCGAGCGCCTCTGGGTCCTTCGACTCGCATCAGTCATTTGCAAGCGGAAGCACCGTCCAGCCGAATTCCCACCAGCTTCACTCGATTGTGGGCCAGAACGCCAGCGGCCTGGTGCCGGCGTTGCAGACAATGATCAACTCGCTGCCCAACTCCGGTGCCGGGACTCCTGTTCCGCATAGTCCCTCGGATGCTTCCCACGCTGGGGTCAGGGCCCCTCAAGTCGGCGGTGACGAGGAACGCAACGCGATTCTGGACACGATCCGCAGCTACGACCGCGAACATGCCATCCCTGATGGCTTCCGCCTCCCTGGCCTGGGCTCCTTGAACCGGTATCTTTCGACGTACTTCGGCATGTTCCACCACCATCTGCCGTTCCTGCACCCTGCCTCGTTCTCCGCCTCGCAGGTGTCGCCTCCGTTGTTGCTTGCGGTGCTCAGTATTGGTGCGTTGTACGCCTTCGATCAAGACCAGGCCTACATGCTGCACATCGGATCCAAGGTGCTCGTCAACCAGTTCCTCCAGAACAAGGAGAACTTCAGCTCGCGAAAGTGCCCTCTGTGGACCATGCAGAGCTCCCTGCTCAACATGATCTTCGCCAGCTGGAGCGGCGACCCCAAGGGCCTGGAGTGGGCGTGCTCGATCAAGAGTCTGCTCGCCAACATGGTGGCTGGCAACAGGTACGAGCTGAAGCTTCGTCAGGAGGCCCGCGGCACGTCGCAGCCCACGCGCGCGGAGTGGGTCGAGGATGAAGGCTGCCGCCGTACTTACTACGCGGTCTACATCTTCTTCGGCCTGCTCACCTTGACGTACAACCACACTCCTGCCATCAGCTTCAACGAGTTCGAAGACCTTCAGCTGCCCTCGACGGAAGCCCTGTGGAATCTGCAGATCGCAGACGACTTGGCGTGGAAGGAGCAACTCAACTCGTCGCCGGCCGTGACCTTTATGGAGGCGCACGACAATCTCTTCCAGGGCGAGAGGCTGCGATACAGCGCGTTCGCCACGCGTGTCATGATCAACGCCTTGTTCCTCGAAGTCTGGTATCACAAGCGAAGCCCCGAGGCGCTCCAGGATGTCGTCACCGAGTACAAGCTCCGCCTCGCTCTCGAGACGTGGGAGAAGTCACTGGACATGTGCGAGCCCGAGTCGGTCGCTGTCCCGCTCAGCGCTCCGCACAAGGGCCACCACCCGCTCATCTTCAATGCCAAGGCCATGTATCGCAACGCGCGTACCCGGCTCGAGGTTGACCTCAAGAGCGTGCAGGAGGCGCTGCGTTACCACGACCCGTACGAGGTCGCGGCGGCCATGTCCCACGCTCGGGATCGCGTAAAGCGCTCGAGCGAGATGATCACGGTCATTCAGGAATGCTACAACTGCATCGAGACGGCCGTGGTCCAGGGCATCCGCTGGGTGGCTCGCACCTCGCCCACCAGCTGGAGCGTGGAGCACCCCCTTTGCGGCATGGACCTCATGATTGTGCTGTCGCTGTGGCTCTATCGCCTGGAACATGACGAAGAGCCCGCGACGGCGGAAGAGGTTGACATGTACAACAAGGTTCGGCAGCTCTTCAAGAAGGAGCTGAGCGACGGCTATACGTCTCAGCTCAGCTCCGTCGTGGCCCGGCTGTGGGGATCGATGCTGGACGAAGTTGTGGTCTGGGGGTAAGTAGAGGCATCCGATCCGACTCGCAGAGGAAGAAGCGCGCTAACAGTAATGCAGAATCACACGCCTGATGGGCGAGTCTTTTAAGCTGCACTCGCAGGCTCTTGTCGGCTACGTCGACGACCCCGAAGCTTCCTCAAACGTCTCGACCCCTTCGATGATCTCGCAGGGGGCCGACGAGGACAGCGTGTATTAATCAACCCTGGATGATTGAAACGACTGCTTTTTTTCCTTGCGTCACCGGGGAGCGTGGCACCTCTCCGCCGCTTTCCTAGCATATACCTCTCTGCTTGTTGCGTCTTGCCAACCATCGCCTGGTTCGGGGACTGTTTTCGGGCGTGGTGGCCTTGGGGCTGGAGTTGAACTGCTTCGTGTTTTAGTTTCCTTGCGTACTGTGTTTTTTGGGACGTTTGGTCCATCATCTCCTTTCGGCAACCTGAGGCAGAGCAGGTTTGTCGCGTCGCGTCGTTTTGCTTTTTGGCTTGGTTCGGCTTGCATGGCCACTGTTCTGTTCCTGGTTCTCGGCGTGGGGGTCGGGACGGGGGCGGTGGCAGCGATAATGGGAGGGACTGGCGGCGAGGTCGGGAACTGGACTCGGACGGATGGACGGACGGGCACGCATGATATTTCAGGACCTCGGCAGGGGAAATTGGATGTTCGACGACAGAGCGGCAGCGCGAGCTGATGGACTGACTGCAGCACTGGCGGGTTGATTGGCTGGTCCATGACGGCGGTGCCGCTTGCTTCCCACTCTCCCTCTCTGTTTTGTTTGATTACAAGTCTCTTTTTTCTTAATGCTGGCAGCGCTCTTCTTCTCTTCTTTGCTCATCTTTTTCTCTCATCACCCATGGCACTTGTTCCTGCTTTTCGACAACTCGCCTCACTGCTTTTGCACGTCACTTCTCAGATACCTTGTTCGATATACAGATTGTTGCATTTGCTTTTATTTGCTTTGGCCTGGCCATTGTCATTTCATTGCCTGCTTGCCATGGGCGGGCGGAGGGAGGCCCTCGCAACCTCGCGGGCGGGCG